ATACTGTGTTTTCCCGACTTTTATAACATGCTTTTTTAAAGAAAATATTGGAAAATAAAAGAAAGAAAGTTGTCTGTGGTGTTTCACAGGCTACTTTTACTCAATATTCTGGCGTTTGTCTAAATATGACATAATAGTTCCGTAAATCTATGGGTTACTAGTTAAGGGAAAAAGATTACTCTGTAACAATATCACGATAGAAAACTTTTTTGTACTTTATATTCCAGTTAGGGTGAGGGTGAGAGTGTGAGTGTGGGTGTGAAGTGGATATAATACTCATGCTCATATTGACATCCACACTCTCAAGAAGATTTTGCTCGAGTATACTTCGAATCTACATGTTTCCACAAAGAAGTAACTGATGCGAATATGAATCATGAATAACTATTTGATACAGAAAGAAAACATAATCATCCGACAGTTTCGTGAGAGTTTCATGCGATCTTTACTCCTTAGTGCACCATTCGAAAATCTAAAGCAACAATTAAAAAGTCAAACAAACGCAAACCCGCTGATTACAAAATCGAAAAAAATAGAAGAATATGCACTAATTACTATACAAAGGGAAGGAAACAAGCACTAAGAGAACTTAACTTCTTGCATAAGAAAAAACTAAAAAATCATGCTTCTCTATATAGTTTTTTCTTAAAATATAGTATGTCTTTTTTAAAATAAATACCATATAACAATAAATAGATCTTTTAGGTAATGTAAACGTATTTTTGCAAAGAAAAATCAAAAGCATCTCCTTGAAGAAGAGATAAGCTATTTAAAGAAAATATTTTAATTAAAAAACTATTTTTGATGAAGTATTGCGACTAACAAAAAACGCATGCCAGTCAACATTCTTAAGGACATCATAAACAGAGCATTTTAAAAATCCCTTAATTACACCACATATATGTTAATGACATTTTTATTCAATGTAAAAAATAGAGATTAGTATTTTATTTTTAATAAATTAATATGACATATTTCTTTGAAAGAAAAGAAAAAAGTTTTTTTTCTTCTAATTTTTATTATTCTGTTAAACTTACCATAATGTACATTCTGCTTACTTTAATGATACTTCAACTTCAAACTTTTAATCCTCTTCAAAATATTCTCTTATTTTTCTATTAGTAAGTATTCATTTGTTCTTCTCGTATTGTTTTAAGTACTACCACTACTGTTGTCATTACCAAGCTACTTAATGCAATAGGTATGTTTGAGAGAAAAGACCACCTACATACTATATAAACAAAACAAAAAATTTAACAGAACTGACAAAAGAAAAAGAAAACAAGAAGTACGAAATCTTTTTTTTTCTTTCTTCTCATTCTTCAATGATCAAATATGTTTGTTTCTATTGTATGCAAACTATGAAACCTAATCTACAAATATGTTCTGTTGACAAATGATTATTTTTAATTATTGCTTACAGTCATGTAGTAAACGAACATATATTGTAGATAAATCAACTATTCTTACTAAAAAATCAAAATAATGTATCAAACAGGTATGTAGAGAAAAAAAAGGGAGTGAATTTTTAATTATATGTCTTTTCTTTTTCGTTTGATCAGAACAAATTCCTAATAATAATCATTCAAAGACAATGTCGGATAGTAGTCGTCCTACATCACGTTGGTCATCATCAAGATTTACGGCAACAACATCACGTTCGAATAATTCCAATAATCAAATAACACCATTTTTTGTTTCACGAAAAAAATTATTTCAACCAATAAGAAATAATCAACAAAGTTTTGCAAATCTAACGAAAACTAAAGATGAAATGGAAGAAATATTTAAAACATATTATTCAAATAATACAAGACTTGATCCATTTAAAGAAACTGTTATTGGTAAATTTCAATTATTCTTTTTCTTTTTTAAGAATTTCAATCTTTTATATATTAGGAACACGTATTTCAAGTCCACGAACACCAATACCTGTTCCCAATAGAACTTCAACAGATACTCCACCCGATATATTTCGATCTAGACATTGTGTTAGTCGAGAAGATATGAGTCCATTAGATATACATGGTGAAAATCAAATAGTTATTGATGATAATCCAATCGTTATTAAATCAATTAAAATTCGTTCATCACCAGTAGTTGTCGAACCAACAATATCTACGAATTCTAGTTTAACTGCATTAAAAAATCTTTTATCTGTTAAATCTAATAATACTATATCTCGTGATATTACAAGTAATTCTCTTGAACATAAAAATATGAAACGAAGTAAATCAGCATATCGCCAACGTCCAATATCGTCGACAACAACTTTAAATTCCAATCCAATAGGAATATATTCTCTTGCAAATAATCGAAAAGATTCACTAAATTTTTCTTATTCATCACAAGAACAAAATCAACCACATATTCTAACAGGTACAGCAATGACAGCAAATCAACGATTACCTACAAGATCAGCACGACAGAATCAACGACCAAAATCAAATACAACAATTCCAGAAAATATTTTCTATCAACAATCAAGCATAAAACAAAAGTTTGTTTAAATGATTTCCTTACAAATATATAAGTATATTCTTTTCTAGTCGTTCATCTCGTGAATATGACATGTCCCAATCCTCTGCACATATTATTACACAATCTGTTGCATCAATACCATCGAAATGCAGGTATATATATTCAAATAAAAAGAATTTATTCAATTTATTTTTCTCTAGTCGATATGTTCTTATTACATTTCCAAAAGTTCAAACTCGTTATCATATTCCAACATGTGTTGAACGTTTATTACTACCTGAACGTTTTCCAGTATTATATCAAAATATATTGCATAGTTCTGACAGGAATCAAAATAAGAAATAAGAAATTTGTATTTTATTTTGTCACATATTTTTTTTTCAAAATAAAATTTAATTACAGAAAACTAATACCGGATTAAAAACCTGAGCAAAAATTTGTTTTTATTTTAACTTGGATTAGCGGAATTCCATGAAAAAGTACTTTTTATACGATCAAAAAAACCAAGTGTGGATGCTTCTGTAGGTGGTGTCGGTTCAATTGGTTTTTCGGCGGGTACTTTAGTTACATTACTTACGTTTGTTGGTATTTGCTAAAAAAATAAATACAAAATTAAATTAAATAAAAATTATAAATAATAAAATCCTTACCGACGAAAGGATGCTCTCTATACATATAGAAATAATATAACCCATCACCATATTTTTTTAAATTATATAAAACAAAATTAACTTACTTTATTGTCACTTATTTCATTATCTTTTTTTATTGGCGTCTCAACGGGAATGCTGTCTTTAAGATAATTTGATGGTACAAAACCTTTTTTTCCATTTTCTAATTCACCCGAATAAAATCCATCATCACGAATATTTCCATATACATATATAATATCACCCTTACGAAATGATAATTCATCTTTATGATTTGCATTTGGAGAATTTTCACTTGGATTATAATCAAATTGTGCAAACATTTTCTTTTTAGTTGGTTTCGGAGGTGATGGTAATGGTGCTGGTGGTGTTCGTTTTATTGGTGATACTAAAAAGAGAAAAAAAATAAAGTAATGAAATACAAAGATAAAGAACATTCTAATATACCAGCAGATGACACACTAGATTCAGTTTCAGAATCATCAGATTCAATTTCTGATACCATATTACTAGGAACATAACCAGTACGACCTTTATCTGTTTGACCAATATAAAATCCATCTCCATCTTGATCACCATAAATCTAAATTAAATGAAATAGATTATCTTTTGAATAATTAAACTGTCTGTATTGTTAATAATTATACAGCTTGATTAGTTATTGTTAGATAATTTTCTACTCTAAATCTTCTACAGAGCTCAGCTATATTCTGACTTTTTTTTTATTACAAATAGAAGGATCATAATTTAATATTTGCTATGAACTAAGTTTTTCAAAATACTATATAAACATATATTTTAGGAAAGTAATCATACTTTAATTATTTCTCCTTTTTTAAATGGTAATTCTTCTTCACTATCTTGATTAGGTGACATTGCATGTGGATCATAATCGAATAGAGCAACAAATATTCGTGGTGGACCAATAAGTTTATTAATGAAAGGATTCTTTGATTTTTGTGGTGTAGTTTTAATTGGTGATGAATGTTGTTCTTCGGGTGTTATTGATTTTTTAATATTAAGATTTTCATTTATTGGTGAACGAATTCGATTTGAATCAACTTGTGGAGATAGTTTAACTGGAGATTGAGTAGTTGGTATTGTATCTGTATTTATTGATGATGTCATTGAAGGTGATTCTAATGGTGATCGAGTTAAAGATTTACTCATATCTTTTCCAGTTATTATAGGTTTTGATATAGGTGATGGACTATTCGGTGTTGGTAAATCTTGAGTAATTGATGAAAATCGACGAGATGTCTAAGAAGAAATTAAATGATAAGAATAATTCTTTAGTACAAATATATATGTTTAAATAGCAGAAAGAAAACAGATAATGGACAACAATTAAAGAAAAACCTTTCGATGATTTTTGATAGTAGGAGAAAGAAGTGGTGATTTAATTATTTCATTGTCTGTTATTGTTTGAAATGATACAACTATTTCTTTTGAAATAGATGCTATTCGTACTAATGATATATCCATATCCAACTAAGATAAAATTTCATGTATTTTCAAGTATTTAAATAACAACTGGCAAAAGAAAAACAAGCTAAATTTTTTTGTTACCTTTTTCAAAACATCATCAAGATCGATAGAAGTTGAATCATGTGATTCACCACCATTGTCAGTCAATGTTCGAATAGTTAAATATCGTCCCGGATGTAATGTATTCAAATTAATTACTGTATGATCATCTGATAGCAAAAAAAAAGCATCATATCATAAATAAAAAACATAATAAATAGTATTCATTTTATACTTAATGGATTTGTTATATCTTGTACTTGTCGTCCATCAATTAATATTCGATAACCACGAGCTGTATTTATTGATGGTGATTGTTCCCATGAAACTAGTATTGTATTTGTCTGTGGACCAGCAATAACTTGTACACGTTTCGGTGGTTCAATTGATTCGTCTAGAAAATAAAAATATAGATTTTCGAAAGAAACCAACATTCTAAACTATATCGAAGCAACGGGAATTATCTATCCAATACTAAGAGATTCATTTTAAATTCTGAACTTACGTTTCGATTGTTTATTATGTATTTTAGATGAACCTGAATTTATGAGTATTTTTTCTGTAGTATTAAAATTAAAATTCCCTCTTATATATTTATATATTACCAAATGAAGTTGTTCGAAATTCAACCGATGTAGCTACTTGTTGTTGTGGAGTTAATGGTACTGCTGGTTTAGCTTTAATCATTACTTTATGCATTGTATTAGGTGTTAAACCTGATAATTTAAATCGATAAATTCCAGGTTTAAGTGTTTGTACTTCCATATCATTAACATATAATTTATGTGAAATATCATTTGATGCTGGCCACCATGAAACAACAGCTGATGTTTGAGTTATTCGATCAACACGTAGATCAGCTGGAACATAAGATGAATCTTTTGAATTTGTTAATAATAATGTACATTCTTGATCACGTGATAAACCATGTTGAGTTATAGTTCGAATACTAATTCGATGAGATTTCTCATTTAAATTAATATTTTCAAGTAAAGCACGTGTACGTTCATTAGCACGAATTGTTGTATATAGTGAATGATCAAGTAATACTTGATAACCAAGAATTTGTGTATTAGTTGATGGAGGATTCCATGCAATCATAACACTATTACTGAGAGATTTTTCAATACGAAGATTAGTTGGATATGGAACTTGAAAGCAAAAACAAAAAGCTAATGGAAAAATGAAATAGAAAATGTTTTTATTTACCATGTTTTCCATAAGATAAATCATCAGCTGACATATCAGATGCACTGCTATTTACTAAATAAATAAAATGGACGATATTTCAATGAAGAAAAAGGTTTTTTTTTTCTATTACTTTGTTTTCGAACTGTTGGAATAGAAGGAGGAGAATTATTAGTAAAAACATCTGAATCAAGACTAAGAGTTTGTTCACGATGTCGTGTTATTCGTTCATCAACAGGAATATTTTTTCCAGTTAATTTTTGAATAACATGTTTTATATGTTCAGGTAAATCATATGGATTTGTTATTAATTCAATAAAATTTGATGGTATTAAACCATAACGACCGTCTAAATTTCTTCCATCATAGAATCCATCCTTAACAATAACAAAAAAACATAATTCTTTTAAAATAATATTCAAATGTATATTATTACTTCATCTATATCACCATAAATAAGATAATATTCTCCTGATTTAAGTGGTAATTCAATTTCTGGATGATCATTTGGTGAATCTTTTAATGGATCATAAGAATATTTTGCAATAACAATATGTGCTGATTTATCATTTGAATTTGTTGATCGTTGACGAGATTTAATCGGTGCACTATCATCTGGATTTGACATTTGAGAATGAATCATTTTTGGTAATATATTAGGATTATTAAGAATAGAGAGTATATTTCCACTTGATGTTGGTAACGTTCGATCACGTCGAGTTTTTAATGTTTCAAATTGAAGAAGAATTTCTTCATGTTTCAAAGATTGTAATTGAATTTTACGTTCAAGATCATGAATTTTATCCTGAATAAAAGAGAATAATTGAATTCATCAAATCTTAGAAATTTACGCACATGAAAATGAGTTCTATTTTTATAAAAAAAAATCTCATTTATATAGCAATCAAAATTAAAGCATAAATAGCTTGTATCGTAAATAGTTCTTTCTATTCTCGATTCTACGTTATATCCTGAGATATTGCCCGCTGACAATCACATAATGAGATCGAACGGAAATCCTTCCGGTGTTTTATGGCAAGATATTAATGATTGCACTCAAACATACTTCTAACTATTACTATATGGTAGCTAGAGTCCTGCGACTTTAGAAAGAAATATTTCATACTTGAAGTTGATGAATTGTTGCTTGATTTTCTCGTTTTGTTGTATCATGCATCTATAAACAAAAAATAATGAAAAATATTTAGTGAAATTCTTGATATTTTATTAACAAACTCTTTGAAATTGTTCAAGATCATCTTGTTTTCTTTTTAATTCTTTTTTATTAATTTCATTTTCATCATTTAATCGTCTTTCTAAATCGCTTGTATCTCGTAATGATTTAATAGTTGATTCAAGCTCCACATTTTTGATTTTTAATTGTTCATATTCATCAGATTTAGCTGCTAAAGCTTTTCGTAAATTTTCACATTCATCTGTTAACTATTCAAGTTAAAAGAAATTTTATATATATATATTTATATATTATTCACTAACTCGTTCATTCGTATTTGTTAGATTAGTCACGTCAGTATGAAGTTGTGTATTTAATGTTGAAATAGTCTCACGCTCTTTAATCTAAACAATAAGAAACTTAATCAATTTATTTCGGTTCATAAAAGAACTTACGCTAAGTTGCAGTTCTTTTTCTAAATCTTGATGATTATTTTGTGGTGATTTCTTAGTTAATTGATCGTTTTCTAATGAATGAATTTTTTCTTTTAATTTTTCATTTTCTTGTAAAGAAGATTCATAAGATAATTTTTCTTTTTTATAACGTTCTTCAATATCTAATAATTGTTTATATTTTAATTCTAGATGTTTATAAGATTCTTGAAGGTCATTTAATTTTTGACGCTAGAAAAAAAAACAAAGAAAGATTAAAAATAATCAAAATTTTCTAATTATTAAAAAATAAAAAGAATGTCAAAATCTAATCCTTCACATTAACAGATGGATAAAAAAATTAATAAAAAAAAAAACCTGTACGTTTAGTTTAGTAGCATTGTCGTCATTGGTATATGTCAAATGATGTGTATCTGTTTTTAACGTTTCATTTGCTTTTTGTGATGATTGATGATAAGTTGGATCAACAGAAGTTGTTGATGATGAACTAGTTCTTGGAAACAATGTTGGATCATCAGTTGTACTTGTTGATAAAGTTGTTGTTGGCTAGGATGGAATGATTGGGATGGATGATGGGAAACAAAATAAATGAAAAAGAAAACCTGTGAAAAAGTTTGTTGTAAATATCGTCGAGATGTCCGGACATCACGAATAAGTCCGGTAAAACGAGGAGACAATGGATTTGTCATACTTATTACTTATTTTTTCTTAGTCTTACTCACACACATATATATATATATATATGCGTTATTAACTAATGCGATTATCTATGAAAAAAAAAGATTCTTCGAGACATATATATATTTTTTTTCTTTTTTTTTCCAATTGTGTAATAGAAAAAAAAAAGCCAAAGAGAAAACTTTTTTTTCCCTTCTTTGGATATTATACAACTGAAAAAAATGTCTCTTCTTTATTTTTTTTTTCATAGATATAATGTGACTATAGATTGAACAATACTGATACGGAAGGATACTTCTCTATGGTTGAATGACAGTTTCCGTCAGATATGTTTAACTTACACTTGCATTCGTTGTTGTAGTGGAATTTAACGATGAATTTGATGATAGAAGGCGTTTTTCAAGATGTAATTTTTCAATATTGGCTTGACGTAAAGCTGATTCAAGAGAAGTTGGCTAAAATGAATCATTTGTTTTGATATATATATATTTATTTTTTCTTACTTTTGAAATTTGTTTAACTTGTGCATTTAAATGTTGTATTTCTTCATCTTTTTTAGCTAATAATTTATTAAATTCACTAGCTTGTTTAGATAAACTTCGTTTAATTAATTCTTTCGTATGATCTTTCTAAACATATAAAGAAAATTCTCATATAACAATCTAGTTTTTTTTTCTTCTATACCGGTTGATCTTGTTTAATTACTTCTAGTTGTTTTTCGAATTTTTTAACACGATCATTTAATTCAATATTTTTTCTTTGTAATGCTCGTTCTTGTTCATCATACAATCGACGATTCTAATCAGATTTAATAAGAAAAAAAATGTAGAAGAATATGAAATCAATAAAATAATTCAACTAAAGAAATTTAAAGATAGAACTTTTCGTACACTATTCGATTGTTCATTATCCCATAATTCATCTATGATAGTCACTTGACGCTTAAACGTTTCCATTAAATAAAAAGAAAAACGAAGAGAAATCAATGAATGAAAAAAAAAAGAGAAACATTGACGATAACCAGCTGGTGCCATCATGTCAATGTAGACTAATATAATAATCATTACTATTCGTAGTACAACGTTTCACAAGTAAGTTATATAGATGTTCGTTTTTTTTTCTTTTTTTTTCGGATTAATTTTTATTTTTTATTTCAAAACATCCTTTTCTACCGGGAAAGAAAGAAAAATATAGAACGTTGAATTTAACCTATAAGAGAGTAGGACACACTGGTGTGGATAATAACGTCAGAAAACGGTACATGACAAAAAAATAAACTGAAAAAACGAGAGAAAAAGGTTATAATTGAACGGGGATTTTATTTTGTAGCGTCTTTTAAATAAGCAATTAAATCTTTTCGTTCTTCTTCTTTCTTCAAACCAGCAAAGATCATTTTTGTACCAGGAATGTATTTCTTTGGATCTTTTAAATAGACCCAAAGTGTATCTTCAGCCCATGTAATTCCTTTGCTTTTATTAGCATCACTATAGGCGAAGCCCGGTACTTGACCAGTTTGTCGACCAAATAAACCATGAAGATTAGGTCCTTGTTTATTACCAGCACCTTTTTCTACGACATGGCATTGAGCACATTTTGTTTTGAAGATTTTGGCACCTTTTTCAACATCACCACCTTCCCATTCGTTACCCATTTTGTTTAAATAATTGATAAAGTTAGACGAAGGTAAATGTGTATATGTACTTAAGTATTCGTTTCGAGAATCGAAGAGAAATGGAGAAAAAGAAAAATAATAATGATGAAATGCGGAGGTTAGTAAACAAATAACAAGAAATGGCGTCGAATCAAGAACCGTCTATGGCATGAATCAGTTTATTACTAACGAGAAGGAGGACAATACAAGGCAACTTGTGTAGATAATGGCGGAGATGTATAGCAGAACGCGCAGAATGAAAAGAAAGGGAAGGAAAGAAAAAAACATTTTTTTAAACTTACTGTTGAAATAACAAGATCAGGATCGTTACATCGTAGAATTTGTATTGGTTCAAGTTTTTTATTGATTTTTTCATTATCAGTATTATTTAATGTAGAATCTCTTAATTGTTCAATATCATAAGATAGTTCACTAATACGTTGATCACGAGCAAGTAATTGTCGTTGTAAATAACATACTAAATCTTTTTGATCTTGTTTACAAAATGTACTTAATTCATATTCAAATTGTAAACGAAGTTTTGTAATTTTAGCTGATTTATCAAGATCAGATTTACATTTTACCTAAAAATAAGTTTTTTTTATTTCACATATATTTAGTATAATAGAAAAACAAAATATTTTTTCTATCCAGTTCAGTTACATTTTTATGTTGATGACGTCAATAAAAATAACAAAAATATACTTCACAATTGTTTATATATTTCGTTAATGTATAAAAGAAAACTTACTTTATAGAGTGTTGCTAACTGGCTTTTAGCTTGTTTTGCTATTACTAATTCACGTTTAAGTTTATCAACCAGAACAAGTAAACCAGTAGATGATTCATCTTGATGAATAAGATCTATTTCATCATTAATACCAATATTACTTTTATACGATGAACTTATTGATGATGGCTCTGTTTCACATACTGAACCTGATGATGAAGTTATCGATGGTGTATATAAATTTATTGGTTGAGAATGTGAAGGATTCGTATTAAAAACTGTTTTTGTTAGATTTGTTGTTTTTATCATTTGATTAATTTCGAATAATTACTATTTTGACATCTCACACGTCTTATTTTAGCTATAGAATTAAATAAAAATAAAAAGAGAAAAAGAAATATATCGTGTGTTAATAAATTCAATCTCGAAGGGTTGTTCTCTCCATTTACTGTAGAAATCAGAAAAAAAAGAACGACATACACAAGACTGACGAGCAAAAAACGATCAGGGCGGATGTCAACAAGAGGAAAGAAATACATATATTTGTACGAGGAAAAATCAGATTCACCTGTTCTTCTAAATGAACAATATTGATAATAACAAAAAATAATTCTAAATTATCACCATCGTTTATGGTAACATTAGTCCAAAAAGAGAACACTTTTTATCAATAAATACAATTTATACCGTCTAAAAGAAAAAACAAATAGAAAAATGATTTACATATATAAGGTTTCGAGCATTTAAGTGAACAAAACTGAAGTCATATGTTGTTAATGATTTGAATTTTAAAAGACATAGAAAAAAAAACGAGACGAAGTTCATTACTTTGAAAGTTCTCTTCTAACTCAATTCTCTACAATATATATATATATATATATTTACTACGATTATCTAATCATATTGATCGTTTATCGACTATGATAAATAGTAGAGTAAAAATAGGAAGGTCGTATAATCATTGAATTTCAAGTGTCAATCTGTAGAAAAAAAAGTGTTATGACATACTCGAAAATCAATGCTTAATCTTACATAATCACAAATCTCTCAAGGTATTTTATGATGATCAATATTTAGATTAATCGAAATATTTTTGTTCAGAAAAATGTAACAATAACAATTTGTTCGAAATTGAACGAATTATAATTTAATTGAATACAGTAATAAAAAAATAGAAAAAAATTATTTATTTATAATAGACAAAGAATTAGCTTGAAAATACAAATATATTTTCATTTAAATAAATACTAGCGCTACTATCTATTCATAATCAAGGATTGGTGAAATAACTCGTACGGAAGAATAAATTTTGTTTTTTTTAGTATTCTTATTATTAAGGATAATCTATTATGGCAAAATTTCTACAAACATTAAAACAGATATTTACTCGTACATCCAGTGAACAATTTGTTAAATTAGTAGGAACAGATCGATTTCAAAATAAATTCTATGAACGTCTTCCCGGTAATTATTTTATTCATATTTATATAATACATATATTTCTTTTTATACAAGGTAATCGATATTATGAATCATCAGCTCGTCGATACTATGAACCTTCAGATTATTCAAATGTTCGATTACATATTGATCCAGCTTGGGAAGGTACTTACATAAAAATAATTAAATATATCTTTTATATTATTTTTATTCAGCATGGTTAAGAGGTACTCGAAAACGACCTCCAACACTTAATGAAACAGTCAGTCACGAACATCAACGACAACAATTAGAAGACAAAGTAGAATTTAAAAAAAAAAATTTTTTTTTCTCCTAAATAATTTATATATATATTTATAGCCAATTAATATGTTACCTACAAGTTACGGACGTGATTCAGTACAAGGTGGAACAAGTAAGTATATAGAAAATATATTATTTATTGATAGATTTATATTTTCATTTAAGATTCCTATCCAATTCGAGAGAATTATGAAATTGATCCAGGTACTAAATCAAAAGAAAAACAAAATCCTGATCAAAAATATTAATTTTTTGAATATATATATATATTTTCTTGTTTGATTACAATGTCAAACCTCTAGATTTTTAGTTTTAGATGAATGACGGGATGAATAAATCCGAAGATGAATCTTCATCACATTCTTTATCACGTACAACTATACGTGAAGCAAATAATCATTTACAAATGTTACATAAACGTAATCAAGAATTAGAAGAATTCGTTTATCAACAAAAAGAACAATTAAAACAAAAAGATATTGAATATAGAAATTTATTTAAATCAAATCAATTATTAGAAAAACATTGTCAACAATTACAAATATTACTTGATGATCGAACAAAACGTTTATTTATGTATGAAAAAAAAGAAGGTTTATTTCGTGAAACACTTGAATTAAAACCAGCTATTGAATCATTATTGGATATATTAACAACATATGAAAAAGAAGATACAAATCTATCGAACAATTTATTTCAATTAAAAAAGAAAACTATTGATGTTGAACGTAAAACAGATGCTGTTTAATATCCATATAGGAACAGTATCTATCCGTATATATATATATATATTCCATTTTATCTGTCAGATTTTATGATAAAATGTTCTTTTTATTAATATTATAAATAATAATAATAAATTTATAATTCAATGTAGATGTCACATGACTTGCAGAATTTCTCCTATTTCAAGAAAAGAAGAATATTGAATTCAGATTCATTGCAGAAATTAGAGTCACGAGGTTTAATATAACAATATTAGTTTTGTCTATTAAAAGACTGCTGAAACTTTAGACATACTCTTATTTTAAGAGATGAACTCAATAAGATTTGTATAACTTCAATTAGTCTCTTATATAAATAAAAAAATTTATTTCGATGAGGTTTAGCAAAAGAAAACCAAATACAAATACTTTAAGAAAAACAAATAATTAATCAATCATAATAGAAAAAAAAAGTGATTTTTAATATTGACATTAGGGTTTTGTTGAAAGAGTTTCATCGGTATTATTTTCATTATTAATTGCATACTGTTCAAATACATTTTCATCTATTTGAGATTCTAAAGATTGTGGAGTTTCTTCATTATTGCTTGTTTTCTTTTTCTTTTCTTTTTCAAGTCGAATTAAATGACGACAAAATCCTTCATTTGGCCAAATTCGACGTCGAGTAGCAACTAGTTGAAATGCATCAAACAATGACATATTTTCATATGTATGAAGCAAATATGCTACAATTAATGTTGCCGATCGACTAATACCCTAAAACTCAAAATAAATTCAATAATTTACACATAGTAATTTTGAAAATTACTTGTTGACAATGAACATAAACACGATCTAGAAAGAAATCATATTGTAGGATATGATCTAATTAATTATTACTTACTCTTTTTATTGTTTAATGCTTCTTCTAAAAATTTAATTGCTTCTTCGAAATGCGTTCCAATCTGATAAGCAGGACTATCAATAATAGAAAAACCTAAATATTTAATTCCTGCTTCTTCATAATACGTTGCACATGTATTAATTTGTCCAAATTTACGTCCTTCAGCAGCATTTAAAATATGTGTAAAACCCAATTGCTTTAATTTGACTGGATCCAGTGCTAATTTACTAAACAAAAAAAAACGATCATAATCAATTTCATATTATTTCAATCACTTACTAATCACCGAGAAATAAACGAGGTACAATTTCATGATAACCACCTTGTACACAATCAACATCTTCGAGTTTTTCATTATTTACATTTGGTGAAAAAAATCGTCGAAATAATTCTACAATAGTTTTACTTTTCGCTGGTTGAATTTTTGTTTGAACTAATATTTCATGAATTTTATTTATACCTATATTTTCATCATCATCATCCATCTTAAAATTATATATATATATATGTATTTATAGTTATTTTTTATCGTGTAATTTTATATACAAAAAGAAAAGAAACGAAAGAAAGAAAATGTGTGAAATAAAATTAAATGAAAATTTTAATCAGAAAAAGAAATACATAAAACACTGTTCACATATTTCGTTGGTGAAGAAAAATTTTCAAAAACAACAAATAAACAAAACAAAAGTCGACATTGAAGTGTAATATTGCTTTCGCTTACAATCACATGAACTCTTCGAGTCAAATATTAACAATGAATTATTTGAGATCGAATATAGAAAGACTTTTTTAAATATATATTGGAGTTTCTTGTCCGGTTAATAGGCGATACATTTGAGTTGGCATTGTTTTCATTCGAAGCTAAAATAAATAATTTTATTAACAGATAAAAGAAGTCACAGAAAAAATGAGCTTACTTCGCCGATAGAATTTGATAACATACTAACAATTCTTTCATGAGGTGTAACAACAACACTATTGCCATTGATTTCAATTATACGATGACCAACACGTACACCACCACGTTCAGCGATACCACCACGAAGAAGACTGCATATCTATGATGAAAAAATTATATAAAAATTAATAGGTTAAAACTGACAGATGATAATCTGCTTTTTGTTTACAAAAAACAAATAGATGAAAGCAAAGGAAGATTATGCTGATCTATGATTTGTTTGACATTTATATGGAAAGTAGCTTATATTATTAAATACGATATGGAATGTTTGTAAATACACCGTCAATCATATTTCATTTCGAAGTTTCTCTTTTTTATGTGATCAAGTTATAATTAAATTTTTATAGAGCATATAATCTTCAAGAAGCCACTCACATCAATTCGACTTGTGAATAAATTGAATTATCTAAAATCTATATCGATACCAAACCATTTGTAGCTCTGGAATTCGAATCTACGATATTATTAGCGAGGTTTTACATTCTTATTGAATTTTATTTCAAAAGAACACCTAAGTTCATCTTCTCTGTTATTATCGATATCGGATCTCAGAAGCCGAATTAATCAGCAACTCTCTTTAAAGAATGAACCCATTCGAACAGCTCTTTCACTTTAATTCAGCATACATCGTTCCGTGTTCGCGCTTTGCTTTTTACATACTGCACATGCAAAAAATTGTCAACTGCCTTCTTTTTTCTCGAATTATTCACAAAACAATTTTCATTCTTTTTAATAGTTAATGATAACTTACAATGCCATTTTGTACACTAAAACCAAGCTAAATGGAAAGAAAAATATTGATAATGAATTTATTTTTGTATCATTTTTAATATTTACTTGATATTTGGTATCTGGACGTCGTATAAGTACTTCGACAACTGGTGGACATGGAACAACAACAAAACGGACGGTAGTTAAATGCTTCATATTCTAAATGGCAACAATTTTCTATATATTATTTTTTAAATCAATAAATTCAATATACTTTTATTTGTGTTTGACAAGTTGATAGAGGTAATCCTACCATACTAATACCATTCACTGAAATTACTTGATCACCAATATTCAACTGTCCACCTCTATTCAATAGATCACAAATAACATAACTTTTAGAAATATAAAACAAACCTAGCTGCAGGTCCACATGGCATCAGATTTGCAATAACAACAGTTGGTAACATAGATCCCCAACCACTTTCAACAATAACAATACCTAGTGGTTCATTTTTTCCTTTAGTTACAATAGCCTATTATAACAAAAACAAAACTAACGTAAATCAAACTATATCAGTTTATATTTGTTTTTCTTTAACCTCTTTTTGGCATTCTTTTTTTGCAAATCGATCTAATTCTTCAACAGCAATTTCTTGTTGATCGAGAACTTCTTGATAATCAATATCACGAGTAAAACTTGGATCATCAATACCATTAGCTTTTAAAAATTCGACATAAGCTACTTGAAATGCTTGGCCAATTGAATGAGCAATAGATTGAGCCTAAAGAAAGAAAAATATTCGATACAAAATCGAAAAACTATTACGTACTTCATCAGATTCAAAAATATGACATATCATTTTTTGGTTAATAGAAACAACACGTCGTGTTGCCGTTCCATTTGTATCATCATTTCCATCTCCACTATTATCATTTTGTATATATCTTCGTTTAGCCATCAGTACTACAAGATCACCAATATCAGCTAAATAACAGAGACAAGATAAAAAAAAACAAGAATAATATGAATATATACAGAAAAAAGATTTTAACTAACCAATATATGATATTGATCTTAAGGAATGATCCATTAGAATATCTTCTAAATCTGTATTTAAAACCATGATTTTTTCTGTTGATATAAATAAATCAACTTCAACAGATGGTTGACTTTCACCATAGGGTGCTTTGATACGTTCCACAGCTTCTTGTGCTTGCATCATACGTGATGATTTTGTTGGATTTCCTTCTATAGGTAATTGTGTTGAACCAAGATATCGACAACGAAATAGAACGCCTTCAATTAATACTGATGAATTTTCTGGATCAGGAATAATTCGTTTAATAACTAATTTATAAAAATACAAATCAATTATTTATTCTATTAAGAAATATTTCTTCACATGCAATACAAATACAATACCAACATTAACTTCAAACAAAAAAAAATATATATACTTACAAAAAAGAAAAAATGTTAAGAATTGTTCTCTCAATACTCATTAATAGAAAAAAAAAGTTAGTAAAATATTCTGTTAGATGAATACTATAAACGTACCTTCGCGTGGTCTTGATGGCTTTGACATAGCCTATTAAGAACATAAAATATATATATATACCTCTTTCCTTAACATTTTTATTTCTACATACAGCCTCACGAATATCTTGATTTTTAACATTAATGCGATGTTCATGACTAAGTAATTTGTCTGTTTCTTCATCAGTATCATAATCTATTGAGAAGAAAGAAAGAAAAAGAAAAATATACATTTAATATTAATACTATTTTAATTAAGGGTACCACCACAAAATAGGGAAAAATAAACATGCGAAACGAACCCTTTTTTCGAAGTCTTTTATCTAAATTTTTGTTTTTTAACAAGTTAATCTTAGTAAAGAAAATTTACCTGTTGGAATAGCAGAAGATTCTTCTGAAGAAATTTTTTGTTGATGATCTGTACGAGCAGTTGATGAAGATAATTGTGGACGATTTGAAGATGTTTTTGTTTGAGGTTCAGGTTCATTATTAACTGATTTTGCAAATTGATGTTTATGTGAAGACATTAATGATGAAGGACTTGAATGAAATAAAAAATCACTTTGAGTTGATTGATGACGATTAGTAGATTTCATCGTTATAGGTGGTGATCGTTCATCACCACTTATTTGTTCTGAATCCGATAAACCATCTTCAAGTACAGGCATACCTTCGAGAAAAATATGAAAATTAATATTCTAATTATCGATTTATATATATTTTGATAAGATTTAAAATTTAGGATAGAAATTTAACTTACTGACAGCTGAAGTCGATTTTATACTATCAATTGAAATAATACTATCTGCATCATTAGTTCCTCCACCATCACCATCAGATAATAAATCTGGTGATAATCTAGATAAACTTCCATCAATTGTTTGAAGATTCTGATGAAAAGACGATGATAGTTTATTAGGTAATATGTTCTTTTTTTGACTTGTATTAGTCATTGAGTCAGATGATCTTATTGGATCAACAATAATAGTTGGTAAAGTTTCTGTATGTTCTCTTGTTGGAGTTGTCAATATGGATGGGAAATTATCTAAACAAAAATCAATTAGATATTTATCTTGTCGATCATTCTAATATGAATATAAGATATATTTGATATCGTACCTGACAATGATGGATGTTCTTGCAAAAGACGAGCTGCTATTGTTTGTTGTTGTTGTGTATAATAAGCAGATAAACCTTGCGGACCATAATGTTGTTCGAATAATAATGGATCGTATGATGGATAGAATGGTGGTAGGCCATTAGTAGGTGGCGGAAAAGGTAAATAGAGGCCAGGATGCTGATGTGGAAATGGATAAACTGCAGGAGGCCATAATGGTTGTCCATAAGGATCAAAAGCTGATGGAGGCATCATTGGTCGATGATAATGATGTCCATTTTGTATTGATTCTTCATTTGCTGAATCAGTATTGATTGAATCAGGTGTCATTTCTCGTGACATTTGACCGATTTTAGCACTACCTGATGATGTACTATCAAATAATTGAAGATCATTTTGTGTTAATTGTGAGGGTTTTGTAGCTGTTCGACGCATTTGTGTAGAGATTGTTTCGAGATTTTTTTCTAATGCAGCATCAATACGTTTTGTTCCAGAGGAATTTCCTGGTGTCGCAGAAATAAGTTTAGCTAAACCAGGACCATTTATAGGAGATGCTCGATCGGATATTTGTTGATTTTCATCTAAATAATGATAACCTTATGTTCTCTGTACGAGAGAGATATAGAAAAAAAAGACATTCTTACGACGAGTATTAAGATTCATTGGTGATATTCTACCATCATTTTTCATTGTTACTGTTGTCGGCAATAATGCATTATGATCCTGTGTCATATCAGTCACAGACGATGATAGTTGTTTAGGAATGTTATTGTCACTCTGTTTACAAAAGCAAAAAGAACAGGTGTTGATTCAAGGAAAAAACATAGCGCATTACTCTTGTGAATAGGTTATACTTTGACCTTGACTGAGTAATAATATGGATGGCATATATTTATTCAATTCTACTTCATCTATATATTCGTGTCTAATATATTTCGAAGAAGAAGAAGAAGAAGAAAAGCTATAAAGCAATAGGCATATAGACAGAGAAGTCTTAGAATTTAATCAAAACAATAGGTTGATAGATGGTGAGGTGAGAATATTCTTGAATCGACTTATGATCAATGATCGACATCGATCATCACATGCAATTAGAAAGATGAGTTGATCATATACTAGTATTATTCTTTTTTTTGTTGTTGCTAGCAGGCAAACATTATTGGCTTGTACTTACATATACTCTCATTTTCAATTATACAGAGATCGATGCTTTAGTTAAAATAATCACACAACCTTTTTTTCTCACTTATCTCAAGGGATTGAAGAATACAAACTACAAACGTACGTGTTGATGATGATGATGTTTATGACGAGATTTTGTTCGCATTGTATCAGTTATTGATAAAGACAGCATATGTTATTCGCATTGAGTCATTCAATTTCAGAATATATTAATATTAGTCTATCTCCATTTTTTCTCTTTCTCTCTCTCTCTCTCTCTTTTCTGCTTCAATCCATCTGTCAATGCAAAGGAAAGAAGAAAAAAATCTTTAGAGAATGAGCCGATGAATTCTTCTTTGTCAATCTATATGCTAAAAAGTAGCTTTGGTGCTCATCAAGCGGCAACAAAAGGAGAGAAGGAATGACATTTGATTAACATAGAAGACCAACAATATTTTGAACAACGGAAGTAGGATATTTCTTTTTCTTTGTCTAAACTGCCAATAGAACTGTACAGATGAAATGATAGATAGACAGATGTGCAGACTTATATGCGCTCAAGGGTATCTATTTATAGTATTGTCCATAACTGATGAACATTTCTGATAATAATAAGAAAAATAAAGAAAGTAAAACATAAGAGGATCTACTACTACTATTTCTTTTTTAAATCGAATTAAATTACCTGAGATTTTGAAGATATTTTTGTATCTTCATTATTTACTGACGTTACAGATAATCCATTATTCTCGTGAACAACTTCTTCATTGACATCACTACTATTAATGGCACTCGGAGAATGAAGATATTCCATTGTGTTAATTCTTCATGTATATGTGATGAGGATACTAAAAAGTAACATAAATAAATGAGTGCTTTTTTCTTGAACGACGTTTGAATATTATATAAGGAGAAAAAAAAACTAAATTTGTTCTGTTTATTCCTAACATAAACTCATATATCAAATGATAAGTTGATCAAATTAATTTTTGACAAATACACTGTAAGACATTAAATAAATATCCATATAGGAAAAAAAGAAGAAGACCGAGACGAGGAAAGGTATCTTATTCTCAGATTACAAAAAAATGGAAGACGACAACATCGTTGCACGTGTATTATTCATTGGCCAATGATGATAATGATGAAAAAGAAGAAAAAAAAGAAGACGAAGCAAAAGAAGAGTTGCATCAGTAGTGGCAGTAGTAGTAGGAAATAAAAAAAAACGAAGGGAAGGATGAAAAAGTAACGAGTATGATGCTTATTTTCATTTGTGAGTCTTACTTTGCCGCAGGTTTTTTTTTCTTCCTCTATCTAATAATATTGATAATGATGCCATTCTAACACATTAACATTTTTTTTATACAAGTAGAAACATATATTTAAGTATATTTATGTATGCGTATACAGGCTTTATTCATCACTTGTCTTTAATATTGAAAAAAAACTGCATTCTAATGAATAAAGTTAATCTCAAGTAGAGTTGCAATCGAGTTTTAACCTCGAGAAAATGAAGGAGAGAAAAAAAGGCTAAGCAAAACGGAAGAACGAGAATATATATTGCGTGTTCAATAAGTAAATAGATACTCTCGTTTGGACTGGATTCCATCATCATTTGTGCGCTTAGAAAGAACGAGAATATATTGTTAGAAACATTACAATGGGAACATTACTAATTTTTATTTTTGAATGTATGCATCCGAAGCGAAAAGAAATTTCTTTATGTTCAAGATCAGAAAAGCAATAGAATAGAAATAAAATAATATCTTCGAGATATATAATATGTCTTTATAGATGTGAAATATACGTGTCTTTGCGCATAATTAACTTACCAAATCAATATAAACTTGTCAGGTTACATTTAATTTTGAATAAAAATATAAACGTGATTATTATCTACGGAAATAAAAAAAGAACAATTAACAATAAGCTCGTTTAATACATTTTTTTCGTTTATTAAATAAACAAAATAAAAGATGTACTATATTACAAATATATTACAATAAAAAAAACTAATAATAATAAAAATTATTATTATTATTAGTATTATTGACGAGGTTTTAATGTACGAATTTTTGCAAAAATATCTTGTTTTTCACCAGGATTCATGATAGCTGTATAAACTGTTAATTTATTAAGTACAGGTATAACAGATAGAACAATATCAAAAATATTATCTTGTGTCATTTGTGTTGAATTAAATGATTGAAGAATATTTTCTGCTGCTGTTCGTCTTGGATCATTAGATGGATCATCAAGCCAATGATCATAATTTGTTTGTACAAGTGTAGAATTTAATTCGATAGGATTAATTGAATTTAAACGATTACGTGTTATAATCATACCTGATGAACGACCGTCAGTTATTATAAAATAAACAGGTGCAATTAGATGTCGATTTTGAAGTATATATTTCATATCTTGATAAGACATAATTGAATTATCAAAAATAGAACGTGTTATAATAAATAATGGAAGAGAATGTAAATGTAAAATAGACATCAATGCATTCATCCACCAATCTTTATCATCTGTACTACGTTGATTAATACTTAAACTGAAATATCCTGAACGTGAACTAGTTAATAAACCGATGGAACCAGCAAAATGAATTGATTCATAATTAAAAGTTGGATTTGATGTACGAAAAAATTTAACATGAAATGTTAAACGACGAAGTAAATCTGTATTAAGATCAAAATCAAGATTTCGACCATGAATAATAGTATTATTCGATGTTCGAACAAGTAAACTTGTGCAATATGTACGAAGTTCATAAACGAGATTAATAAGAACAATATCAGCTAATGGCATTGATATTGATCGAGCTATTGAATATAATTCATCATAATAAGGTTGAGGAATATGTTCTTCTAATCGTGTAACAATTATTTCAGCAGCATCAATAAAAACTTGAGGTATTTGTGCACGAATAGCTATATTAAATTCATTCATAGGTTGAGCGAAATTTGGTATTATATCTGACCATCGATCAATTGGAGCATGATCAAGATCAATTGAAAAACTTGGAACATCAAGAGGAATATCACTATGTACAATGGAAATAAATAAGAAAATGAATATAATAGACATGATCTAAAAGCAAAATAGAATAATCAAAAATGGAGAAATTTTATTTATTATCTCAAAAATTCATCATTCGTTTAATAGCTTCTAAACAACGCCATTTAGATGGAAAATAAAAAGGTTCAAATACATGAGGTATAGGATGTATATCATAACCACAGACACGTTCTATTGGTGCTTCAAGATTTAAGAAACATTCTCGCTAGAAGAAAAAAAAGAAAGAAAATAAAAATATCAAACATAATTTATTTTCACATACAGCTACAGTTGCAGCTATTTCAGCTCCAACTCCACCAGTTATTGGTGCTTCATGACTTATTAATAATCTTCCAGTTTTACTAACTGATTGACAAATTGTATCAACATCCCATGGTAGAATTGTTCGTAAATCAATTAATTCACAAGAAATATTTTCTTTTGCAGCCATTTGTGCTACTTCTCGAAGAACATGAACTTGTGTTCCCCATGAAAGAAGTGTTACATCAGAACCTTCTTGAATAACTTGAGCTTTAGATAATGGAATGGTATATTCTTTAATAGGAACATCTTCTTTAGCTGATCGATAAAGTATCTTTGGTTCAAAAAATATACATGGATTGTCATCTTTGATGCATGATATAAGTAAACCTTTAGCTTCAATCGCACTACGTGGAATGACAACCTTAAAATTAAATATTAAATACAATTATAAAAAAAACGAATAAACTATTTATAATTACTTTAAGACCGGGTGTATGCATAAATTGAGCTTCAGGTGATTGTGAATGATACAATGCACCATGTCCAACAGCACCCCATGGTGCACGAATAGTAAGTTTACCACAATTAAATAAATTTTGTGAGCGATATCGATATTTTGCTGCTTCATTCACGATCTATAAAACAATTCAAACAACTAATATTAATGAATGAATAAAAAAATCAATAATTTTACTTGATCGTATGCAGGAAATATATAATCAGCAAATTGTATTTCAGCTACAGCTGTTGCGCCAGCTACGGCTACACCTATACCAAAACCAATAATACCTTGTTCACATAATGGTGTATTAAATACACGATCAGCTCCTTCAATAGAAATATTTAGAAAATTTAGAAATATAAAATTATTTTCTCACCATATTTCGATCTTAATTCTGTTGTACATCGAAAAACACCACCAAATGCTACGTCTTCACCAAATACAACTATAATATACATATGAAGTAGATAAATAATGATAAAAAATTATCAACTTTACTTGCTGTATGATCGTTGCCAAGGGTAATATCGAGTGCGTTTTGAATCGTCTGACATAGATTCATTTCTTTAGTTGGACCTGAAAACCAAATTATTTCCATTGTTAAAAATTAAAATAGAAACTAACCATGAGATGGATCAGGTTGATCTTTGAAAAATGTAAAATGAGCCACATGACGTCGTGAGAAAAACGACGAACATTTTGGTACAGTGCGAAATAAATGACGGAAAGGTAAATTCATGGATGATACGTGAAACCTTGAAAAAAAACAATAGTAATTAGATGTATATTAAATTATTATTGTGATTTAAATATGTCTTCGTAGAACTATTCAAACGTAAAGATACGGTAAGAGAATGAAAGGTGTAATAGTTGTTAGTTAAAATCGTCTCGTTTTCTATACGTATATAATCAACCAATAAAAAGTTGGAAAGAAGAAAGATGGCATACGAGTAGAAAGGAAAATTGTTTTTTTTTCTTCATCATTAAGAATACGTTTCATTTTAATAGGATCCTCTATACTGGAATATAGAATAGAACTATTGACTAAAGTGACCTACCAATAAAGTAAAAATTATATTCTAATCGCGAAGTTTTCACATTTTTTGAAGTATATGGTGTTCTTTGATCATTTTTTTGTTGTATTATCTAAATTGAAAAGTAACATTCTCATAGAGAAATACATCCATATGAAAAACTGATACTGGAATCTATCAACAATACTTAATTAATCATTAATAATACTGATTAGACTCCATTTCAGAATGCAGCAATAAATATTATATGAAAGCTATAATTCAATATTGATAACGTTTCATACTTTACAGTTTTCAACACAATAAGGTCAAAGCATAGAGTAATTTATTAAAGAATGACGTTCGCAAAAAAATAGCGTTTATAATGATAGTTAAAAAGGAAGCAAATAAGAAAAAAAAATATGTGAGATGAAAAAGTTGTTTCTTAGTTCAATTAACCCAATTTATAATTTAATTGGTACTTGAATATGTAGAAAGCCATCATCTTTCAATTCTGTTTTCAAATGATCAACTTCACAAGTAGGGAAGAGAGTAACTTGACGGTAACTATGTTCACCTGGAAATGAAAAAAAATTTTAATAAAAGTAATATTTATCGTTAAAATAACACGTACTCATATGTCGACCGCCATCAGCGTCTATTTTATTATTGACGTCAACGCGTAAATCATGTCCATTAAGTGAAATTTTCATTTGATCTAATTTTGTACCTGGTTTCATTTGTAAACGCATGTAAAGTATTTTTTTACCATCATGACCATCAACAAGTGATGGATTCCATGTTTTATTTTGAAGAAATTCTTCAAGTGTAAACATTCGACTTTGATTACTGCTTGAAATTGTCTAAAAGAAGAAAAAAATAAAATTATAAAATAAAATTATTGTAAGTCAATAATTACTTTTGAACCACGACGTTCACTTGTGCTTGATTGTTGTTGATTCAATGTATTTGATGATGCATTGTTCGTTGTAGATGATGTCGAATGTGTTTCATTGCTACGGTTAATTGGTACAGCAGCAACTTGATTAGTATTATTTGTTGAGCTTGTTGTTGTTGATGATGTTGAATGTGTTTCATTGCCACGATTAATTGGTACAGCAACAGCTTGATTAGTATTATTTGTTGAACTTGTTGTTGTAGATGATGTAGAATGTGTTTCATTGCTATGTGTTGATGGTGCAGAGGCAGTATGATCAGTATGTCCATCTGCGCCTCTTGTTACTGAAACTCTTCGTTTCTGTATTGTTATTGTACCACCACTAGCCAAAAGTTCTGGTGGGATATCAAGTGGTAAGTTTGACAAATCTACAAAAAAACAATTAGATACATGAATGAATAAAATGATTAGTGAATTATACCCGAAGTTGTCAATGTTGTTTGTTTGTTTGATGTTGTTGATGATGATGCATTGGGTTCATGAATAGCAAGTTGTTGATTACCTGCATTTGATGAGCGACGTTCAGTTGTATGTGTACTGTATGTTTGAGAACTACCACCAGTTGTTGTATCAACACTTTTAAGTAAATCAGCTATTTCTGGTGAAAGACCAGATGAACCATTTGTTGTTGTTGTTGTAGTAGTTTTCGTAACTGATGTTCGTCGAACTTGTTGACCTGGTGTTGATAAATTACCTGAATCATTTGATGTTGATAATAAACCTTGATTGTTTGATGTATTGAATTTATCTAAAGAAAATGATACACGACGTTGATTATTAGCACTTTCATTAACATTTAAATGATCAATGTGTGGTGATGAACTAAGAGGAATTTCAACAACAAGCATATGAGCTGCAGTTATAAATGATGCCATTGAATCAATATCAGCATTAGCTGGAACATCAAAGGTTCGTTCAAATTGTTTTTGCATATGACGACCTTCACTATGTTCTTCATAAACACCTGATATAGTTAATTTACGATTTTGAATATAAATCTATATATAAAAAAAATTCATTAAAAAAAAAGAATACAAATGAATGTTTTTTTTTATTATATTTACTTTAATTTGTTCAGGTTGAAAATTTTCAACATCAAATGTAATACGAAATTTTTCTGTATCATGAGAAAATTTATCTCTTACTAATTGTTGATTTGGGCGACTGAGCCAACGAATATTGCTATCATCACCAGGTGCAAAATCAAATGCATTAAACCATATGTCGTTTTTATTAGCAGCAAGATTGGAACCTGCATTGGTTCGATGAATTGGTACAATTTGTGAAGACATTTTTAGAATATAATTATTGTTGTAAATAACTGTGGTTTATACGAATGATATTTATATATATACATATACGCATTTATATGTATATATATATATAGTTCTTTTTAAGTGGGTGGGTAAAAAACAACGTTTTATTCTCTAGATATGGCTTGTCCGCCTCCTTTTCTGCTAAATCTATACAATATATTTTTGTGTTTTGTTGATGGATGTGTCCATTTTGGGCTTTTCTTTCGCATGTCTAGATCGATATACAGGCAACATAACTAAAACAATGGGTTTCTATTCATAGTTGTTAACGAGTTGTCATGTCACATTTGTAAATACAAAAACCAGTCAGTCAGTCCATCAAGAGACCTTCAATACTTGTCATTGTGCACAATAACATAACGCATTAGAATGAAAAACAATTAGAATTAGAATATACACGAATTTTCTGGTAAACTATAAATAGTAAATTAAATAATGCCTACGATACAATTGCGTATAATTATATATCAAAATACAAATTGGTAAATTAAGATATATTTATAGACAATATTCTGCTTTTCTGATTTGGAAACTAATACTATGTAGAGTGATATGTTCTCAATACGATATATGTTTTTTATTGGTTTATCTGTATAACTACACTCATTACTATCATTTACATTTATTTAATTCTGATTAGATGAGATGTAAGGTAATGAACATTATGAAATTATATACACAAATTTTAGATATAAATCTCATATATTTTCTGATGCTAAATATATTAGTCTTTGTTATTGCAAAATATATTGAAATTCTATATTAAGTTCTACTTGATTGACATATATACATATATCAATTATCTCGCATAAAAATAACTCAATGACATCATATTGTATACAAGTATTCTAACTATTAAAATATTAATAGAAGTGCGAAATAAAGTTATTTTTAGTTTTAATAGGTATACATTCGGATCTTGTTCTGAGAATAATTATACAAAAAAAAGAAGTAAGCCATACTCTTGTATTCTTTTGCATTCGCAGTCACTTATAACATACCCTTTTTCTAAAACTTTTAATTAATTCACACAAGTATTCAGATATCGAGAATCAGTTCTTTCTACAATTTTTAAATAACTTCTATGCATATATCTATATAAAACATATAGTGTTAATGAGATAAGTTGAGTAGTACGTCTGATCGATTTTTCAAGTGTCATCTATAATCGAAAAACAAGAGACAAGATGAATAATGACGTTTCATAGTTTTCCATATAATAGTCAAGGAGTAACATCAATGTGATTACAAGACAATGTAGTATACTTTTCATAGATTTTAATATTTAATTGTGAAAATAGTCTAATTGAATATCATACTAATGTGATCAAAAGGAGATTGCATTTTTGAGTGATTATAATCACTATGTTTCTGAACGACTACGAATTGAAACTTATTCTACAGATTTTGAAAAATAAACCTTTCGTAAATGTATTCATAATATACATTGTCTATATTGAATATGAAAACTAAGAGATATTCTATCGATTAATTGACAAATGGTACCAAAAGAACTATAATTCGGCAATTACAGATTTTGTTTTCGGTATACTCTGGATCTCTCAATTAATCACAGGGAGACCATTGAATTAATCTTCGTCAGAATGTCAAAAACAAACATCCGTCTATATTTATGAGTCGATCGTCTGTTGTAGAGGCGGGGTATTGAGTGCGATACTCAGTATCTTCGTACTTTTTTACTCAAAAATTGTAACTATCGAATATTTTTTAGAAGTATAACTTAATGGTCGATATTAAATACAAATATATGAGTTATTTAATGAAATACTGCTATGAAACTTTATTTCCTTTGGACATTATAACGAGGTTAGATATTCAGTGAATTTCTAATGTAGATCAGATTATTTTTTATTAGTGGAAGAGTCGAGTATTTATACAAAGGAAGAAGACAAGAAGGTTACTTTTCTTTGTTTTCGCATAATTACTCCGACAATATAAGAATTGAATAAAGAGATAAACGAGGACATATAACATCTGTATAGAGGTAAATAAAGACATATATCAGCTGGATAGAAAGAAAAAATGTATCGAGGGATACTATATAACAAATGAACAGTACCTCGATAGTCTGTGTTTTTTTCAAATATATTCACCTGTTCATTATTACTCGTAATGATCATGATATGTTCAGTACTAAAAATTCCTTCAGATATATTTGTTTTTAATCAATTCAGTTGACAAATATGATCATCTTTTTTCTGACTTATATTCGATAGTATAACCTTTTTTAAGAATCATGAAAGAAAAAATTCTTTATCATTTTTTGCTACATTTTGAGCAAAGTCTTATTTTTGTTATAAAAGAACAAACAATTAAAAATAGTTTACATTTGCAATAACAAATTATTCTTTACATAAAGACTTCAAGTAGATTATCAATATCATTTCTACAAATCGGACATGTTCTTCTTTGAGTATTATTCCATAATTTTTTACTACAGGATACACATACACATAAATGTTTACAAGGTAATAAAACAACAGTTTTTTTATCATTCCAACAAACAATACATGAATTAGAATCATTTATTAATTCTTGTTGCAAATTCCGACGTGTAAATCTTGCATACGATGGTCGTGCTGAACGTTTATCAACATTAAATTGAAATGGAGTATAATCGTCATCATCATCATCATTAACTACATTATTAATAGTTCTTGGATGATTATTTTTCACAACAATTGATTGACGAAATATAAATTTTTTTAATAAATAAAAACTACCAATAGCTAAACAAATACTTATTATAATATTAACTTTATTCAATAATAATAATAATAATGAATCGATCATTTATTAAATAGAAATTTTAAAATCAAAGAAAAAGAAATTTATCTAAAATTAGTATTATTTATTTTTTATCATTTAAATAGAAATACATATTAAAATATTTGTTTAAAGAAAATTTTGAAAAAAAAAAGAATTTAATATAAATCTATCGATATTCAACAAAAAATTGTTTATCATGATATATGTATATATATACACAACATACGGTTGATCATATTTTGAACAAGTTGCATACACATATATTTTGAGCATTTGTTATCAATTTATTTATCATTATTATTAAAATTTGTTGAAGTAGTTGATGGTGGTCGTGTTGTAACAAATTCATCAAATCCATGTGCAAATGTATATGAAATGTAAATACCTTTCCATGAATTGTGATCATCATCAGACAAAGATATTATTAATCGAGACATTTTATAATAAATGGAACAAGATTCTTTGTTGTTCACGTCGATGAATCGAACTTTTGAGGACAAGACATTAAGAATGTGTGAGAGAGAGAAAACGAAAATTCATGATATATATGTATTCTTTCTATATCTCGATGGACGCGTCAAAATTGTCTTATTCTTTTCGTTTTGTACTTGTTCGTTATAATCATTTAAATATATATATATATGGTCTAAAGAGCACTGTTTTAGTTTCCGAAAATGAAAAAAAACAACCTACTTTAAATAATAGCACTTACATTTGTTATCAATCGATTGATTATTTAGAAAGAAAAAATTTAATATATATATAAAAGCGCTCAAAATGCTAAACCAAAAAATATATATCAGATGTATACAAGCATGAGAAGAAACAAAAGATAGTTATTACAATGGTTTAATGTTTATATAAGTATATATGCATAAGTGAAAAATAACATTAAGATTCATGACAACTGCTTTAGTTCTTTAAAGCTCAGTTTTGTTTGCTAAAAGTCAACTAATCGTATTGTTTGTAAAATCAATCTATTCACTCTAAATATGTACAAATGTTTTGGGTCAAAAAAACATCTTTTCTAATTTTTATAGTTTATGCTACTAGTGCAGTGGCGGATTTAGGGGGAGGAACGATCACTCCCATCGCCCCTCCCCTTCCGAATTTTTCTTTTATTTTTTACAGCAAAAACGAACGGAAAAATAGGTTTACACTACTTCGATTGGACTCAAAAAATAGCTTTTAGCCAAAATCGTCCCTCCATACTCAAAAAAAATCGCTCCCCTCTCCTTCCAAAATCCTAGATCCGCCACTGTACTAGTACATGGCAATACAAAGAATCTGCTAGATAGTGATAATTTCCTAACCAACATCTATAAGTTTTCATTAAATGTAATCTAGAATAAGTGAGAAAATTTTTTTTATGCATTTAATAATGCTTTATTATCGTGATTTTTCTTTATTTTTTGAAAAGTAAAGAAAGCGGAGCAAAAAAATAAATAAATAATTTAAACAGCCAACCCTTGATTTCCCTTTAATGTTTGTACTAATGTTCCTTCTTCATTCATTTGTTTAAGTATATCTAAACCACCGACAAATTGTCCATTGACATATACTTGTGGATATGTTTGCCATGATGAATATTCTTTAAGTTTTTGTCGAACATTTTCATCTTGTAATATATCAAATGTTTTAAAATCTTTTATATTTGCATTATCTAATAAATTTAATAATTCTTTTGTAAATCCACATCTTGGCGTTTCAGGTGTACCTTTAATGAAAAGCATTAATGGTGCTTGATTAATTAAACTTTCTAAATATTTTTTCATATCTTTTTCTTTTTCATGTGTTTTTTGTTGATTTAATTTTAAATCAAATTCACCATTTTCAATCATTTGTTTCATTATATCTAAACCACCAATTAATTCACCATCAACAAATAATTGTGGATATGTATTCCAATTTGAATGTTTTTTTAATTGTTCACGAATATTTTGATCCGAAAGAACATCAAATGTACTATATTTGATTTTATTATCATCAAGTATATGACATGCTTGTCGACTAAAACCACATTGAGGATCCGTTGGTGTACCTTTCATAAATAAAATCACAGGTGATGATGATAATAATTCTTTGATTTTCTTTTCAACATTTATATCCGTATCATTTTTTGATTCAATTTTTGTTGATGTTATTGCTTTTTCATGAATATGATATTTGATTTTTTTTAATAAATCACCTTGATTAAAACCATCAACACGATCAATTAATTTTGTTTGATGATAGAAAAGTACAGTTGGTACAGCATTCACATTTTGTAATGTAAGAAAATCAGAAAAATGATCAGCATTTAAACGACATACTGTTAATTGTTGATTAAATTCTCCATCACGATTTATTGCTAATAAAGCTTCATTAACTGTTTTACAAACCGGTATTTGTTCTAATTCAATATGAACAAGTAATAATTTATTGATAATTAATGATGATTTTATATATTCATCAAAATCTTTTTGTGTAGCGATTTGATGAACATCAGAAATCGATTGATTCGACATGATTTATCTACAAAACAGAAGAATGTTTGTTATATTCTTGTTTAATTTTTATATACAAAACAAATAATTAATGCAATATAAAAAAAAGAGTGAAAAACACTAAAACAATTTATATCTTTTGAGTTTAATGACGACGATGTTTTCTTGGCGGTGAAGGACTACGTGATCTAAAAGAAATCATCATAATTATTAAATTTATTTCTTAGTAGAATAAAATACAAACCTTGGCCGTTGTTTACGAAGTCGTTTTTTTGCATCTTGTGATATCGTTTTAATATGCATAAAATTACAAAAACCACTTCTATTACACTACAAATAATAAATATTCAATATATTTTCTTATAGATAATTATTGAATTACTTACTGAACCTACTTCATACTGTCTACAACTTGCTTCTTTGAAATCAGTTACAGGACTAAAACAATAATCATAAAATATATTTCCTAGAATATGTAAATCGATTTTTATCTGTCTATCAATAATTCAATACGTATGACCATGTTCTCTACATTACACGCCTAGACTTTAAAAATAGAAATTTACCTATGTTTGTCTATTCTACACAAGCATCGTTTAAAATAATCCCACTGTGTTTCTCGGATAAAAGCATTTTATATTAGGATGCCGGATTGATTGATTCAGATGAAAGTATAATCGCACGTCTATCCTGTCAGCTTAGTGAATCGATTTATGATGAATAGTACTTTTAAATTTAATTAAATAATATTTACCTTAATTCTGCATAGATAGGTTTTCGATCAAACCATCGTTTATTAAGCTCAGTTACAGCTCGATCAGCATCTTGTTCATATCGAAACTAAATGATCGTATTTATTTTTATAGTAAAAATAAATAAATAGATTTTACTTTAATATAAATATTTCCTACAAGATGTTCGCCAAGATTATCACAAACAGTCATTGCTTCAACGTGTCCATACTAAATCAGTTATATACAAATTGCAATTGAGGATAAAATAGAAGAAATAAAATAGGAATCACGAAAAAAAAATGATATATATATGTGTGCACAATTATCCTAAAAAACCTGTAAAAACAGAATTTTTCATATTTATCATTGTACCTTTTTTTTGTTTTTATATGTATGAAGTGCATTTTGTTATAATAGAAAAGAAATGAAGAGTTCCTCCTGCAAAAATGGGTTTAGAAAAAAAACAAAGAATTTGAGAATATTATTAATAAATATTGTACGTGATATTTGGAGATGTAAGTGTTGTTGATGTCTGTTTTTCACATATCAAGCCTGCAATAATGGATAGAAGCTTAACCAGATAGAAAAGAAAGAATGATCAAAGTTTAACGTTTTTTTTTCTCATTTTTTAGATTTAGGTTCAAGAATAAGATAAAACGAAAAAATCTTCGAATTAAGTTTATAAAATCTATTTCACTTACCTTTCCTTCAACTTCTAAAAAAACTTCTTCGAAGAATTCACTAGAAAATAGAAAATATAATCAATATAGATACAAAATTTTCTAAGAGGTTTATCTTTTCCGAAGTTTAATAAGAGAGAAATCTATCATCTATTTTGAAATAAACTAAGAATCATTTATTTTACACTATCGAACAAGTCCTCGAGCAGTACGTGATGAGAAATGTACGAAGTTATAGTTCTTGCGAAGTTCAACTAAAAATATTCAGTCGTCGCTGATTATGAAATGGATAATAGTTTTACACATGACTTCTCTTAGTACAAAATCAAACACGATAGATAGAAATGCATTAATATATTAGGACTATGGTGACAAGCGTTTGGTAAATACTGAATTCAATTTATTACAAATTTGTATCGATAAGAAGTGCATTCTACATATTTCTCAAATAAATTCAACAGAAATAATATTTCAACTTATGAAATTAATTCTAATTGTTATTTTTTTAGCTCAATTTGAAGATAATGATATATATACTTACTCAAAATGTTTTTGTACTTCTTCCTCAGAATATTGATTTCCATGGTATTGTTCGACTAGAAAGGAATTATTAAATAAAATATGATTAAATTGAATATTCTCTTACCAAGACCAGTGTCTGGTTTGGTGATAGAAGTATTATTTGGATTTAAATATAGATTTTTCAAAAGAACTGTCTAGAATGTAGAAAAATAATTTTCCATTGTTCGTAGAAAAAGAACGTTTATATCATACTTGACTAAACGTAGGCTTATTATGAACACGAGAACATCTTAAAATAGAATGAAAAGTATATATTTATATATATAAGTGCATATAAACTTTTTACCGTTCGCCATGACGACAAGCACCAATTTTAAAATAAAATGAACAGTTTACTCTTAAAAATTAAATAATTAACATTCGATTACTAAATTAAATATATTATTTACTTGTCTTGTTCAGTACCAAAAATCGACGCAAGATATTCAGCCATTAGAAATCAAGCTCACTTTCTATTTGCTTTTTTCTTCTACGCGATAGAAAGAACGATGGAGATTGATCTAAAATGCCGTCGTTATAAAGGTAAGTAATAAGTAGCTTCTCATTTTTTTTGTTCATTGAAGTGTGACAGATAATAATTGCAGCTGTTCAGATTAAGTAAATGTCACTAAGATCAATTTAATTTAAATATAGATTGTAGTGACAAATGAAAGTAAAGATAAAATTGATTGCAAACATATTATCTAAAAATCAAAGGTGTTTACATTTATATTTATAACCGTGAATTTAAGCAAATATTTAGGTGTGATCTCTAAGTAAAGAGAAGAAATTAACCAATCATTTACAAGATGAGAGTGATAGATTGCATAGTAATGACATCTAGTTAAAATTAATTTATATAAGATATTGAAATTTTTGTTAAAGGACTTATGAGAAAATCTTTTGAGATCATACCATCCTTCTTTAGATCCGATAAGATAAAAGGAGTTTGAGTCCAAAAATTTGTTATCACGTTAAGAGATTTTGTTGCACGACCAAGTTCTTCTTTTTGTTACATTATACTTAATATTTAATTATGAATAAATTAATATAAAGATTGTTTTAAAAGTTGTTAGAATGATAGTATCAATAGAATAAGAAAAGAGTATATGCTTTTGAAATGATCGATTGTTTTATTCATAGTTGATAATAAAGATATATAAAGTGTAAAAGGTAAAATTTGATTAGAAACTTTATGACCGTGACGGTAATCGGAAAAATATTAGTGACCCCAACCTATATGACCTAATGTTTTTATTTCATGACAAAATACATAGTAAGGATGTATAAAAAAAATCCCACATCATATATTCTGAAACATATACAACTTTACAAGAGCTTGAACTTTTTGCTAATTATCATCAGAATACTGTATTTTTGAAAAAAATATTATAACTTTTCAAGAATAATGGGAAACCTGATGTTGAAATTATGAATTGTTTCATATCTTTTAACGTGCTTATTGTCTGATATAATAATCATATAAGAACGATGTAAAAAGTACCCTATTACAATAACATAATGTTACGAGAGAAGAAATGAAAAGATCGAAAAGTTTTACAATAAAATATATTCGTTAAGGTTCGTTTATTATTCAAAGTAAAAAGTTGATATTTTCATATCAGTTCTTCTGCTGTTTCTAAGAAGTTCACGGCATTCAATTACAAAAAGTAATAAACTAAAAATCATACTCTTATTCTTACTGTATTATAAATATTTGTCTTGTGCATAATATCACATAACTACGAAATTTCTCGTATTCATAACAGACTCTTATTCATTCACTGAATTTCTGTTGACAGTTTGACTGTGTTCGTGTTTTAATATATAAAAAGAAAACAAATTTCACACATAATAATATACATAATATGAAAAAGAAAACAAGAAAATACACTAAAACTAAAATATCTACCGTTCACACAAAATAAGAAATATATAAAAAAAAGAAAGAAAACAATGAATAAGCTTTATTTGATATTTTTCTCTGTAATACACGTAACAAGTTGATAATTCTCTAATCTAATGCAATTAGATTTTCTGATAATCGACCAGTATTTTGTTTAATTATTGATGCTTCTTTTAAATGTTGATACCAAATATTCGCTACTGCTGCATTCTCAAATCTAAATTTATACATCGATCCTAATAAAAAAAAATAGGATTTGTTTTTGTGTGTTGAGAATGAATTAATTTTACCTCGATTTAAATCACTTAATTGAATTTCATTTCGATTTTTTGTTTGACTAAGTACAATAAGACAATCTGTAATTGATTGACATTTTGATGGATTTTCTCGATAATATAAACGATCTGTTTCTGATAATGTTATATTTACATTTGATAATGGTGATTGTGCATGTAAGATATTATCATTATCTTTTAGTGATGTTTGCCGATGTAAACGCATATGAAATGTAATTAAAAATGATTTTTGTTTATGAAAAAAAAGTAAATGTTCACATATAGCAACCCAATATTTTTTCCATTTAGTTATATTGGGTTTTTTATAATTTTTTAAAAGACATTTTCGTTCTAATAAACCTTCAAAATTGTAATTTGATGTTATTAATGGATCATTATGAGGATTTAATGGTTCTTTCATTGATAATGATGATAATGACAAGGATATTCCTTGAATTATATGATGATGTTTAGTTGTAGTTTTAATATATTCTTTAGTTTTACGAATTACTATTTCACATGAATCATTTGATTCACTACCTAAAATAAAATAGATAATATTAGAATGAAATAGGATATACATAAAGTATTAAGTTATTGTTTATTATATAACAAGATTTAATAACGTATAAAAGGGCAAATAAAAAATATAATAAAAGTATATATGATTGTTGTTTCTGTACCTACATATATCAATAAAAGAGAGTTATATCATTCCCCCATATTGAGCTAGTCAAGAACTAATAGAATAACTTAACTAAACTCTTATGTATCATTGAGTATGTACGCTTATATAAACGAAAGAATTGATTTGTGATAGACATTGCTTATAATAGTTTCATAAACACGATATGTTGTTTATATATTAGTCGAAGACCATGAAATCCATCAGATTAACTCTAGAACTAGCAGCAAGGTTTAGAGGTCATATTTATGCTTCATTATGCCTTTAGCATATGATCAGAAGGATAACATAGAAATGTCTCGAACAATAGAATCATTAAATTATATCGCTTGAATACTCAAGAAAGTGAATGATTTAGAGGTAGAATATTTTTTTTCTTTCTGATAAATTAAACGGTATGAAAGTTAAGAGATACTCTTAATGAGTTTAACTGTGCTAATAAATTACAGTCGATTAATAATGTAATTTCACGCCATAATGATTTAAGTGTTGAAGAAAAGAAAGGAAGTGAAAAATGATAGTTTAAATTAGTAAGCGAAGCGTGTAGATAGTAATTAATTACCTTTATGCAATATCAAACCTATAATATTTTCTTTTTAATATTTCTTATCTTATTTATTTAAACTTACTAGATCGAGTTTCTTCTGTCATTGGATCGACAAGTAGACTATCATCTAATAAACTTTTTTTTTCACGTGTTCGACAAGGTAATGTTGCAGATTTAGTCGTAGATGAAGAACAATTTAAACTGAAAGAAAAAAAATATTAGTTTGAAGTTTTATTTGAAAACTGTTTTCTTACTGATTAAAATCACTTAATGTTCGTCTATGTGAACAATTTGAATGTATGGTTGATTGTAGAATTTTAAATGAAGCTGATTTTTCTAAATTTTTTATTGTTTTATCACAACATGAATCAATTTGATCATCTGGTTCTATTCTTAATGATTGTTCATAATTTTGAGCTTCAACAAATGTTTGTAATTCTTCCATATAACGTACAGTCGAAAGATAATTTTGTACACATTCAATTGATTTAAGATAGTCTATTTAATCGAAATTTTTAACATTCCACAAAAAAGAAAAAAGAATCAATACAAACCATAAGTTGATTGTTGAAATTCTGATATTACTCTACAAATATTATTCATTGCATTTTTTCGTTGATTTGTTTCAAGTCCACCACGATGTGGATGGAGTGTATCAATATGAATTATATCAGTTAGATAAATACCTTTAATTACACGCAATATTGAATACATATATATTTAATTTTTTAATTTCTTACCAAGATATGGAATACACGGTAGTTTAGATTGAGTTAAATGATTTCTTAATCGTTTCCAATTTTCATTTGATGATACAAGATCTTTTAAACCAGTAAATGTTGAACGATCACGTTTACTAAGACCCTGAAAATAAATCGTTTTGATATTTAAATTGATTTCTTTTTTTTTTTATTATACCATCCATGTCTTTTGTAATCGATATATTGGTGCACTTTGTAAAGCCATAACAACAGCCATACAAGCATTTATATTATTTAATTCAAATAATTTCTATTAATTTCAAAAATGAAAATTTATATTTGAAAGCCTTGTTTTTTACTTTAGCAATTCGAATAAAATGTGATAAAATTTCAATACGATTTTTAACAATATCAGCACGTAATAATTCACCTTGAGTCCAAAAATTAACCTTTTTCATAGAACAAAAGAAATTAAAGAGAAGATTTCATCTCAAAAAATATATACTTGATTAAATCGACGAGTGAATTGAACAATATGAAAAGCTTTCTCTAATTTCGATTTTGAACTCCAACTACAACCGATTAATTCCTATAAAAATAAATGTTTTTAATTCTTTTGTTATCGAACAAAGAACATACATCTGGTGTTATAGATTTAAATACTGGAAGATCCATTAATGTAATTTGTGACTAGAAATAAAAATACAATTATTTTTATATGTTCAATGAACTTTATCAATTAATTGGCAGATATTAAATCTCTGAAGATGAAGTAATCAAAAACCCAGAATTCTTCTTTTTTTGTTGTTGTTATTTCTATCTCTTTCTTGTATACATTTCGTCTTAGTTTACTTGTTATCAATCGTCCACATACATGTATTGTCTATATAGCAAACTTATCTTTCAAACATAAATACACATGACATATAGTGTTAGTGTTCAACGATAGAGATAACACAAGATAGAAAAGGGATTATATATATGTTCTAAAGTTTGCTCAATCAATTGTATGTCAACAATACACAAAAAAAAAGAAAAGAAAAAGCTTTTACGTGTTATGTTTATCATTTTCTTTTTCATATGATAAGTGACTTACAGCAAAATCTTCTGGATCAACTTTTAACACATCGAATAAAGCTGTATCATAAACACCATAATGTAATGATCCATTTATAATAATATCATCGTTATGAAAGGAGAAATCGTTGAGCAATAAATTATTATTATTATTATTGTTACTATTATAATTGTTGTCAATTTCTTCAGTAAGAATTGAATGTGCAACGTTACTTGTATTGAGCATTATATTAACTAAAATTGAAAGTTGACCCATAGGAAGAATGTTGAAATCATTTAATTATAATTAATCGCGTTTCTAACATAGGTCATATATGCACATATTGAACTTACTCGAGGTGATCTGTTCCTTCTACTTCTACTTCTAGTATAGTAGTAGCTGTAACTGCTCTGCAATTATTTTTCTTTCGTCTCTTTTTTCTCGCCTACTTATTCTTATTCTTCTTCTCTTTCCTCTTTCTCGTCTTCTTCTTCTTCTTCTTTATTCATAAGTCTGTACAGACATTGTTGATGAACATACGATAGACTTCTGTTATGCTGACCCCCTACAATCGTTTACTCATACGTTCGTCATTCTATTTCTATAGATCGACTCTATAATTCTCAAATTTCAAGAGGACAACAAAGTGAGAGCAACATTGACGATCAAATTACATTTATAACGACACAGAGGGAGAGAGAGAGAGAAAGATAGAGAAATAAAAAATGTATATATTTCATATTTCGATAATTAGAAAAACATACCTTTGTACTTTCTTTTGGTAGCATGTAAAAGCAAAAAAAAAGCAAATCAATATACCTTTCTATCTATTTCTTTTTTTATGTAGTTTTTTTTGTAAAAGTGAATCTTCTATTATAATAATAATAATAATAATAGAGAAAGAGGAAAAGAGAGAAGTAAAGTATCATCAAACATTATCGATCAAGGTATTCACCTTTATAATCACATACATATTTTATTTAATGTCAAGGCTGGTCTCTCGTCTATATTGATAATATGAATAGAATATATGAACTCGAAAATTGATCTATTGTATGAGACATGCTACACACGTGGATGCACATTCATATACATCTGGATACATTTTAAACGGACCATCGAATAGGCGAGAACAACTATAGATAATGGGATGTTGTTTAAGACTAATTGCTCAATGCGTGATGAGCAGACATATAGACACAACATATATGTATTAACGACTTGCTTTCGTATTTAATCAAGGATGTATAGTATGTATACAAAATAATGGCTTACTTGAAATAAAAAATGTGAATTATGTCAATGGTATAGATAAATAACCATCTATACACATTGAAGAGAGGGGGAAGAAAAGGAACAATAAACTGCTTTATTCAGTAAACTTACATTGTACTCACATCTGTTCTTTACACATTCATTTTCTTTTTTTTCTACTACTTATAAACGAATGAGAACAAGCAGCTGCTTTCAAGTGTCTCGCACTTCTTTTTCTGATGTTAAACGTTAGCATAAAGGCGATTATATATATATATATATATCAGGTCAAATGAAGACGAAAAGCCGACATAGAACAAGGTAAATGACGATTATGTCATAAGAAAAGTGAGATGAACATCAGGCTCATAGGTTTATTTTATTTACTTGAGGTTCATCGGTCAGTCGTCTAATCAATGCATGTCTATTTATGTACATACATAGATTTGTTAAAGTGGATAAAAAAACAAAAATATTTATACAATTTCTTTCCTTTACAAGAAAAGAAAAACAAAAAAAAAAGTCAAGTTAAATGGATTCACGTGCATATTATTCATTATAGAAGTGATTCTTTATTAACAACACAATTGGCTACAAATGCAATACATTTAATTGAACGTTATTTAATGATTTTAATTGATATAGAGATGACATTTTAAGTAGTATAATATGAACAATTTTCATTTGAAATAAAGTAACGTAGATTGAGTTTTATGATCAAATGATAAGTTATAATTAACAACATCAACTAGATATTATTAAAGGATATAATATGTAAAGATATCAAAAACATTTGCTTTTTACATGCTTGATGTATTTAATTGATAGATGTATAATTGAACTTAGTGTATATCTTATTATAAGGTCGTTCTTTTTTTTTAGTTTGAATATACGAATATAAATTACGGATAAAAATAGAAAGAATACTCATAAAAAATAATTTGATAAAAATGATGTTTTCATATGAAAATAATGTTTTTTTTACCTAGATGATTGAATTCGGTACTTAGATCTCATTGAATTGGTTGAAGTTCTATTAGAGAATCGTTAATGTTAAAATATGATTGAGTACTACAATCAAATCCGACACTCCGGAAAAATTTAACGTTAGTATTGTGATTAGATGGACATTAATTGAGTAAATAGTAGTTATGATTTCACCATTGCATTGATTAATATTAATATCAGTAATAAATTATTGACCTAATAAAAAAGAAGTTTCTATAAATATGAAAACTAAGTTTTTCTTTGTTTTTTAACTCATACCTTATAAAAATAATCTGTATTTGACATTAGTACTGAATTTATATCAGTAATTCCTGAAGATGTCGTTAGTTATCATAGAGTTTTACTTCGAAAACAAATTAAAAAATAAAAATAAATTTAAAAATAATAAAAATAATTAAACTAAGAAAATTATCTTATTATTTTTATTATCAATTATTTATACTAATCATCCATGCATTTTACACTAAATTACACATCTGACATTCTTTGTTTTCCTCTAAATTGTTCAACAAGAATGGCTGCTAGTCATAAGAAAAAAGAAAAAAAAATAGAACATCTTATCATCTCTTGTTTAATGTTATTTTATTCTAGATCTTGCTTCTTTTTTTTTGTATAAAGTCACAAACACATTTTTAATTCGTCTCGAAAGTGTCTGTGACAATGAATAACGAGAGCCATCCATCTCCGACTGGCTCGTCGTCTTCTTCATTATTTGGTAAGAACATTGTTTGTATTTTTATCATAGCTCATAAATAAACAAAAAAAAAATATTCGTAATTTTTTTTTGCACATTGCTCGCTTTTTTATTTCGTACAGCACATTATCTTCTTCTTCTTCCTTATCTAAAATTAGGTGGTGGAGGTAGTGCTGGTGTTAATGAACCTTTGACTCAACCATCACCAGCTAAACCAACATGGGCACAAATTCTCAATTCAAATCCAAACGCCCCGTCCAATACATCAGCATCATCAGGAACAACCGCAAATAATAATAATAACAATAATAACAACAACAACAATAATAATAATGTTGGTGGAAATAATACTCCATCATCATCATCACCTTCTTCTCAACATTCAACAACAATAAAAACAATTTCGCCATCAACAAGTGGCACATTAAATTTACCAGGTACACGTCCTGGTTTTATGCCTAATTTTTATGATCAACAACAATCTCAAATGAATTGGCCTCTAAATTTTAATCAAACATCATCTTGGATGATTAATGATGATGATTCTCAAAGGCAACCAACAAATTCCTCACAACAACAATCAATTGATAATACACAAGCTGGGGGTGATGGTATGAGGTTTTTTCATTTTGCTTGTCGTGCTTTTTATTAGTCAAAATATAAATATGATTTGTTTTTCTTTTCTATAAATAATTTCGTTGTTTTTTTGTTTAGGCTTTGATCGAGTTGAGTCATCGAGTCCAACATCGGATTGGAATAAGCCGGTGACAGCAAATAATTCAAATGCCAATGGTTGGTCAAATTTTCAACAACCACAACAACAACAACAACAACAACAAACATTGAGTAATCCGTCCAGATCAAATTCGAATAACAATCAATGGCCAGAAATGAACAATTTCTATGGAGCTAATACATCATCTAATACATTTAGTTTACCGCAACAGAATAACGACAATAATAGGTAAGAGAAAAAAAAAATTACTTTTACTCTTCAACGAAATCTCGCTTAGAGTAGATAATGTTTTATATAGGATCGAAGATTAGACTTGTCCTCTCGGAAATATTATGATATATACTACGTATTCGTCCTTGAACAGGGAAAACGCTGTGAAAAGGAAAAATTGCACGTCTTCGGATTGCCTTTTAACCTTGTAAAACCTTTTTTTTTCATCACTTAAGTACTTCCACCAGGAATTAGTATAGATGACTCTGTATATTGTTCGACTTGGTAAAAGTAGCAATACAGACTATGTCAAAGTTAGAAGAATCCAAGTCGAAATTTCTTTTGAATTATAAACTATTACCAATTTCATATTGCTAATAATCTGTAGTTAATCATGATATAATCACTATTTATTCGTCTTGTTCTAATCCGGATGAGTAGATTTAATTGAATTCAAATAGTCGAATCAATCATTGTAGATAGAAGAAAGACAAAAAAAATGATGTTTAGAAGTTTATATATTTTTCAATGACATCAATTAGTATTATTGAATAGAAGAAAATAATAAAAACTGCGTACTTGTTGAAAGTTTCGCATTCAATGATTTCGAAATTTAAATGCGAAAGTCTAGTCAATTAAAGAATCGTTTTTACAAAATATTCCAAATTAATATACATTTTTATTTCAGTTCATCGACATGGCAAGATCCATCAGCATCTAACAATGCTCCTGACGGGCTTACATTGACAGCAAATAATAATGCAAAACATAAATCATCATCATCATCATCAATGGCTGCATCACTTACAGGTGCATTAAAGTCAGCTATTGCTCTTAGTGGTGGTAGTAGTGATCTTGTAAGTGGTAATGGTGATACCATGATAACCTATGTTCCACAACCGAAACTTGTTGAACAATTAGGTTGGGATGAACCTGATATAAATGTACTGAAACGTCCTAATTTTGATGATGGAACATCAATTTGGGGCGATCCTATGGAATTAGTGTCCGTACCAGTTAAAAAATGGACAAATGGAACAAAAGCAGCATTAACAAATGCTACAAATGTTGTTTTACAACAACAACAACAGCAACAGCCACCACAACCTCAACAAATTGTTCAAAAACCTGTTGCACCAACAAATTCGTCAACATCATCATCATCTCAAATGGTGCTTAATGATGAAAATTGGCCAAGACAACAATCACCAACAATTGTTCAACAGCCAATGTCACAATGGAATGATACATCATCATCATCATCAGCTGCAGCAGCATCAAATATGGATCACACAAATTCATCTCAATCACAAAATTATCGTGCACAACAAAATAATTGGAAAGCTCAATCATCCGATGATTGGTTTAATGATGGAGTTGTTGATACAAGTGATTGGGGTTTACAAGGTCCACCACAAAAAGCACCATTTGATCCATATAAAGATCAGATCGATACAAGTAATTGGGCAGTACAATCACCTGGTGGTATGCCGCCAATGCCTGGACGTAATCGTTTCATGAATGAATATGATCTCAATGAAAATCCTCATGATGTTCGAATGTCTGCATTTGATAATCAATCAATCAATGATCCGTATCGTCAAAATCCTGATCTGAAAAATCCTATGATGAATCTTGGTGGAATTTTACCCACATCTCATCATCCATTTCCTCCTCGACCAGGACCACATTATCCTTCTCAACCAGGAAATATTCTTCGACCAATTAATCCTAATGATGGTTTGTCAAGACCACCCGGTGCTATGATTAGTCAAAATAGTCATTTATCACCTAAATTAACTACATCATCACCTGTACAAAATCAAACGTCATATGCTGCATCAGGTGGAAAACAAACTAATATTCCAAATCAATCATCTCAAACATCGACATCATCTCAACAATCAGGTAATGGAAATAATAATGGTACTGTACATGCTCAAATTATGCAACAATTTCGTCTTGCTGTACAAGCCGGTTTAATTAGTCAAGATTTGCTCAATACAAAATTACCACCATATATGTTACAGGTAAAAGAGAAAAACAAGGAAAAGATTTTTTTTCTTTCTCTTTTTAAATTTTAATAGTAATAATCATACTTTTTTTTCTATGTTAAGCTTCTTCAAAAATTATTTGAACTTCAACAAAAATTTCAACAATTATCAATACAATTATCTGAATTAACAAAAAATAAAGCACGTTTTCCAATGCCACTTTTACAGAATGAATATGAACGTTTATCAAAATTAATTACACAAAAAAAACAAGAAATGTTAATTGTTCAAAAAGAAATTCAAGATGCACATACAAAACTTAAACAACAATCAATTAATCAAACACCAACACCATCACAAATGATGTCAAATGGACCAGTTGGACAAAATAATGATCAATCACGTTTAACTCAATGGACAAAACAATCAACAATAGGTGGACAACGTACATCAATGTTTCCACCACCACCAGGTTTAACTCAAAAAGATTGGCAAACAGATAATAATGATCCGAATGAAAATTGGGAAAATACTCAAACACATGAATCAAATAATAATAATAATAATCAAGGTGGCAATGTTGATCCTCATATGCATAATAATCAAGCATCATCATCAGCATTTTCAGATCCATTCTCTAATCTTGTTGATGATATTGATGGACCACCACCATTTGTACCTGGACAATTATGGAATTGGAAATCATCATTACCTTGTGCTGAAGATGATCCACATGTTACACCAAGTTCAATGACAATTGGTCCAAAAGGATCACCATCACCAATGGGTAATCTCAATGTTGGAGGTGCTGAAAGGTAAATTATTTTCGATCACAAAATCTTAAAATTCATTCGCATATGAAATGATAACAATTATCAGATTTAGATAGAAATACTTTTAATAAGAATATTATGGATGTAACTTTCTGATATTAAAATTTATAGCATATTGAGAAATGTAATACATAGATATACAGAATAATCATGTCTGTTAATGTAAGATAATTGAGATACACATATATCTCTTATTACTATCGATTTTGTTATGATATGAATCGATTAGAAATGTATACAACTATATATTTTGATTAAGCAAAGAACCTATCCTTGGGTGATATTCTTGACAAAAGTATACATAGATATGTATTGAGAAATCTTTTGAAAATGAGTTATTAGAATTGTACTTGATTTTCTATGAACTGTAAGATTTTTATAGAGAAAAAAAAAGAATCATATAATGTAATTATATTCATAAAAAAAAAGATCAAAGGGCTTGCAAAACACTTTGAAAGTCTCTGATGAGATAAATATTCCCTTATCGAATTATTGAACTTTCTAGTACATTGAATTCTAGTGTTAAATCTCTACTAAGTGTCTATATTTATAGTCACATTTTTATTATTTCTTTGATGTATAACTCATATACGTCTTTACATAACAGTTGAGATTTATTTTGTACATGTTTCTATTTTAATTTAGTGCTTTTTCAAATCCTCATTCAATGCATCAATATCCACGTCAAATGCAATCAAATCGATCACAATGGCAACAACCATCAATGCATGATCAACAAGGATTTCAACCACCAATGAATGATTGGGCTAAACAACAACAATACCGAGGTACATCAAAAGTACCACCACCTCAGCATCAGTCTTTTGGTGGCGGTGGCGGCGGCGGCGGCGGCGGCGGCGGTGGTGGTGGTGGTGGAGGTGGCTATCGACCATACATGTAATAGACAAAATTAGCAAGAGTTTCTCATATTGCTGTTTTCTTTTTCTTTCTCGTTTTCTCGGCCAAAACAAAGTCAGTGAAATGATAAAAACTGTGTCCTATTTGTCTCATTATAATCGTGTATATTTACATTTCACGCTCTTTCATTAATGTGTATCTAACTTTTTGTCGACGAAAATTTCTGTGTATTCTTTGATTTTTTCTTTTCTCTCTTTCCGTCAAAATGCTGCACTGAGAATTCCCTCCCGGTACCATCCATTTTGCTTGTTTATCTATTGTTCTCGTTTTTCTTCGTCTTCTTCTTCATCTTGTGTGATCAATGCTCTTATTTAACGGCCGAGCTTCATATCGACAAAACAAATGAACGAACCAAATAAGATCTATTATTGCTACACTGTGCAATATAATTTTTCTGTTTTTCTCGCACGTAAAAAGAAAAAATACAATAAAATTTTTTGTTTTTGTTTGTTTGTCTTCTTGTAGTGTGTGTGTAATGCTTTTAGCTATATATATACATATACCTTTCTGTATGGTTGTGGTGTGTATATCAATTCATTTAATTTCTCTTCTTCTTCTTTTCTTTTCTTGTTTTGGCTCTGTTTTCTTCCTGATTCATTTTTGTTTGTCTCTTTTGCGCTATTCAATGAAAAAGAAAGTAGATATAAGATCTATTTTAAAACAAATATTCAGTTGTTGTGAATGAAAATTTTCACATTTATGTGTGCATATAAATGTTTTTTTGACTAAAAGGAAAAAAAAAAGAAACAAATTGATGGTGACGACAGAATAAATAATGGTGTTTGCGCTATGTATAGAATTAAGCAAATATCCCTTGTTGTGTGTATATCTGTATCTTGTATGGCCCTAATGCGCTGATCTTTTTTTTATGTGGCACTTTCTTTTCCTTGTTTGTTTTTTTTTGCCTATGTTCTCTCAAAATCTACTATACTAATAAATAAATACATTTGACGAAAAAAAAATATATAGTTGGGATGAATGATAAATTTTTAATGATAAAAATACCTGGACTTCATTAAAAAACAAAAAATTGTTTTTTCTATCCAATTGAAATATTTCTTGATTTTAAAAAAAAAATGAATGAAGGTATTTTTTTTTAAATAGTGTTGCATAACCCTAGATCTGAACTCAATGACACACCGTGTTTTCAACTATAGTCAAGTACCATTTAAAAGATCTGATAGCATTCCAAGTAATCTCTTCATCACTTCCTGAAATAATAGTAAACAATTAGAAACTTTTAAGGACAATATTTTATAGCACTAGAAATACAAAGAAATAAGTTGTTTTGAGTTATTGTTGTTTGAGAAAAAAACAAGTCTTTATCATTGTTCTTTTTTTTTGTGTATCAATACATAAGATCACATATCTTTTCTTTTTTTTATTGATTATGTAGATTGTATCAGTCAATATATTTCTATCTTGATTTCTAATAGAAAATAACAAAACAAAAAAAGAAATTTATAGATTAAATAGGATCTATTAAGTTTTCATTTAATATTCTATTTGATGTAATAAGAGAAGTTTAGTGATGGATTTTATATGATTAATGTGAGGTTAAATTATAATAAACTTCAATAGACAATTGTGACATACTTTTTGTCTATCTCAATTATATAATCATTAGATTATAGTTTGACAAGTATTTAGAAAAGATTATTAGGTTTAACTGTAAGTATAAAACTAAGAATATTGTTGAATGGAACGGAAAAAAATACGAGCATATTATAAGTATATTTTGATCGAATGGGTTACAAAGTATAAAGTATTGCTTCATTGGATCGAATCTAACTAAAAGAATTAATGTCGAATGATGTTTAACAACACCTTTTACCTGCTTAATCATGATGATAACTTTTAAAATTACTGACGACATTAATTTTATTTTCTCATGGAAAGAAAATATGTTGTTCTTTTTCTACAAAAAAAAAATTATTATTAAGACAAACAATCTGATTGATGATTATATATTGAACTTGAAACGAAATGAAGTATTATATATATGTATACATACTACTAAACGATAGGAACGAAAGCAAAATGATTAATTAATTTAATCAAATATGTTGAATATATTATTTGCTTGTTAAATCAAAAAGAAATCATTTGATTAAACAAAATAACCAATAATCTTTAGAAATCTAACATTTCTTGTTTTCTTTTTTTTCTTCTTCTTCTTCGCTTTCTTATTTTCTTCGAAGTACATCCTTTTTGCCGATAGCTTATATTGATTATTTGTTTGTATGCCATCTTTTAATACAAAGAAAAACGACGAGAGCAAAAAATATGTCTAATGTAGCTAGAATAAGAGAGAAAGTTACGTACGAGTTGCTTCCTATTTGATAGAAAAAATGACTGTTAGTGATTTTTCAAGCTATTGTCATATGTCTAACTGTGACACATTCGACTATTCTTCAAACGCGAAGGACAATAATGATTGCTGTGAAAAGAACAAAACATTTATAGCTATAGTACTAATTATATCGGCTCGGTAGGTTATCTTTTTCTTCTTTTACGTAATTAGTTTTTCTTGATATTTGAAGACTATACCCTGTGAGTATATCTGGAAATCATTTTCCAGAATATCGATTGATTAATTACTTATCGAGATTTTATTAAAAATTCTGCTTATTTACAATTTCCTTTTTTGTACCTTTAGTATTTTCTTGTTTTTGGTAGGAGTATAACAACGCCTAGAACAAGTAATGAACGGTTGCTTCGAGACTTTTGCATTTAATATGTTTTGAGAATTTCTGGGAATGCTTAGTTTGTAAATAATTACATTTCAATTGCATGTTCTCTTAATATTGATCTAAGAATTTTTTATGTTCATTTTACATATTTGATAACTAAATAGATGTTATTTTAATGAATAATTTGATCCTAGAAAAAAAAGGAATATTTTCTCTATGGTTGTTTTTTTTTCTTCATCAAAAATCAATCGTACAAGCCAGACCATCATACATATAATCAAAGTTTATTCGCGTGAGTAAATTGATCTCTGTAGGGTATTGTAGAACGATGAGTAAAAATGAAGCAAAGAATGTGTTAATAACTTCATGGCATCTAACTAAGTATGTCGCTAGAGAGATGTACTAGTAATCATTGATCATATATGCATATATAAAATGAAACAAGAGTGTAGTATGAGTAGTAGACAAAGTTTTGATGAGAAACATATTGTTTTGCTCTTATGTTTTTTTTTCAACTATTGAGTGATTCAATTTCTCATCTGTATGTGTAAGTGCTTGTGCATTTATGCCAAATATATCACTTTAATTCGATAGAGCTGTTTTGTTGTTCCGGATAACTAACGCGCAAAAGCATATAGAATACCATTAGAAAGGATTATAAAAGATATATTTGGCAAGTCATTTTATCTATTGTTGATGTCGAACTACTAGTTTAATGAGAGATGATTGAACGCAAAAATCTATATATCTAAATATATTTTGCACATTACTCAAATTTATCGATTCTTTTATGGAAGACACGTCTAACCCAAAAGCTGATTTACCATTGCTATCATGATGTTTATGAATATTAATTAACCACACGTTTATATATTTATTTATGTATACATGTAAAAAAGTATCGTGTGCTATTTCTTTTTTTTATCATTCAGTATAGAGAAAGTTCGTTTATTAAAATCAAGGAAAATATTTAGTTGAGTTACACATGATTGAATTTTTCTAGTCAAGTATTAAATCAAATCAACTAGAAAGAAATCTTTGCATATAGCACTTTTCTATGTTATTCTTTTTGCCTAATTACATTTAGACAGGTGAGAAAACGACCACTTTAAAGAATTATAGTCATAGATCTACATGAAATGAATAACAAGATAATAAATGTAGGTGGTGATCGATGACGTTTGTTCGGCAATGACAGATGCTGCTATACTATTGGGGAACACATATGAATAACAGAAAATGCTCTCTATAGAACATAAAGGATAAGGAAAGAAGTAACAACGTGTAACTGTTGTTGATTGCTTTTTTTGTTTTCTAAAATGAATAAGATATAAGACAAATTCAACTTATACTTTAAATAGAATATGCTAGATATATAACTTGAATTTAAAATATAGATATAAGAGAAAAACTCTTATTTTTGTAATTAAATTGATCTTCTTAGATTAAGAACAAATAAAATTTTCTTTGTTTTCATCTCTATATTAATAAATAACATATAAGTGCAAAAGTTAAAATCTCGGATAATTTAATCTATTTATATAGACAGTTTTCTATTTTTATCTTAGATTTATTTTTAAAAATCAGTAGGTGTTATTTGTACTTTTTATGAATACTACTTGATTGATATGGAGATATTGTTTATAAGAAAATGTAAAAAGTAAATGTCAATCATAACAGTTGCATAAAACAGTCAAGTTAGACAAACAAATGAAAATATGTAACTGCTTTTCTGGTGGTTATATGTTAAAATAAGGAAAAAGGTTTTTTTGTTTCGTTAGATATCGTCGTCGTTATTCGAACGATGATTATTGTTTCTAGAACCGCATAAGAGAGAGAGAGAGAGGGAGGGAGGGAGGGAGAGGGAGAGAGACTCTTATGAGAAACATAAGATAAGCTGGCAACAGTCGCTACAGTCAGATTTATTCTCTTTCTCTTTCGCTCTTTGTGTTTCTCTTTTCTTTTTTTTTCCTGAAAAAAAAGAAACATTATTTATTATTTCATCTTTTTTTTGTATGTTACAAATGCTTTTAGAATATATTATATTGATAATATGATAAGCGCGATCAGGTGAAAAAACGTTGTTTATTTACACCTTCGACATCGTATGGCCTCGTCCATTTGGTTTCCTTTAATTTTTACCTATAACCCAAATTCAATACGACAAATCAATAATAAATTCTTACAGATTATTAACGAAACGAAATCTTTCCATATCTATGTTCATCGAGTCGATGGACTGTTTTTTAACCTATAATCTTTCATGTATTAATGGTACATATACTCAATTTAATTCATCATCAATTATATTCGGAGATGCACTTCATCCAAATCTTATAGCTATTGGCGATAATTCAAATACTGAATTAACTACATCAACAATTCAACCAATTTCATCATCAATTTTTATATCTTTACAACATTGTATTATAACAGTTATTATTCTTGGTGCAATTATTTTATCAACAATAACGGGAAATATATTAGTTATTGCTGCTATTATTTTAGAAAAAAGTTTACATGCAGTTGCTTATTATCTTTTTGTATCATTAGCTGTGACCGATTTAATGATAGCTTCTATAGTAAGTCATTTATCTATTTCATTTTGTGTGAACTGTCAAAAAAAAAGATTGGTCATAAACAACAGAGAAAAAAAGAAGGAAGTCGTAGAACTTGTTTTTCGAATGCCAATTTTATTAGAGCATTGCTTAATGGATGATGTGATATGCATTTTAAAAATATGCCCACCAGTCAATTATATCTAATACAGTTTAGCTTTTCTGTCTGTCTGTCTATCTATCTGTCTGTCCGTCGAGAATTTGACAATGTGCTAATGTTGTTGATAAGTTTTTGCCGTTATATAAATAAAAGGAGAACTATAATTTTTCTTCTTGCTTTATTTAACATTCACATGTGTTGTACATATTTGTTGTTTCTCAGAAACAAAACAAAAACGATTTTTGATGGTGTACATATGCTATGATAATTTTCATTTCTAGACGATTAAGTAAAAAAGCAAAGTTAGCACTCTCATTTCTTCCTTCAATTGTCGTTAGTTTGTCGAATGATAAACAAATAAATAAACAAATACACTCGAGTCGTTTATTTCATCAGAATAAACATAGATAATTGCCCGTTATATATGATGTTTCATTTTAGACATAGATAAACGATATGACAAAGACGATCTACTCTTTGTCATATTCACAAGGTCCTTCTGTTTGTCTTTAGTTTAAACAAATCAAAAAATATCTTTTTTTAGTCGAAGAATTGATAGACAATAGTAACTAAACTAGTTAGTTGCCTATTATTATTGTATTGATTTCTACTGTTTTTGTTTTCTTGTTAATATGACTATAAAAGAGTGATGATCGAGATGGATATATAGATAGAAAGCAAAAAAACAATCTCGTTTCGGCTCGTTTCTCTCTTATTTCCGTCGTGCATGGTCGCAATTTGATTTTATTATTATTATTATTATTATTATTATTCAATGCCACGCACAATTTTCTTCGTATTGTATAAACATAGAAGAAGAAAAAACGATGATTTAGTTATCTTCTCTTTTTATTTTTGTATTTTATGCATCGATCGTTGTCAAACAATAAAATAAAAAGGAAACAAAAATATTATAGATACATTTTTGTTAACGAATATAGTTACCTTAATTAAGCGCTTATATTATTTGCATAGACAAGTAATAAAATGAAAAAAAAAGGGAAACATTAGCATACGAGATGAGGCATGTTAGCCGTTTGATTAAACATGTCGATCAACAATAACAGTAAAGAAAAGTTAGTCAGTCGAATTATCTGCTTGTCATTCAATATTAGCATCTTTCTTTCTTTTTTTCTTTTTTTATGAATGATTATCCTTGAGATTCCTATACAATAGAGAAAAATCTTCTATTTCTATATTAGATATATGTATACTTCATTCACGAACTCATGCATATGCGCATCAATTTTTGTCAGTCAAGTGGATATATCATTAAAAAAAATATATATATATTTATATATTTTTGAGATAAATTTTCATTCAAGCACGAAGATAAGAGCTATATTGATTGCTGTGCTGAATGTTTATAACAATGTCTATCAACAAAAAATATCAAGTTGCTTAATTTCTTGTCAAGTGTTCTTGATGTGCATACAAACATAAGTTAAAAGGAAATGATAATAGAATGGATAGCAGATGGCTTTAATAGGTATTTGTCATAATAAAAAATGAAGAAATAAATAATCATTTTTGTTTGATATCTATAATTAGAAAGAAAATAAGTTGTTGATTGAGTTAAAAATATCTATTGATTATTTATATTTAGGTTATGCCAATTGCTGTTCTGAAAGAAGTGACACGTCACTGGGTGCTTGGTACTGTTATTTGCGATATCTGGGTTGCCATTGATTTATTATGTTGTACGGCTTCAATTTTACATCTTCTTGCTATTGCACTTGATCGTTATTGGGCTATTACTAATTGTAAGTGACTGTTATTGTCACTAATTAAAATGGATAAATGTATTTTGCCTAAATTGTTTTTTATTATACAATTAAGGCAAAATGATAAATCTTATGATCTATGAAAAAATCTTTATTACAAAAAATACTTGCTTTTCATATTAGTTGAATATTTTTTGACGCAAATATTGTTAACATTTGACATATTGTCAGAATCGATCATTTATTTAAAAATTTGAGATTCAAAAATATTTCTATTGAGAAAATTTCCCAAAAAATGAAGCTATTGGATAAATTATTCAAATGAATTCTGAGATCATTCTTTTCCCTTGTATGTATCGATGGTTAACACATTCGATATGTTCCTAAGGTAATCTTGATGATGATATAATACTAATCGAGATCTGTCTAACTTTTACTCTTAAATATGATTCTCTGAAGTCTGACCCGATCGCAATCCTCTAGAGTTTCTAAAGACAATTAAGCTCTTAACCTTGAAAAATATTTCAAAGAATAGAATTCATAGTGTTTTATTTTAATTTTATTACCGAATAATGTCTATTGATCATAATAGCTTCTGATAGTTTCCGGTAATTTTTAATCAAATTCAGTCATTATTTATATTATTAATGTGTTAGATGCAGTTTATTCCTTTGGGATTAAAACATCAAAAAAAAAACAAAATTATGAAATACTCAAAACACATAGAATGTTTGTAAGATCTTTCTTTCTATTAATTGTTCTTGATCATAAACATCCGTTGTAGACAGTAATGTTTTATGAAATAGATCGAATTTTCTTTATTTTAAGATACAAATTAAGTAGTTAATTTGATCTTGTAATCTTGGTCGATAAGCTTCTTAGATGTAAACATAAAAATTTTATTTGTTGAATAAATTAAAATTGATTTTTTTTTATTATTTTAATTTAATAGTGGATTATGCAACAAAACGAACACCTCTTCGAGTTCTTATTTTAATTTGTGTTGTATGGGTAACTGCTATACTTATTTCAAGTTGTCATTTATTGCCTATATTTCGTGACAAACGTCGTCGTCCAGTAGATCAATGTCATGTAACAGGCAATGTACTTTATACAATATTTTCAACTGTTGGAGCTTTTCATATTCCACTTATTGGTATGTGTATAATCTATTGGAAAATTTTTCAAGCAGCAAAATTTCGTATACGTCGAAAAGGATTTAATACAAATCAACCAACATCACCAACATTACTTCATCAAAAACATGCAACAATATCAGCATCACCTACATTAACATTGAGTAACAATACAGATTTAAGAAAATCTGCTTTGAATCGTATAAAATTTCTTAAAAAAAATCATTATATAAATCATCATGCACAAGATATTGAACCTGATAAGCAATCTACATGTTCATTACCAGCAAATCTTAATACTGATTATCAATTGAAACCGATTAAAAAATCAAATACACCTTTATTAAAAAAACAACTTAAAAAAAAATGTGATGTTGAACTTCAACAACAACAACAAACAAATAATTCTCGATCAACAACAGGACATTTAAAAACAACATCATTATCATTGCATAATGATTTGCCTATACAAGTTCACACAATTAAAAATCCATTGGCAACATCAAATCTATCATCATCAACATCTTCGCGTATTCATGATGCACATATAGTTGTAACTGATACAAGTAATGCACCTGTTACAAAATCTTCTGCAGCAATGTTACGAAAAAAAATCGATCTTAAACGTGAACGTAAAGCAACAAAAGTTCTTGGTGTTGTTATGGGTTGTTTTATATTATGTTGGTTACCTTTTTTTATTGAAGAAACAATATGTGGAATATTTCGTTTAACAATACATGAAAAAATCGTTAGTGTTTTAACATGGTTAGGTTATTTTAATAGTCTTTTAAACCCTGTGATTTATACAATATTTGCACCTGATTTTCGACAAGCATTCGGAAAAATTCTATGCGGAAGATATCGTAAACGACGATGATTGAAAAAGAAATAATTCAGCTTTCAATACAAAAAAATATATATTATACATATTGTTTTCTTTTTTCTTTTGGAATGGTATACCGGTTGTTAAAATAATTTCTTTTTGTCTTTTTTTTTCAGTTTTTTTTGCGGATTCGGATTTTTGTTTTCAATCGAATAAATAATATTTTTATTCAATATAAAGTTACGAAACTATGATTCAATTTATTTGAGTACATTGAGTTTCTTATATCAATAGAATCAGGCAATAAGTTCCCACTGGTATATTAGTATTGATTTTATACTAAAATTAGACAAGGGAAATCTCAAGAATCCATAGTTTGTAATTAAAATAGTTCATAGTTTTCTCTCGATAATATGAAGCCTATATATGAGTGCTAAGCGATACACATGGTTTACAGAAGTCAAAAGAAAAGCAAAGTATTTGTGAGTGTCTTATATATAAACATTATATACCAATAATTAAAGATAAAAGTTTGGTATTATTCATTTAATATAGAAAAACATTCTGGAATTAGTTAGTAATAGGGTAATAAGTTGAAATGAATGGAAGTGTTTTTATGTGACTCGCATGACCTAAAATCCGCTGTGTATCTCTTGTAACATATTAATATTTCAAATAAATTCGATAAAATAATTCAAAAGATTAATCGATTAAGAAAAAATTGGCGATAATCAAATCAAATCCATCCATCAAAATATATCATCATCATAATAAATATATATGTTACTCATTATGCAGTAGAACGATGCTTTAATATTAATTTTTTTACTGACAAAATATCAAGTATATTTTTTATTTAAGACAGAAAATCAGAGTTTCTCATTTTGATCTATAACTAAAAACTATATTAATTTGTTTCGCTTTCAAAAGAGATATTCTAACATATGGTATTTATTAATAAGAACGATTAGATACAAAACCTATTTTTATGCAGAGCAACAAAAATAATATAAACAACATTTCATCATATCAATTCCTATGTATATGAGACTTGTCTTATTGCTATCAACAACAAAATGATTGAAATACAATACAGATGGTATATTTGCAAAAAAAATGTTTGATTTTCTCATTTTCTTGGAACGTACAAGACTATAAACTTTGACTGTATCCGTCAAAATCCCTATTTACCTTTTGAGAATCGGATTATTTTTGAAATAATTCATCTACAGTATTTGTCTGAGACGTTCTGAAAATCCACAATAGTATAAGACAGATTTTTCACATTCAAGGATTTCAAAATATGTCAAAACGAGTAACGCATATATGCGTCACCGATCCTCAACGGATTAAACTTTTTCTTAAAGATTACATTCATCCTCATTGCTTCCTTGAAATAAGATAACTAAAAAGTTTCTCTCAAATTAAATATAAGTAAAAAGAACAACACAGTTTTTTGTCCTCAAGATTATTTTTTAATGAATCTAAAAAATGAATGAAACCAAATGAATAATAATGATAGAAAAAAGAGAAAAAGATAAGACTTTATCTCTTAATCTTTAATCTTCATTTCATTTCACATTCATACAAACAACATAATGACATCTGTTATGGGCAATACATTATTCATTCTTTTATTAATATTTACAATAACAAATTCAATTTATTCTTATCGTTTAACTGAAGAAGAAGATGCCGAACATCAATTGATTAATAATGATGAGTTTAATAGACGAAGTGTTCTTTGGCCAAAAATTTGTTTTCCTTCGTTAAGAAAAAAAGATGCACAACAAAATATGAATGATCAAAATCAACAATATGGATATAGTAAACATCTGGCAGTTCGAATGGCACGAAAATGTTATCCATTTGATAAATAACAAAATTAATTTTGAACTATGAAATGAAAAATATTTAAAAAAAAAAAAGAAATTTTCATGCATGTAATTCATGTTCTTTCATAATTAAATATATAAACAATTTATGTGCAACTTTAAAATCTTTTTTCTTTCATTCAAATTCTAAATAATAGTTTCAATATTGAAGAGAAAAAATATATTTTATCTAGAAGATTTTAAGTATAATTGTAACATTGTGGGGTGATTTATAACATCACATTTTACTGTATGATGAAAGAAGAAGAATTTCGAAAGGTTTCTCAAACTCTTTACTGGTTTTACAATATCTATCTGAGAATTATATTGGTTTCTTATTTTCTATGAAGTTATAGGATATATTACAATTCAATAATTAGTCAGAAGCATTAGAATGTATATGTACGAATTGTTACTTAGTTCTTGTTTGATAATTGTTTCTAAAATGTTTAAATAAATTACTGAACAGTTTTTGAAGAAAACAATATATTTGTATGAATTATAGGGTGATCGAAACGTTCTCGAAAGGACATATCATTAATTTTTTTATATCATATTCTCGATAGCCTTTATTATCTCTACTCAATTTTTATAGCTATTGTTCAATTAATATATGCTGAATACATCTGAACAACTAATAATATGTAAGCCTAGTCTAAGGTGAGTGCAATCAATGAAGTTTCATTTTATTTCTCTCATTCAAATGTTGTTGAAAGAAATCAGAGCGGACACTGATCGAATCATAGCATCGCCATAACTTTTTCAGTTATAAATCTAAACATATCGCTAGGATTACTATCCATTATAGAAGCCATTAGAAAAGGTGAAACAATAGTTTTCATCTGATATCGCAATAGTACATTCCAGTGTAATAGCCATTGATGATCTCATTTGAAATTAATTCATCACTTGGACATGTTTTCAAATTTGATACGTATTGTTTTCTTTGAATATATATCGCATAGAAAGTTTGGTAGAATGTCGTTTCCATAAATAGATATAATGTAGTTTCGGAAACTTTTATAATAAATTATTAAAGAGATAAATCAAAAGAGATTTTTCTTATGCTTCAAACGCAACGAAAAATAGACATTCCTGATTAATTGATATGCGTTTTTGTGTATTAGTATAATCAATTATTGCTATTAATTATTCATTATAGTTACTTTTATAAACATTTTTGATTGATAGAAAAGTTGTCTATATTAGATATAATGCATTTGCTAATATAATCTATTTTAGTTAGCTAAAAGACGTAAGTTGAAAAAATATATTATATGTCATAAAAGAAAAAAGAAGAATTACAAACAACTGTTACTACTATTAGATGATGTCATGATAAAAAAATCTATTGTTCATTTAATAGATATTAGTCTGGTAGGTTTTTATTTGAAAATAAAAATAATAATCTTGTGATTCTTTGTGTATTCAAAATTTTGACTATTAATTTAAGTTAAATGTAACTTCTATGAAGTAGAAGAGAACTTAATACGGGATTGAATTCAATATATCTTGACATATATAGAGTTAATTTTTTGTTATTCAACTGATTGACAGTATTGAAAGGACAAGGATAAATGTTAATTCAATAGATAAAATAGTTTTGATAGTATATCAACATACGTTTATCTGTAAAGTCAATGATTGTTGTTACTAAAGGAAATCAATTATGAGTAGATTAAATGTTATTTAAAGTTATCGCATCTTGAACTACTTATCTATACTTTTAGTAACTAATGACGTTTGATGGAAATAGATTTTAACCTTTTAACAGTCAGACTATGTTTGATCAATAAATAAATAGATTCATGTATATGTAAAATAAAAGAGACATATAGAATATAAAGACTAACTGATTCATCATGCAAGGTATAAAGGATCGATAAAAAAAATTTCACAGTATGATGTGAACAATTCATGTCTCCTTCTTCTTCTTTTTCAATTCGAAAATATGTGCTAGACGAAGGTTAAGTGACTTTTATGAATCGAATTGGTATTTTTTTGTTTTGTTTTGTTTCAGATGTAACTAATGAGGTTTTGTTAACTATGGATCATAGTATGAATTTGTTAGGTTCGAATGACTGTTTTCTCTTGTTCGTTATTTTTCTTTACTAATTTGATCAAAATCAAGAATAAAGAGAGAAACGTTAAAAGTGCATACATATATATATATATATATATATGTACATACTCTAATGTTCATTCATTCACATCATCATATGTCTCGCGGCTAGATAGAAAGTGATGTTGGACGCTATAAAGAAGAAGAATTTATCGTTCTCTCTCTCTCTCGTCTGTCGATAGATGATAGTTCGAAATTGATTGTTCATTCGTTCTTCTACCTACAAATTGCGCCATATATTAACGATTAGACTACATTGGAACGATTTCATTGTAGATGTTGTAAAATTGATCAATCGAGACAGCAGACTTTAACAATGATTGTACGCAAGTAGCACGGAAAAATAGATAACTTTAAGAAGAAAAGAAGGAACGCATCTACTTAGCGGATACTTTTGAACTAAATTGTCGATAGTTTTAATGCTTTATTATTGTTAATCAATAGATCAATAAATAGATGTGAGTAATGATAGCTACAGCATACTACTTTTTATTTTTATCTCTTATCTTATTTACAAAACATACACATACATTTATCTAGTTAAGATTACATGTCTGTACAGGAAATAGACCGTATGTATTTATGTGCTTTTTTTCCCCTCTGTCATAATCATATAATGGTCAGTCAGATTTACATTACTTCTTTTCTATAATATTTTATTTTCTATTTTATACATACACAATTGATGACATTATTGTCCGAGAGTTAAATCCTTTTCTCTCTCTCTCTCTCGTTATTCTTCTCCTCACATGATATGTTGAATTACTACATGTGAACTATGCCAAAAGAAAAAGAGTAACCTTTAAGGCGATTATTATAATGTTCTTCATTCATATTGATGAAATTTTCATACTAAAGTCGGTAAATATATAGATTGTTAATTATTTTACATATATATAGATATATTTTAGTTTTATTTTTAATCCTTTTACTTTTGTCGGACAATAAAAAAATACTTCAATCGATTTTAATGTAAAAATTTTCATGAGGTATTTTATTTTAAACGACTTGATACATCATTTTAACGAACTCGCTCCTTTTTTAATGGTCATAAGATGTAATAGCGCTATATATTGTCGCCTTCTTTCAAACCTAATGATGAAATACGAAAGCATATGATGATGACCTGATTGCGTTATATGATTTATTGAACCACGTTTTCTTCTTTTCGCTATTTTGACACTTTTGATAGGAGACATTTACAAGAGTCATCTATATTTGATTCACAACTTATTCTGTCTGGTAGAATTTAAGTATGTATTTATTTGTCTAACAATTATCGTTTTTGTTGCATTATTTGAAATGGTATCACTCGTTGATACAATAAGACAAAATACTTGACACGACACTTCATAGTAGTGTTTATAGATGCACAACAACTTATAAAGGTCATAGTGAGATTTTTATCTTGTGTCGTATTAATGTCTTTTTTATGTTTTTGAACAGCGGTCAGTTTCATCCGTTCACTTGTGTTAATCATAACCTTGAAAAAAAAAGAGGAATAAGGAAGGAAATAGCTCATCGAACGAAATCCCAATGATTGCTACCGCTATGATGACTGATGGTCTGTTCTTTTCTCTCCGGCTATATACTTGATTGCTTTTTTGTCATGGGAATTAAGAAGTCGTCACATCTGCTTACTTGACAAATGATGATGATGGGAAAAAACTATCTTTTTTTTTTTCTTTTTGACATATCGATGATCCACAATTTTATGTGAATATCATTTCACTATTTCATATACACTTTTTTTTCATCATATTATAAATCTATATATCAATATTCCTAAAATTGTTGACATTCATAACCAGATGTATTATGATTTATATTATCTTTATAGATGAAATTCTATTGATGTATGTGTGTGTATAGAAATTTGTCATGACATACTAGATAGGAACAATAAAAAATTTAATCCTTGATTAATTAGTTTTAACAGGCGTATTATCATATAGAAGAGAGACCTTGACACAATAATCTTTTTATTCTATGAAATGTGTGAATATCTAATTAAGTATAATTTAAAATATGATCTTTGTCTGTCATCATTGGCGTGAAAGTGAAATGGAGAATTAATCGTGTTAGTTATCATCAAAAGTGATTTCTACTCGTTCTTTCTCTTTTATATACCAAATAAAGGACGACGGAGCTAATTGTACAAAGAAAAATATACTCTATGCTGGAAGATATACACAGCAGTTGTTAATTATCGGTATTTACTTTTATATTGTCTTTTGTTTTGTTTTAGATTACAGAAATCAAGAAGGATGATTCTTGACATTAACAGTTGAATATACACATACATTTACATTTATTTATATATATATATATACACATACACTATATTAAGAGATGAATAATCATAATTCAACTCTTCATCCTGTATTATCACAAAAATCATCTAGGTATGTATATGTATTTAGTTGTCTTTGATTTTCGAATGAATAGCGATTTTGTTTTTTCAAATTTCTCATCTATTATATCTTTATACATAACTACAAAAGACAATGTTCAGTGAATAAAAAAAAGAAAATTAAACATAGATATTGAATGATAAAACTTTGTGTGAATAGAAGACTTTTTATGATTATGATGATGATGATGATGAATTGTACAGAATATATTTTTATGTAAGCACTTTCATGACGTTAATGTGTTATAGGCCAGATACTACATAAAATAAGACGAGTGGGAGAAAAAGAAAAAGAAAGCATTTGAAAACAAATACGAATGAGAACATTATGTGACCATAGTACAGTATATAGAGTGTCAAGATTTCAGGGTATGTTGATGTTTACATGACAAATAAGGAGAAGAAGATAAAGTAGTATTGCAGCTAAAAAATAGATATAGAATAAAATGAAGCACGATTTATCTATAAAATAGAATGAGAGAGAGAGAGAGACAGGAATGATAAAATACGAAAGCAGACAGTGTATAGATAAGTTATACAATTAATATCCCTCGAGTAAGTTTTCTTCAAAAAATAATATCTTCTTTGATATTAATCGATAAAGATCATATAAATTTGTTATACAAATTTGAGATTAAATTGATATGAATCTTTATTAAACGGTAAGTTTTAAAATCATTGTATCAATCATGTTAGATTACATTAAAATCAAAAATTTACTTTTTTTCAAACAGTTGAAAACGAATGTATTGCGATTATACTATTCCTTTTGATTTTAAATAGAGATATTTTGTTAAATCATGCATGTCTATAGATTTTACATATGTATTATAAGTTCTTCTATTCTAAATCGATTTATAATCGAATCAAGAAAAGAAAAAATATACGCAGTACATATATCGTTGTTCTAATAACAGAGACCAGCTGCTATTTAAAGAATTAGTATGTTGTACTTCGGACTATTAGTATTACAGAAAAAAAGGAAAGATTAAATCCTTGACAAATTTGTCTCTGTTTGATAATATAATGTCTTCTATCTTTCTACAAATCGTCTAGTCAAATAGAACTCAAAATAAATTCATAATTAATGTTATACCATTTAGTTATTTTACTATAGTAATAAAGACAAGATTTATTATAATGATAAAATATTTAATAAAAACGTAGAAACTTTCATCGATTTTCTTTTTAATAAGATCATACAATCAAAAGGCAATTTCTTATGTATTATATGAATAAAATAGTTTTTATTTCATAATTGTCGTTTCGATATATACATTTACCTGCGCAATTCCTCAGCGCAAAGGTCATCAAACTACCACTTTTCATTCTTTTTTTTTGCTAAAAAAACCATTGTCATCATCTGCTCAACATCATCCGAGGGCGTTTTTTTTCTCATTAGTACAGTTCGAGATGAATATATATATATATATATGTACGTGCGTATACACAAATCAATCGTTTTTTATTTAGAAGTAATAAAAAACGGCAAGAATTTTGGAATGGCACACTTATAGATGATTACAATTTCCTTATGTCTGAAGAGCTTATTTGTCATTGTAAAGTAAGTTTGAATGATGAAAAGAAATTCTTTTTTTTCATTTTCTTTTTAATAGAGTTCTCTTGGAGAACCATTTACGTCCTTGAATGATCTTGCTGTGCATCATGTATCTTATAATGAATTTGAAAAGCAATATGTTGAATTATCTGAATGGTGTGAAAGAATTTCCACCGTAATTCAACAATCGTCATACAATGCTTTAACTTGTTATCTTCGACAGGTAAGCAACAAAAAAAAAGAATTTGAATTTAATAATTTTCTTTTTTTTCTTTTAAGAAATATTATGAAGAATTATACGAACAAGGTTTAATGCGTTTACGAATGTTTAATCAATATTCAAATAAATTAATTGAACGTTTCCCTGATATACAAGTTGTTATTGAGAAAAAGATAAAAATAATTTATCAAATATGGAATGACCTTGAAGCACGTTTTATTGGATATTTAGATGAAGATTTCGATCGAATTATTCAAGGTTAATTTAATCGATTAAATGAAAAAAAGGGAAACTATTTTTTTCTTCTCCTTATATTTATTGTAGATCTACATAATGAATTATTTTTATTTGAAGAATGGATTACTGAAATTGAAGAACAATTAGCAAAATTTCATTTTATTCGAAATGAAAAGATTTTTTACGAAGATATCCAAGAACTAATGGTATAGAAAATGTTTTTTTTATTTTCATTTATTTTCTATAGGATTTATTTAGAAATTACAAAATGAAATTAAATCAAAAAATAGTCGTGTATCATCTGTTATTGAAATATGTCATCGTTTAAAAAAAGATTATCAACAACAAAATGAACAAATTCCAATTGAGTATGCTAGTGATTTAGAAAATAGATGGCATCAAATATGGATTAATTCAGTTGAAATTCAGTGTAAACTTGAAGAAAGATTTAAATCTCCCAATGTAAGCATATCTTATTTCGTATAAGTATTAAATTCTATTTCGAAACAAATTTAATCATTTATTGATCAATGTATGACGTAAGCGCATTCTGAAAATGATAAATCAAAAGTGTAACTCGTGCCATTTAACCTTTCCGTCTGTACCGTTATTATGTATTCTACATGTCATCACCATTCACATGACATGCACGTCCGCTGTGACTGACCCAAAGGTTGCTTGTTACTCAGTATTTCAACAATACAGTCTTCTTTTGAAGATTTATTCTCTCTTAATTACTAGTCCATGTATTAGGGAGCAGACTTTCACTTATTAAAAGAATGACCCATAGATGTAGATATTTCATTTCTTTCTCTATTCAATGACATAGTATATAGTTATACATGTGCTGTTACATTTGAAGAGCCAAAGAGAGAACGCGCAACCGTTCATTTTTCTTCTTCTCATGCTGTGTTATGTCTCTTTCTCCCTCTTGTTTTTTTTTGTTCATTGCCTAATCATTTCAACACAATGTTTGTTTGACTAAATGTAAGAAACAAAACGTTTTTTTACTTACAATAATTGTCTTTTTTTTGACAAATTTTATGGTTATTGAAAGTAAGTTTTTATTCGTTATCATTCACATAAAACGAGAGATGGGCAGTATTGAAATGAAATTAAACACATATTAGAGCGTATGTTACCTGACACACATCAAACAAACCGAGGAAGAGAAAATTGAGGTTGAACTCGTCCTCTTTTTTTCTCATATGAATTATTAATTATTACTATACATTACGATCGAACAGGTCACTAATAATACATAATGAGCCTTCTGTTCCTTGTCTTTTGTCTAAGAATAATTCACAAGTATCTGGCAAGTCAATTTCTTTTGTTTGAAAAAGACCGATCTGGTGCGCTTAACAAATGATTGACCTATACATTTATATATATATATATATATCAAAAAAAAAGAAAAGATGTTCATCTTACATTAAAATATGTGTGTTATGTGTGTCAGCTTGATGTTTGTCTAGTGGCATATGTTTAAATCTTTCGTTACAGACAGTTTCTTCTTCTTATTTCTTTCTCATTGAATATGAAATCGTTTCGGTAAACAGTAAAACAATCATCTTCTCATATTGTCGTGCGTGTCATCATCATAAGACATTATAGTCTCTCTCTCTTTTCTTCTTAATCGTGTGTTAATTCAATGTATGTTTATCGAAGAATAACAATAGAATTGGGAGTATATTTAGGGCAGAAAAAGAAAATTGAAGTCGCGTTAAAGTAATAGACAGAGACACCTAAATTGGATACAGGCGCAGACACAGAAAGAAAAAAAATGAAAAAATAATTTTTCAATCGTCTTTCTCATTCTGACACTTACTGTTTGCTACTATTCGAATAGAAATAGTATCATGGTCATTGACATTAATTTATATCAGCTAATTCAATAAGGATTGATAGACTTGTCGAATAACAACATATTATTCTATATGACCATGAAAGTCGTTATGTTCAAGTATGTGTTCTGTTAACATTGTAATTTATTATGCATTTTTTTGTTCCCTATCATATTTACACCCATTACAGAATCTTATATCTCCTTCTTTCTTTCTTATATCTGAATACGTCATACTAGTAGTAGTGGACGGATTTGCGCTTCAATACTATTACTTGTTCGTTGGGAAGAGAAAATGAATGGATGACTGAGTGAGTGAGTGATGATAACAGTATAGCGGCGAAGGCTGATATACGCTGTCAGCTGGATAGAAAGAAAATGGTAGAAATAGAGACATTGATTACATAAGTATATTTTTTCTTCTCAATTCATATTCTCGAATTTCCTCTTTTTCCTTCCACACTCGTTTTTGCTTAATTGAACACTGTATGATGTCCCCTTCTAGGTGAGAAAGAAAGAAGACAGTTAACAGTTACAACAATATCAGAAATATATACAAACGAAGAAAAAAAAACTTGATTAACCTTCAATCATACAATCATTTAAAATGGACCCAATTTTTTATTTTCAATTTCATTTTTATAATTTTAGCATTCAACATCACTTTCTTTAACTGACGAAGACGATATTATACCATTCAATTCAAGTGAATACGAAAAAATTTCATTAACATCTTCGAATACAAGTAGTATCGAGAATATAAATACATCTTTAAATAGTCGAAAACGTCCAAGATCACCAGATATTAATCCAAACATTTGTTCAATATCATTACAAGTAAATTCAATTATGGCCAAATCTTATCAACCATCATCAGTCAATGTCTTACCAACTCTATCACCACCAACATTTTATTATTCATTAACAAATATAAATGATTATGATGATAATATCGTACGAAAAAAACAAAAAAAGACTTCGTCAAAGTTAGATATTGGTTATGCAAGTGAAGATGATATTGATAAAAAATCAAGTTTTCTAACGAAAAAAAGTCAAAGTGACTATACAGTAAATTTAAAATCATCAACGAATATTTTATCAACTCAAGCACATTCATTACCATCATTAGAACATACACATTTAGTACCAGATTGGTGGACAAATTCAGCAACATCAGCTTATGATACATGTTCAAATCCTGATATTGATTTAAGTATTGAGAAAAAGAAAAAAACAAAAATTAAACCATCCTTACTAATGTATGATAAAAAATATACAAGAATCGAACCAAAATCACCTTTAACATCAAATTCTTATGATGCAAGTGCTGAATATACAGATCCTGAACAATCAGAAAATGATGTTGATGTTTTATCCTCATCATCACCAATTCATTATTGTCAAAATTCTGAATCTTTATTTTATAATCGTTATGCAACAACAACAACAGGTTATTCATCAGAATTTGAAACAACAACATTACCATCTGATATCGAAAATCAACAATTATCATATTTAGGTCAGAAGAAAAAATAAATCGATATTTAACATTTGTTATGTCTAAGAATAAGTTCAAATTTATTTATATATTGACTATAAAGTAAAAGTGAACGAGTTTAAACATTTACTACCCTTAAGAATAGCAATACGAAGGATTACATCACATATTCATTCTTTTTTTTTTTTGTTTTATATTCTTAGTAGGTGAAGTGAATCAGATGAATACTGATAAATCGCCTTTATCATCGGCGATTGTTTCAAACGGTATGATTTCTTTTTTTCTTTCGTTTTTCGTTCTTGATAAGTATTTGTATTTTAGAAAGTGAATCAAACAATAAAGTAACGGTCAATGATAAACTAGAAGCTTCAGAACCGTGTTGGGATGGATATCAAGTAAATTCAAAAAAATTTTGTATAAAAAATCTTCTAAATTATCTTTATATTTGTAGAATCCATTATTTTATCCATTAAATTCTCAAGATATTGATTCAGTAGAAACGACACTTAAATGGGATGATCAATTTTTTGAAATGGATCAATCATACAATTCAACAACAGATGATGAAATACATATTCATGATAATTTTGGTCATCTACGAGTAAGTATTTTATAGAAACCTTAGAATATTTTTCTAGAAATCAGTTATATTATCATTGAGATGCTTATAAAAATATGTCTATATAAACAGATTTTATTTTGGCTACAATCAATAAATATCAAATCTTGAAAAAAAATAATGAGAAGCCATTTGAAAATATATATATATATATATTGGTTCGTTCTAGATCATGCCTATATGAATATTTTATAGGTGTAGGCTGCCGAATGATAGAGTTCAAATGTTCGCATTCTTTTCCTAATTTGTGTCTTATTGAGCAGAACAGTTAACCAGACACATTTTTCATTCTGACAAGGGATGCACACTAATGAAGATAATTTCCTTTCCTTTTTTTCTTCACTTCGATGGAAAGAAAAGGGCACAGGAACTACGATGAACTTTCTATATCTCTTTTTATTCTATTTCCTTATTAAAGCAAAGAAAAGCTTATACATTAAGTACTATTTGTAATTATAGTCAATATATAAAATAGATAGTGACAAAAAAAGAAATATTGATAAATATAATTTCTTAAAATTATTTATTTAGTTTCTCTTCCTCATGTAAAAAAATGCAAATTACATGCAATTAGACATACCATTCTACACGGTCCATTAAATTCACACCATTTAAATCGATAACTCCGTTGTTTTTTTTTATTAAGCACCATTAGTGAGATATGTATTGTATACAAAACTATCTTTTTTTATAATGATGAGGATTATTCATTACTTTCGGTAAACGAACACTAAGAATTTTCATTTAACCTTTTGTTTTGTTAAATATACCTTTGGGGCTGATTATAGAAATATATCTTCTGATCCCTAAATTATTTTTTCATTAATTAAACTATATAGTATAATCATTCACACCCTCCGGTAAATGTATATTTCATTGTTCATTCGATTTTAGAATAACAATGGTTCATCATCATCATTATCAATTGCAAGGTTATCAAATAAACAACAATTTGATTCAGATTCAGATCTTGATGATTTTAATTATGTTATAAATGAAACTGAACGACAATTAAACAAAGCACGACAAAGTTTCGAAAAGAAAAAACGTCGACAACAATTAACATTACAATCAAATGATCGTAATCAACGAAAATTTGTAATAGAATATTGAAATTGTAGTTTCTTTTTTCTTGTTCATTAGTTCCTTTTTTTTTTATTTTATCAAGGATGAAATACGTCGTACTTGTGAAACAAATATTCAATGTTTACAACAAATTTTAACAAATCTTCATCGTTCAAAAAATTCTCGTCTTAATAATATACAAGCTATTGAATTATTAGAAAGTAAGTTAAAACAATAGTCTCTTCATTTGTCTTCACCTATTATCATTTAATATATATATATATAAGTATATACATTATATTTTTTTTGTTTATTTAACTGTTCAACAATTCCACTTGACAGTATATATATACATAGTCATTTTTTTTGAATCAATTGAATTAAATATGCATATATACTTGATTACAATAGAGTACATCTATTGTAATGTAGTGAGAAGCTGTTGACCATAAAAATCGGCACGATGTTCATACTATGACTATTTAGTTGAAAATGATGATAATTGTTCGAGATTTGCCTGTCTAATGCATATGCTTGTTTTTCCAATTATTATAAACGATGTGAACTAGTACTCTATCGTACATATAAAGACACGTACAATCGCGATCTCTCCTTTTTCGTTCTTGTTTGCATGCTTCTTTTCCCTTCTCCTTTTCTTTCTTTCTCTCTTTCTTTCTTTCTTTCTTTTTTTTTCTATCATTCGATATGTAGTTAAGTGATGTCCTTCGATAAGAAGAAGAGAAACACTACAAAAGCACAACTGCTACTATATCCTCATTGTCATTAATAAAGAAAAGAGAAAACGAGAAACTTGTACACGTTATTTCTTCAGTAAAATCAGCCATACAAGTAATGTAAGTAACATGTTATATTACATCAGAAAGTTTAAATGTTAAGCTGGTTTAATTATTGATCTATTTGTGATATTTGACTCATCATCATTATCTACATAGGTGACAAGTTTCTCCCTTTCTCTCTCATACATGAATACATATATATATTTAATCTTCTATTCTCGATGCGCTCGCAAATCTCATTTCACACCATATGAAACATATCTCTTCGTGTCTCTCTATATATATATATCATGGATTGATCTGTCACTATTTTGTATATGCTAGATGAATGACCGTCACACACTTTTATATATATATATATAGCCTCTAGAGAAGTTTTGTAATAAAAACAATGAAAAGAAAAGATAATATATGTAATAAATGTAATCAATATCCTCTTATGTATTATAACTTTTCATTCTTAATTTTTTTTATATTTATAGCTTATCTATCTGAGTGGTATGCTATGCGACAACAAGTTAATGATGATCGACCATGTGCTCGACATTTATTACATATATCTCAAGAAATTATTAAATTAAGATTACATTTCGATGAACAACTATCACATATAAATACATCTTTTAATCCTTCATGGTTTGAAAATAATTCATTTGATGAATTAAAACAACGAATTTATTATGAAATTGAATTAGATAAAGAAAATCGTCAAGTAAATTAACAAAATAAAAAAAGACTTTCTTATTGATTGTTTTTTTCAAATAGAAATTAGATTCTCTTTATACTGATCTTCAACAAATTGAAGAACATTTAAAAGAATATCGTTTAATTTATCCAGATGGCCCATCATCATTTACAATCAATGAACAATTACATAGTAGTCATATAACACTTGAACAAGTTACTGCTAAGTAAAAAAAAACAATTCATCATAGGACAAAAAAAGAATTATTTTTCTTTTATTTAGAATGGATTCATATCAAATTCAATTACGTACATTATCAACAATGATCAATAATCTTATACCTATTGAATATCATATTGAACAAAAGTTAACGGCAGTCGATTATACAGTAAATTGATTCATTAATAAATCGTTTTTATTTTTATATTTTCTTTTAATCAGACTGAAGTTCATGAACTACAAGCATTAGTTGATAATTATGCACGAATGATTCCAATGAATGAATTCTATGAAATAGTTAAACATCATTGTGATTATAAATTAGATATATATAGAAAAATGTTGAATGATTTAATACGTAAACAAGAAAAACATGTATCATTTGATGGTTCAATTAATTTTAATAATAATAATTCAACAAATATTAATTCATGTACATCATCAACATCATCATCATCATCAGCTTCATCAACACCACAAGAACAATATACAAATGAAAATAATATACGAAATAAAAAAACAATATTAAATAAATATAGACAAAAAGAAACTCGAGATATACAACGTAAGTTTGAATATTAAGCACGTAAAGCCATTTTCGTTTTTCTTTCTCTATTTCGTTATCAAACAATTAGAGTCATCTATCTATCTGTCACGTAGTCCGCTTTCATAGACATGACAAGGTGAAACCAATCAGTTTTTTCGTATATAGAGATAGACACAAAGAATAGTACGAAAAGATAATGAAACACTTATCACCGTTTGACACGTCATTATTGTTTTTCTTTTTTGTTTAAATATAGAAAATTATACCACAAGTGATCTATCGGAAAAACAAAGTACAACATCATCTTATATATCCGATGATTGTAAAGTTTTATATATTGAAACAGTTATTGAAGTAGCTAAACCAGTTTTTTATGAACGTACAATTGATACATTATCAACAAAAAATACTGAATATCATCATCATCACATTCCACGAACAATAACATCAAATAGAAATAAATATTTAATGGATATAACTAATAATAATCATCAAGCCGATTCAACAGATGATGATTTACCTACTCCTAAACCGGTGAATTTATCAGCATCAACAATAATACGTCGACAATTAAATAAAAATCATTTAAAACAACAAGGTGATAGTGGAATTGAATTTGATCAAACATCATCATCATCAACATTATGTAATCAACGTACAACTAAAGATCGAACACCATTATTTCCTCCAGCAAATACAGATTTAGATGAATTATCTCAATCATCACTTCTTCATCATATCAAAAAACAAAGTACATTAGAAAATGAACAACTTCTAAGAAATAATCATCATTTATCAACAAGTTCAATTCATTTAAATCAATCGAATACATGTTGGGATCGTTTAAAACAAACATGGTTTCGTTCGATATTAACTGGTCTTTTAATTTTAATGATTCTATTTTTTATTTATCTATCTGGACTTGATACATGTTCACGATCAACAATTATTCAAACAGTTTGTCAAAAAATCATATCTATTGAAAGTGAAGGAATACCGACTATTTAAAAAATATCCGTTTTTTTCCATTATGTTTTTATCATACATTTATTTAGTACTATTCTTCTTTTCTTTGTTTGCATTGCAATTATGTTGTTTGTATGCCATCTTTTGTACAGCATGTTTCTTTTTTTGACAAAATGTTTCCATGTATTTTTTCTTTTGTTTTTATTATGTGTCTTTAGACACAGAAAAAATGAGATTGTTTGTTTTTTCAAAGAATATATATATATATAGACGATAAGGTCATAAAAAAATAAAGATCTGTTTGTTTTTTAGGTTAAAATGTTTTTTTATTTATTTAAATAAGCATTATGTAGAGAGAAAAAAAAATCTATTTTTATGTTTGAAAGGATCAAAGCACGAGATTAAGTAAAGTGTGTTTTTTTCTAGTAAAAAAAACGATGATTGTGCATATTCGTCTAAAATATTCATCAGTATAGATTTCATGATGAATATATATATATAGTTACCTATCTGTTAATGTTGATTATTGAAAAGGTCAGGGAACGATTTAAATAGTTTCTGTAATATATATAATAGTTGTTTTTAGACCTTCTACACAGCTGTTACCGATTATTTTTCTATGCATGAATTAAATGCATCTACTTGTTTTTTGTGTGAATGACAATGATTTGTTCTGATATATTCAATGATGCTTGTACTTGAGTATGCATCAGCGAATTTTAACGATTAAGAACAAGAGGAAAAAGGAAGTATAGTAACTGAATTTCTAAGAGTGTTAGTATTAGCCGTAAATAATGAACTATTTATGATTATGATAAATCGATAAGTAAAATATTAAGATAATACATAAAAAAAACAATAGATAAATAAATTATGGACAAAAGATCGACGAGACTGATTCGCCTGTGTGCGTATATACCTCTTTAGTTGTTTTTTTGCAATGCGAATAGCTTACACAAGCATTAATTTACTTTCTTTGATGTTATTCCATTATGCCTCAAACCAGGAGGTAACGCAGCACGTACTTTGTACATGTTTATTCAACGTAATATAACATTTACAATAGCGTACGATAGGGCATTTTTGTCTTTGTTATAGATATCTTAATTGATCAATCTCTACTTATTGATATCGTTAGACATGATGAATGTTAAAGAAAAACTAATCTAATAAAATTTTGAAGTTTATAAAAAGTTTTTATTGAATAGACAATTACAAAATTTTGATTTTTTTTTCGTAAAAAGAAAAAAAATACAATCTTTTTATATTAGTAATAATTTAATTCATATTCTTTCCAAACAGGATCTTCTCGTTGTGCTGTTAGCCAATGTGTTGATGGTGTAATTTCTTGTTGTTTTGTTGACATTAAATATCGTGCTCGTTTTTCAATTTCACGTAGATTTCTATATAATTCAAAATCCGTAAACCAATCATCAAAGAGAACAAGCTATAAGATAGAATATCAGTAAAATAATTACGATTATTTTTTTCACTTACACTTGGTTTAGCACGTATTTTTTGATTTCCATTTGGTTTAGGACGTGACTCTATTTGCATAACTAATAATTTATCCGTTAATAGATCCTTTGCTAAATCGGATACATATGCCCATCGTGCATCAGAGAAAAGTCTATTTTTATCATCGACAATTTCTTTAATATGAGCATAATATTGTTCATCAAATGGTAATGAACCAGATAAAGCAGCATATAGAACAACTCCAGCACTCCATACATCAGCTAATCGATTATAACCGTTCATACTATTGTAAATTTCAGGAGCATTATAAACTTTCTATAATATAAAAATCAAAATAAATAATAGACATTGTTTTATTTATCTTACCGTTCCTACACGAGTCTTACGAAATGAATGTTCACCAATAATTCTCGAATAACCAAAATCGGCTAACTTAACTAGAGGAAAATCTTGATTGTAATCAATTCCATTTTGTAAAGGTTTATTAGCAGCAGGTACTGGTTTAAGAAGTGACAAGAGAATATTTTCACATTTAACATCCAAATGACCACAATCTTTATCGTGAAGATATTTCAAAGCAACAATTACTTGAAATATAATCATTTTACTTGTTGTCTCATCTAAATAATGATCTTTAGATTCCATTATGTATTTACATAAATCGGTCTCCAAACGTTCAGTAACTACATAAACAGCATCATCACGTTCATAATAAGCTTCTAATTTGAGAATATTGATCTAAAAGAAAAGGAGTACATCAGAAACTTATATTAAAAATTCTTTTAAGAGATGACACAAACTTACATGACTGAATTTAGAAAGATAAACAATTTCTTCATTAATTCGTTGAATATCTTCACAACTACCATTTTTTTCTATAACTTTAATAGCTACTGGTTGTTTCGTTGATTTTCTATAAGCACCTAAGACGCGTCCGAATGCACCTAAAACATTGATAAAATAATGGAAAAATCTGTTTCTCATTTTAATTTACCTTCACCAATTTTTTCACCAGTAAATGCATATCGCTCATGTAAGTCTTCTTTTTCAGCATCATTTGCACCTGGTATTTCTTTCCGAATACTTCCTTTTTCAATTAATGGCCGTCGAATACCTGTTTCTTGTGGGAATATACCCTCTACTGGTGGTGAAATAGATGGTGGCACTGATGGTGTAGCGTTAATCAATGTTTCACGTTGATCCCGAATTGATGAATAGAATTGAGCTGTTTCCATTTGTAATGCATCAGAATCTGTTCGTTTTCCTACGCTAATAATAATTTTATTTCGTAGATGAATTTCAAAAACATTGTCTTTGCCAAGCATAGAATGAGTTAAAACGAGATCTTCTATATCAGTTAATGAAAATATTGTTTCAGTTTCACTTGATGGAAGTAATTGAGTTTGTGCAACATTTTTAGATGATAAATTTGTTGATATACTTAATGTATTTGTTGTAAGACGAAAAAGATATCGTCCATGAAAGTGAGCATTACGAATACATGCAGGAAAAATACCTTTATCAATGATTGTGATAGGTGTAATGTTTGGTGAAGTTTTGCCTGGTATAGGCAATCGTGTATTATTAACAGTTAGGTCAGGTCTTACTAGATTTATCATTGAACCTGATAGTGATGACGACGATGATGATGACGATGATGAATCAGCAGCAAATGGATTAATAAATGCAATATATGATGAGGATGCATGCTTAGCATTACTTTCAACTGGACAATCATCAATAAGATATGGTGCACAATCTTTATGATATGTTTGACGACATTTACTACAACGAACACCTTGTTTATATACACCAGCAATAAAACGTGTACATTTTGAACAATTTGTTGGTACACGTAATTGAGATTCACGTAGCGCGTGATGATTTTCACTGACTTCGACAGGTACAAGTATTATTTCGATTAAAGAATTATGTTCAATATCTGATGATCGAAGAATAGGTACCATTCCAAAATCTGTCGCTACAATCCGATATAAATGAATTATATAACGACCAGCAGGCTTTCCATTTTTAGGTATACCGAGAAGTTGATACATCCAGTTCTCTGCATCGTAATAAAGTCGTTCAATAAGTGAATAACATTGATGATTTGGAGGATATATCACTGGAATTTGATGTAAACCATATTTTAATCGAACTGCAATCTTATCAGCACGGAGACTGTCCCATACACCAAGTGGTTGTGAATAAACGTTTGAAGCCGAACACATGTAATAATCAATCAATAATTTTTGTTTGATCTATTTAAAAATAAAATATTAAAAAAAACAAATTAATTCTAAGAAAATTGAAAACTCTTTTAAAACGAATTGGTTGTTAAGAATTTATTTAATACCTTATTCTTTTTTTTTTCTCTTTACCACGTTATCGATATCAAATGTATAGTAATACTGAAATGTCTAGTCATATATATACATACATCCAGTCGGGTAAATTATTTACAACATGTAAATCACTCATGTTACTATGGGCATTATATTGAAAACCGTAGGTTTCTTTTTATGTGAAGAAACGAAAAAAAATAAGCGTGATAGGTGGAAAAGCCATCAAAACAAAAATGAATATAAAAAATCAGTACTGTTTATTGACAAGAAGCATGCAGAAAAACAAGGTACCTTTTTTTTCTTTCCTTTCCAACTACCCTGTAAAGGTATGATTTTAAGACACATTCTGAAGTCATATTATTGCTCTTCCTTGCTTGATGACGACAGTCAACTATGCACTTGTGATTTAGTATACTTTACGATGAAAATCACACATTTTTGTTGAAATCAGAAAAGGAATTCCCATGACACATATCAATGACTTTTTTAAATCTATATTCAAGTCTCGATTAATCTTTATTGAAGTTAAAAATAATCGTTAATGAAGGTTTTTTCCGAATAAGTAATCATGTTTTATACACGTATGTTTCGAATAGATGAAAAGTTTTTTTATCAAAAAGTTATAGATGCTTTGATTTGAGCTTTAACTTCTAATGTTAAATGAAGTAATTGATAGAATTATGAATAAGAAAATTGATCCTTCAATAATTCTTCGTAAAAACATGCAGCGTTATAATATATGTTTTGCTTACCATCATTCTATTAGATATGTTTCAGGGTTTGAATATAATCAAAGTTTCTCTAATATCTGTAAGTTAAAGCATTAGTAATTCAGATTTTTATAAAATCGACCTACATACTCCATTAACACTCTTTTTATTTCTAAGAAATCATTTATTAAAACAAGTTTAGATCAAGCCAACTTTTGGAATTCTTAATGGAGCAGAAAAATTACAGTACGTTTTGGGTTGTCATGGAAAATTTAATAAAAGGCATTCTAATATTCTTTTGATATTTTGGTAGCCAATATATCCACAAATATTTATGCTAAATTCATTCTTATTCAGAATAGCATTGAACTAAATCACCGACAAGTGTTTTTTGCTAACTATTTACTTCTAGCTCTGCAAATATTATGTGAACTTATTTCAGAAAAAAAGCGGGGATATACCACCCTATAGGTTCTAGGAAAGGAGACTACGTATCCTCCCTCCCACTTTTTTCCTTGTAGCATATCCTTTAAATGAAGTAATTAAAACCAATTTGGTTCGAAACATTCTCTTCAAATTCAAAGCAATACTTTTTTTTATCCCGTACTATTTATTTAGTTTTTTCTAATGTATTATAAGACGTTAGGCTTTTTAATGTTGTACAAAATTAGTGATGCCTATATTCAACTGTGAATGTACCTAAAGTTACCATTTGATATGATAGACTTTTCTAGTTACTAGAATCAGTAAGGTTTTGGATGTTATTAGTAGCACTGTCTCAATATATACGCACATATACTTTTATGAATTCTGTTATTAAAACCGAAATGGTTTTAATTGCTAAAAAAAATCATAATCAAAAAGTTAATTTTTAAGTTTTCATTATAATTAAAATAATGTTTTCATAAGTTTTGATAAAGATATCAAGTTTAGATAAATATTCATTATGAGAAAAAACGTTTTTCTATTATTAACAATAGAAGATTATTATTTTTAAAGAAAATTGATTGAAAAACTGAATTCACATATTGTTTGACAATAGTTATAATATTAATAATACCTGTTTATTCAATAATATTTTTACACTTCATAGAACACTAAATTATTCTAATATTTCATTTGTTTTCTTTTCATATAAAAAAATTGCTACTTCTCAATGCTATTCTCGACACAGAACAAAAGATTTTGACAGGATTGTACTGAATTAAATAATAAATATTCTTCACCTTGTCAGCAAAGTACTCATTCCAGGTCAAAGATGTCATTTATTCTACCTCTTGTGTTTATTTTTATTTTCAAAAAATCTTGAACGTTTATTTAAATGAAAATATGGAATTTTCTAGCAAAATTTAAATTTAACGTAACCAAAGTCCCCTAATATTACTTTATAATAGTATGATATAAGCCTTCTCTGAGTATTTTTTATCAGTTACTTTCATTCAGTAACAAAAGTAAAAGTTTCATATAAAACAGATCTTCACTTGTGAGACTCAATACAATTATAAACTTTATCATTGTAACATATTTTTATAATCTCAATAAAAAATCATAATGGCATGATATCGCTGCTTACATGAGCACTACTCAAATACGCTTATTCTTTTGTTGATTACTTTGTTCTTAATCATTAGGAGATCATAAAATTGAAAAAATGTATGTGAATAGTGACAGAATATAATATTATTCACTCAGAAGTTGAAAATGTCATATTTGTCAACAATATAAGTATGCATACACTATTTTACAGTAAGAAATTATTCAATTGAATCAGTCCATATTGACTATTTAAACAATGTCCAAGAATTTCTTGACATATATATAGAAGATCATGGAAACATCTTCAAAAATTTTATTAATATAACTTTCATGAATCACACATTCCTTGTTATCTAAAAATTCCCATATATTCTTACTCATTAACGAGCATCTAGGATAGAGATATGGCTATTCATTACATTGTTTGGGTATTTCCTTTTTAAATATTTTCATATAAAATAAACGATAATTGTTGGTATCTACCAACATATTTCTTTTCTATTTGCTGACTGTCTGTATATATTATTGTCCTTTTTCTACATCAGATAGATGTCGTTATAGATGTTGTTTATGATTGGAGAAAACGTTATGCAATCAGTGTGTATTCTTTTCAACGTAGTATTTCTTTGGGTTGGTTTTTTCCAACTTTATATGATTCGAGAAAAAAACATTCATTTTTGCCTATAGAACGATAATAACTACTAGAAAAATCCTTTAGAAAAGATAATATCTACTAGAAAAATCCTTTGAAAACGGTAATACCTTTGTTGCTGAAAGTAGAATGAATCAGCGGAAGAATGAATCAACATGTATTCAATGAATAAATATTACGTAAAACTTGCTAATCAATTGAGAAACATTCTTATTCAAAATAAATCTGCCTTCATACTTCACTGTCTTCAACAGAAAAACACATTGACTATACAGTTTTTTAAATTAAGTACATTGTTTATTCGAAAATCTATAACAATGATCTATTCAATAGATTTCATATAGTAACGCAATATTCTACAAAAACTATTCATATTTTAAAATACTTTACTTCTGCAATAAAATATTTGAATTTTTGTTTTAGATGAATGTAAATGATTAATGGATGATAACAATAATTCTCAACAAAGTAGTCAATCGACTGTATCTCTATCTTTAAAACCTGGTTATAACATAGATGATATAGATAAAGCTAATTCAAGATTCAAATGCATATTTTGTAAACTAATTATTCGAGATCCTATTCAATTAACTGAATGTGGTCATCGATCTTGTCGAAATTGTTTTGATGAGCGAGCTAATAAAGAACCTGATGGAAATGTAACATGTCCTTGTGATGATTGTCATATAGTAACAAACAAAAGTCAAGTAAGAAATATATTTCTATTGAATTCTCAAATCAATTCATGTACATATATAATTTTATATGTAGGTCATGCCTGACAAAGCATTCAAAAAAGAACTAGATAGTATTCGAGTTGTTTGTATACATCGAAGAGATGATCAATGTACATGGACAGGACATCTTAGAGATTATCAAGTATTTCAATGAAACTTTTCTTTTATATAGATGTATATAATATATTCTTATTTTGTTTTGAAAGGCACATCTTGATGAAAATCATGTTCATTATATTTGTCCTGATTGTAATGAACGTTTTACTTCACAACCAATGCTTGATGATCATATGGCAAAATGTCCAGCAATCTTCCAATTATGTCCTCTAGGATCACTGTGTACTGACCAATTAGTAAATATTTTATTATTATTTTTTCTACAATGAATTATTTTATTATTAAAATTTAAGATTCGTAAAACTGAACTTTTAAAACATTTGTTAAGTCAAAAACATCAAGAAGTACTTATTAAATCCGTAACAGGTGAATATGTCATATCAGGAACAATGACTCACGAACAGGAAATGGAAGTGAATACAATAAAACCTGAACTTGATGATAAGACTATAGATAAATTAAATACTTTATCTAAAGATATTCAAAATTTAAATGAAATGAATATTGAATTAACAAATAAATTTAATAAATTAAATGAACATGTAAGCACAACTGCACAAGAATTGAATAATATGTATTTAACAACCAATGAAAGACTTCCTGTAAAACAAAGTTTACAATCTTTACAAGAAAAAGTACAACAAGATCTTGAACAATTACAACAAACATTTGATAATTGTCAACATATATCAACGGATGGTACATTAACATGGCGTATTAATAATGTTTCAGAAAAAATGGCTGATGCACAATCAGAAAGACAGACTAGTATATTCTCGCCTGTATTTTATTCGTCTCCGACGGGTTATAAAATGCGTGCAAGACTTTTTCTTTTTGGTGACGGTGGTGGCAGACGTTCACATATATCACTGTTTTTTTTAATTATGAAGGGAGAATATGATGCAATACTTAAATGGCCATTTCATTATAAAGTTACATTTTGTTTATTAGATCAAACAGGTAATAATCGTCATGTTATTGATTCATTCCATCCCGACGTTAAATCAAATTCATTTCAACGTCCAAAAGAAGCAGCTAATACAGCAAGTGGAATCCCAAAGTTTTTTCCCCTACCTATGTTACTACAGGATGACAATGCATATGTTCGTGAAGATACACTTTATCTTAAAATTATTATTGCACTTAATGATACACCAAAAGTCCTGTTACCATTTATGCTAACACTTAATCCAGCATTACCGAATTATGTGCAGGACAATTTAATTCATCAAGAAGAAATTAAACGACAACAACAACAAACAGCTACTGTAAATACTCCTCAACCAGTACCGATGAACACCGCAAAATAATATGTAAAATGTTTTTATTGTTTTTAAATTGTTCATGAATATGGTAAACAGAAGAGCCATACCGTTATCTGATGCAGAATATAGTCTTCTTTTCTTTGCTTTATTAATAATCATTTTGATCTGCAGTGTGTGGGCATTATTGTCTACTGAAAGGAAAAAACAAGAATAATTTTAAACAATAAACAGGCTACTACAAAATCACTTTTTATATAGATTTGTGATTATTAACCTTAGTTTTGTTATTTGTAAGATTTTTGAATATGAGTCAAAAATAATCTAGGCTGGTTGTATTGGGATAAAGTGAGCTGAGCATAATGTTCGTTTTTTTTGAATTTTCATTCATATGTTTTTTTTATCCTGACTATTATATCAAAATAAATATTTATCAAAACGAAAAAAACTATTTGTGTGAAAGTCAATTAAAAATTGAATACTCCACTTGCACTTCATTTGCTAGAAACTAAGCAAGTGTAACTGATTGGAGCCGTCGCAGTTTTTTCCTTTTGAGAAGTCTGCATTGCAATCCTGACTATAATCAATGAAATTGATGATTTGAATATACGATATTGTAAAGATGTTTTTTTTCTTCGAAATATCGTGTGAAATTTAGCCAGATGATAATTTTAAACAATAAAAATGTTATTCATTGATTATAAATAGTTCTACAAAGTTTTATATATCGAAATCTAATAGTCACTTCGTACATTTGGTCTGTTACATTCTTCATGCTTTATTATTTATTTATGTCACGTCTTGATGTAGTATCAAGAAGAGAAATGCAAGATGAAATAATAGTTTATTTCAATTAAGCAAAACAGAAGACGGATATACACACACCAAGAACGATCGGATAATATATCATATAAAAGAACATGTATATACATGGAAAAGTCCAATGACAATGTCACTACATAACAATTTATGTATAAACGAGAACAATCATTTCGATATTGGATTTATTCTGTCATTTTCAGTATAAATTGTTTTTTTCAATTCATAATTTATTATTCATCAGTTTTCTTCGTTCTTGCTCGCCTTTTTTATTATATGTAAATATTTACTATTTTTTATTTTCCCGTTACTTACACCGATGCTCGATTGTTTTGTAAATATATTTCAACATTCGCATCTTATTTTTCAGCTAATCAATTTTTTATTTATTAGCTTTTAAAATTAATGACCTTTATCGTCTAGTATCGATATTTGACCTTAAATTTTGTACTGACAGAGCGTCTGAGTATACAAGTTCTTTTTATTGAGTTAAACATTGCTAATGTCAAAGAATATTTATATCAACAATATCAAATAAAAAGATTACTCATATTTTTCTAGCCACATATATATATATATGCACACAGTTCAGGAAAACTAGCAGACAAAGTAAATTTATAATATTATGTAAATGTATACCGTCCATGACTTATGAAAATAAATATTGGTAAGTAACATAAAACATAATTTACTTTGGTTAATGGTGTGAGTACTTAAAAAGAATAGAAAATGTGGTTCTAAGAAAATGTAATCTGTATTAATGGTAGATATATATACCCTAATCGACTTATTGATCTTTAATTATCACATAAATATTTAAATAAGATTAAAATATCAATCTGATTACAATGAATAATTGAGTAAATTCTAATTATTTAGGTACTTTACGTTATAATGACCGAATAAGTATGAAGTTCTTAGATTACAGATCTTTTCTGGCTGGCCATTCAAAAAAAATGCCGTACCCTCCTACGGTGAAACTGACCAAAAAGGATTAAATATCGTTTGAAAATTTTCTTATTTCAATCTATAAAATATCATATAACCGAGATTATTTTTTTCCTTTGATTACAAATGTTCTTGGAACAATCTTCGGCAGACATGACGTCAATATTAAATCGATTTAAAATCATACAATATATAGAAAATCATGTTCATATTAATATTATTTTCTTTCAATTTACTGATACTATTTGTAAGGATATGTAGATCAGAATGAGTTTCTTTTTAAATATTCAATTAATTCTGTATCAAATTCTAAGAAAATACGTCAAACATATCCTATATTTATATACATTAATTCATAGAAACAAATCGGATTCAATTACAAAGCTCGAATAAAAACTTTCTTCTATATTTAAGATTACATCGATTGTAAGAGGATTTAGAAATAAATATAATCACTATCTCAAATATATGAACTACGTCATAATGTTATTTATATTTTTTTGAAATTTTAGCTTTAAATATTCTTTCAATATGAAGAAAAAAAAATTCTCAAGTTTGGTATATAATTTTTTTCTAGAAACGAATAAGACCTATTTCTATTTTTATGTTTATTGAAATGATGATTAGAGCTTATACAAAACTTTTATATCAAAAGATCCATGTTCTATAATTAAATCATGATAATTTTGCGCAGTACGATTCTTTCTTTTTTTTTAAAAATAGATTTTTCGCATATATTATTTAAAGTACTGTACAAATAGATTAATTTGAATATGTAAGTAGAGAGTTGGTGTAGGTAATCGAGTTTGTTTTTATTTTTATTACCAAGCAATAAATCTTATATAAAAGTCGTCTCGATTTTGTTTTATATTTATTATCAAGATAACATTATTTTTGGATCCTGTTATGTCTAAGTAGATGAAAGTATGATATAGATAATTTTTATTTCATTTATATAGGATCATAGTTAGATTGAAGATATAAACTAAAGAATCCTATTTATTATTTCGAGAAGAAAAGCAAATCACCTTGAAGAATCCTTAGTGTTCATCATAAAATGTAACTCGATAATATTAATAGCATACATTTCTTGACGATTCTGCATATGAATATATTAATGAAAAGTGTCCTTCTATTTAAGAATGTTTTTCATCACTTACTAGCTTTTATTCTTTTCCTTCTTTCTTTTTCCTATAATATGAATTCCTTCTTTTTTTTTACTGTGCATTAGTCTTCAATTATGTGTCATTCAAATGTTTCCGGTAGCGAACGACAGATGATGAAAGCATCTTATGTCTACCTTTACTCATTGATAATAATAATAATAATAAAAAAAAGAAATGATCGTCGTGTCAAAATTTTATTTAATGTTCGTGAGAATGTAAGCAGATGGAAGTTTAAATTCTTAGATTTAATCTAATCAATTTGTGATATAGTTTTTTCTTTGTGTTGAATAGAAAAAGAAAAAAAGATAAGGATAAACTGTTGAGTACGATAGATAAATAAATGTTTCTAGATTTTTTTTCAAAAACCTTTTTTTAGATTATTTGCTCAACTATCAGAGAATAAGTTTTTTCTAAGCTCTTCAGTCAATAAATATGTGCAAAAAAACGATTTAGCCATCGCGATATATGATAACCGTTATCGAATTTCAAATAAATAATCGTTTCATTTTTTTTCGATCATTTCACCAAAAATAACCTCAACAATAATACCTTTTCTTTTCTCTCTCTCTCTTTCTCTTCATTTACAAAGAAAAGGGGCCATGCCGTTATAGTATTACATTCAGTTTCTTTCCTTGTCATTTAGTTCGACATTGAAGATTGAAGAGTAACTTCTAAAAATAACGTAAGTTCTGATAAGTTTCATCTGTTATCCTACATATAAAAAGTTGTTTTACTTTTTTTTCTTTGTCTACATAACTACCTAGGTAAAGCTTAGATAAAGATAACAAAACTAGATACTAAAAAAATAATTGGGTGTCAAAATGATGTTTTTTATTGTTAGGTTAGTAAAAAAGAACATCTTTTTATAATTGTTTATTTAAGCAGTTGAAATATGACGACAATGTTCCTTTTTTGTATTATAAAAAAAATGTAGGGTTAAATCATTAAAGGGTATCCGCAAAGTACTTTTCTTTTTAAAACTAGACCAGCTGATACCAATTTTGCTTGTTTTACTTGTCTTTAGCAAACGTTTTTTTTTCTCTTTTGTGTGTCCTTGATATAAATAACGATTATCAAGAGCAATAATGTCTATATTTGATTATTTGTTATAGTACTTGCACATCAATTGCGTCATGCATATTTTACGAGTGATACTTATTAATCTTGTCTTTGCTCTATATGTTCTAATTTCAAAGCATTAGAATTCTTTTCTTATTCTTATTCTTCTTCTTCTGTTTCTTTCTGGAACACTCTTTACTTTTGCGTTCTTTTTCTTTCTTCTCCGAAATCTAATTGCTAATTTTTGTCTTTGTCAAATGTCTTTATTCTATCAATAATAATAATAAATTACATCATATTGTTCTGAACAAGTATGTTAAGTTGATAGAAGAGAACAAAGTCGAATCCAAACTACTTATTTATAAATAGATGATTTTTATTTTATTTTAATCTAATACGCCTACGTATTATTCTTCTTTTTTTCTCACTAGAAAAAGAAAAAAACTAGAAGAGAGATCATCATTATTTTTCCATTTTCGCTCGACAACATTGCTGTCGATTTGTCCACCTACGCGCACTCTTCACTTCCATTTGTTCATGAACTAATTGACACACAACGTCCTCCTCCTACTCTTCTTCTTTTTTTTTCTCTTCTTCCTTTTTTTGCGTTCAGCCGGGAAAAACTATATGAGAATCTTTCTGCGTATATCCATCAACCTACGCATATAAGATGGAAAAAAATTCTTTGTGCGAACGTTGAATGACAATTACGTTCGACAGTGACGACCAAGTTGGCGACAACTTGTTGGTCGATCCACATAAAAGCGTCATATAGAGCGGAAGAAAGACAGCGCCCAAATAGAAACACTATTTTTTTATTGATAACCTTTTTTCCCTTCTTGTTCTTCGTTTCTCTAAGTTCTTCTTTTTTTTTCTCTCTCTCTCTCTTCACGTTCCGTTATTAACAACATTATTTCAGAAAGATAATGACAGCGAACGTGTAGGCGCGTTGACGTGCTATACTAAAAACAGAACCATGCAAATAGAAGAAAGAGAAGAAATAAAGAAAGAAGAAGAAAAAAAGAAGAAGAAGGGAGATTAATCGAGCTAGTTCTCTATGTTTTTCTTTTACTCGTCTCCGTTGAACTATTATCCTAAGGCTATTTTCAGCACCTTTTCTTACTCTCTTGTAGATCAATAAACATTTTGTTTTTTCTTACACAACGAATGAGCTCTACTGACGATTCTTATTCAATGACTTGTTCATTGCCATCATCACTCGAGCAAACACCGTTATCATCACTTTCGGCAGCATCAAGTTACTCATCATTGGTTAATTGTGATGAAACAATATCAATTCAACATGATCAGCAACAACAACAACAACAACAACAGCATATAGAAAGAAAAATCAAAACAAACGATATGAAATCAGATACAAATGATAAAATGACAAATGGATATAATAATATCAATAAACGTTCACCACATTCAACATTATTACATCGTCATGTTAATAAATTATGTTCAATACTTGAACAACCAATTGAAATTCATGGTCAAGGAAGTTTTCCAGCATTAAATATTGTTCCAAAAGATTTTTTAATTGAATTACGACGAGCTTTTCATGTAAATCAAATTGATATTAAAAATATTCGTCTCAATGGAGGTATAGAAATTTTTTTTAATTACTTCAGAACATTTTTTTTTATCAAAAAAATAATTTTAGGTGCCGCATCATATGTTTTAACAAATGATAAATCATTTTCATATACAGATATTGATTTTGTATTTCGTTGTGATTTATCATCTGAAACAATATGGACACAAATAAAAACAATAGTATGTGAATGTTTATCACAACAAATTCCATCAACATCTTCACAATTATCATTATCACCAATTATAATTCAAGCTGCATATGTTGAAAAAATTGTACGTGTTATTAATCCATCAAATAATGATTCATGGGCATTAATATCATTATATAATATTAATGGTCAAAATATTGAATTAAAATTTGTTGATCGTATGAAACGACAATTTCAATTTAGTGTTGATTCATTTCAAATATTAATTGATCCACTTCTTGATTATTATGATAGAATTTCAAAATATCAGCAACAAATTAATAAAAAACAACAATATTATCAAAATGGTAAGTATCAGCTGGTAAACGGGGAAAGAATATAGAGACTAGCAGCTGTATTATACTTTTGTTATATTAATCGAAGAAAGAAAAAAAAAATGAAGTGGTTTCCTTCTAGAATATCATATACAAAATAGAACAAAAAAAGAAACCGGAAGAATTTTAAGTCAAACCATAAGGGAAAAAATAGGTTTATTTAGTTATGATTCTTATCATTTTATTTTTTCTTCTTTATATTTTAGACTATCGTTCATCAAAAAATAATCGTTATATATATAGATATCCAATAATATCAGTTGAATGTTTATATGGAAGTTTTGATGCTGCCTTAACACATCTTAATCGTCGTCATATAGTAACAACATCACCTGAAGGTATTCATGGTGGTGGTTTACTTAAATATTGTCTTTTATTGACACGTGGTTATCGTCCATATGATAATGGTATATCATCATGGCAACTTGAAAAATTAATGTGTTCAAGATTTTTTATTGATTTTGCTGATATAAATGAACAAGAATATAAATTATTATCTTATTTATCATCTCATTTTGCTAATGATGATTCAGCTAAATATCGTTATTTATTACAATTAAGTACAATTATTGAACGTAGTACAGTATGTTTAATGGCACATGAACGTAATTTAACATTGACATTAATAACACAATTAGCAACTGATTATTATTATCGTTTATATGATGAATATAATACATATAATATAACAACAGCTGAAGTCACTGTACCAAATTCAATAACAATTGATGTTATTTATCATAATGAATTAGATGAATGGAAATCTTTATATACCCCATCAAAATCACAATCACAATTACAACAAGAAGAAGAAAATTAAAATAAACAAAAAAACAAAACAAAGGTTTCTCAATTGTGGATTATGTATGAGCACTCTGCCTTGCAAATAGAATCCAGATAGTTTAGCCAAAACAAAAATATAAAAAAATACAAATTCTACCCCCGATCTTCTGTTGTGATTGATCGATTGGAAAAAAAATTTAACTTTTGTTTTATTTATTTGTATGTATGTGTATATGTATATGTATAATTATTATTAATATTATTATTTTTTTTATATTATTGTCCAACAATAATATGAAAAAAAACCAAAAAAGCCTCACTATTATATCCATTATAATACAGTCTATTTTTTTTCTGTCGTTAACGTTTTGTTTTCTGTTGTTTTCGCTGGTGCGTTTACGAATATATCTTTATTTTTGACACATATAAATAAAAAAAAAGACAGATAAATCATGTAAATATAAATTAATTTGTTTTCTTTAAAATTAATTGATATTGACGGGTTATTTGTAATAACATAAATAGTACTCACAAAGTAATGACAAGAATATAAATAATTATTAATGATAGTAATAGCTAAACTAAAATCGTCGATGTTTATAATTATAGTTGTCCTTCAAAAAGAAAAATAAAACATAGTTTTATTTTATGATCATATATATATGATTATTTACTATTCTGTTATAAATAATTCTATATTTATTTGCATGAGTATTCTATAGATTATCAAGTCCAAGTATTGGAGCAATATTAGTAAACTATAATCCTACATAAATTATTCCATTTATATATCTATATATAACGAAAGAAACTGTAGCTCAACAAGTTTCATCAAATCATATTTCTTGTATAATTAATGTAGCATGCGAATTATTACACATGATATTTACACGATAGAGTGGTATTTAATCATTAAAATATCCAATATAAGATTTTCCATATTTTCATACTGCTTATTGTTTTGATCTTATTGCTGATCATATCGTTATCAATATAGCATCAAATCTTCGAATACTTTTATATAATTAACATTTATTCTGACTTATCTAATCAAACATCATCTTTATAAGCATATACAATCGTGAAAGATAAATGACAATTAACTTTACACTACTAATGCATTTATCGCAACCAATAATGATTGTGTATTTTAAAGAGAAAGGCTTTGTTTTAGTGCTAACTATCTCCATCTATTTTCTTCAATATCATTTGAACATTGTTTTTTTTCTAAAAGTGAATGATTCACTTACAATTATTCGTTTAATTCGAAAGAAATACAGGTTACATTAACTAGAAAAGAAAAGAAATTGTAGAAGATTAATTAATTTGTTTTGACATTATACTGAATGACTTCTTTAATTAATAATAATATGATCGTTATGTGAAAGAGGTGTGTGAATACTTGTCAAAACAATTCGCTGGTGTTAAAATGTGTTTTTTAACACTTCTACCTCATATAAAAATGTTATTTATAAAATAAGTAATAACTATACGAATGTGACTTCACATTCATGAATAGATAATTACATTAACATAAAACTCAATATTTGAATAGATAGTAATTCATAATTCTCGAATATATTTTTCATTGCCTTCTAAACAAGATTGTTTTCATTGATGAAAAAATATTTTTCAAATATATATATGTATATTTCAGATTTAAGAGAATGTCTTCACATATTGGTAATATTTTCTTATTGTATATAAGAATTTATTCATCTTTGTTTTTTTTCCAAAGGTGTTTCATGTGATTTATGTTTAAAATCAAATTTTTCTGGTCGTCGTTATAAATGTTTATCATGTGATAATTATGATCTATGTGGTTTATGTTATGATAATAATGTTGAAAGTCAAAATCATCTGAATAATCATCCAATGCAATGTATATTAACAAAAGCAGCATATGGTTTTTATAAAATTAACATATGTATATATATTCCATTATTTTTGTATATTTAGAATTATTTTATGCAGGTGAATCAATTTCATATCGAACAATAGTTTCATTAACATGTCCATATTGTGGTCAATCTGGTTTTCTTCTTCATACACTTTTACGACATTGTTTAGAAAAACATTCTATAATATCATCAGATACAAATCAAGTTGTTGTATGTAAAATTATTTTATTTCCAAACGTTGGTAATTATTTATAGATGTGTCCAATTTGTGTAATTAATCCAACACAAAGACATCAATCTCGATTTATTTCATTAGCTGATCATATTGTAAGAGAACATGATGAGGAACGTACAACCTTATTTCTAACAGGACGACATCCAGATGATAAAGTAAATGATTTATGTAGTTATTTATTGAAGAGAATAAATTTATTTATTTTTGTTTTGTAATTTTAAAAGGAAGATTTTGATCCAGATTATGAAGATGAAGAATTACCTTTATATATTCTTGCAGAACGTTTATTTACTAAAGAAGAAAATCGTCGTCAGAAACTTGCTCAAACAATGATTCAAAATGAAAATACAACGTCTCAACGACGTCCTCCTCTTTCAAGACACTCAGCAATGAGAGGTTCTCGAGGAAATATAAGAGGTAAATTTTTTGTATAACATCAAATCATCCATCAAATAATATATAAATATATAGGTCATTTTAATAACTATCCATATGGAACAGTACCACGAACAACAACTGGATCATTTCGTATTCCTTTTGATACAAATATAGAAAATTCCATATCATCTGATCCATATACAACTATTCTTTTTTCGCAAGATCCTCTATTTGGTATAAATTAAAGAAGAAAACGAATTTTAAACTATTTTCTTTTTGTTTTATATAGATTTTGATTCGCCGTTTTCTGATTTAACAGCCAATCCACCATTTTTTCTTACATCAACTGTTTCTACTCATATTCCTAGTCTTCAAACTGCAACTTATGATCATGTAATACAGAAAAAGTAAATTATACTCATGCATATCCTATATATACAATTTATCTTCAATTATTTCATCTCATGTTAAATAACAAAGATAATGCTGCTTTCTCAGAGAATCTTGAGTTCAACTAATTTTGATAATAGTCATATACAAGATAAAAATATCATTGAAAATTGAATAGTTCAAAGTTTATTCTAGTTCAATTTCAATAATACTGGAAAACAGTCATATCTGTAGGATGCTCCATAATTTAGTCTACTCTGTATTCGGAGACTCTTCATTGTTATCTCTATCACCATGCATCTTTCTTTTACGATGATTGAGATTCATATACGAAATTGAAACATATGCCTATTCGTGAATCTAATCTATATTTCTACTTATGAAGTACTTCTAAGCACACAAGAATACTAATCATTATTTTTTTCATTAGATCGAATTTAACAAATACTAAACAAAAGCATTCTAATCAAACACAATCATCGAAAATATTAACTGAACCATTGACTTCTGATGATCAATTATGGCAACAATATTTTTCTACTTCATTGAATAATATAAATTCATTACTAGATACAAATAATCAAATTCAAAATAATAATAATAATAAAACTGATTGTTCATCAATAAATTCAGAGAATGATTCTCGTTCGTTACTTGGAAAGTAAGTTATTTTTTTAATATAATTCAATTTTAATCAAAATATTTTATTTATTTAAGAATTCTAAAAATTGATTGTAATAACGAACAAACACGAATACATTCAGAACAGGACCATATATCGTTCTTACAATCATTACTTCTTTCATCGATGAATATCAGTATAAATAAAGAATAGTTATACTAACATTTTTGTTTCTTGAAATAAATACATTCATTTTACATCCGTCGAATGATGATGAAAAAATTTCGACATTTCTTCACGTCTCATTTATCTCAGAATATAAAAATCTGTTTTCTTTTCTTTAATTGAAAAACAATCATAAACTATGGCACTAAATAATTTTCATCTTATACTTCTTGCTAGTCTTGTAGCTATTTCATTAACATTAATTATAGTTGGTGGTTCAATATCAGCTTGGTGTGTAAAAGTAGGAAATAAATTTGAATGTTATTCATTATTTCATTCAAATGATAATTTTTCATGTCTTTTCAAATTAATACCAACTGGTGTTATATTTTCTTTAATACTTTCATTAATTATGTTTATGATTTTAATATTGGTACATCCAAATAAAGAATATCAATTTATAACACGATTTGTTAATATTCTTGTTTTATCAATTGCTATTATTTTAATAATGATTGTATTACTTCAATGGTTTCATCCACCTTCAGTTGCATCTAAAACTATTGTAATTGCTACTGTATCTGGTAAAACTGCTAATAATAGTGAAGAAATAAAATTTGCAACAATAACATCAAAACATCCATTTTATCTTCCAGCATTAGAAGCGCAACGACAATCAGTTACAACTTATCAATATAATATTAATCATGGACCGAATTTATTTTTTGCGTCATTTATTATTCTTCTTATTGCTTTACTTGCTTTTGTTATTGTACATCGAGTTCAATTTATTTGAAAATAAAATAAAAACTGCGCCTTGGTATTTATCTATTATTTTCTTTTTCTGTCTTTTTTATTTAATTATATTATGCCTACTAAACAACGCCGATTAACAGGCACTAATCGACGAAAAAAGAAAACACAAGAACATCCATTACAAATGATTTATTTACGAGCATTATATGAAAAAAATACTGAAAAAAGTGATACAGATATTCAAACAATAGCTGATCATACATTTGGAAAAGTTTATTCAGATCAAATTGTATCACAATCTCAAATAACTAAAGAAATATCCTCTTCAAATACTATTTCAATCACGGGAAAATCAAGAAAAAAGAAAAGAAATTATCGAAAATAAACACATAGGATTCATGATGAATCAATATGAACTAACTGAAACTTACTAGAATAGAACTTTGTTTCTGTTTTGCTATAAAAAAATATATATAATTGAGTTTTACAGATGAATACGAAGCGAGAAGTTATTTGTTATGTTTCTACTAATATAGATAAAATATTTGTACTCGAATTTTTATTAAATATTCAGAGTCTCATCCATTAGCAGCATTTTATTCATGTAATACAAACAGATAATAAATTTCATTTACTATATTTTCAAGTATACACTCAATAACCGCAATGATTATAATAATTTTGTACTATGTTTCTATTATTATTCAGTCATGCTTGATTGATTTATATAATTTATATAAATAAATATGTACTTTTTTTCTTTCTACGAACAAATTAAAAATAATTGTATATTGTTTAATAATGGTTCAAGGACATCTTCATGTAACAATTGTTGAAGCAGCAAAACTTGCTGATAAAGATCAACACACATTTAATGATTCATATGTTGAAGTATATTTAGCTGAAGATGATAAACAAAAAACAAAAACAATTAAAAATAATGAAAGACCAGTATGGGACGAAACATTTGATTTGTAAGTATACATTGAATTTTGTTCATTCATTTTTATATATGTTTTTTTTGTAGTGAATTACCATCAACACATCAACATATTCATATAGAAGTTTATGATGAAGATGAGGGTAAAAAAGGAAAGTCAATTGGTTCAGCACAAATTAGTCTTGATAAAGTTATTAAAACTGGACATTATGATGATTGGGTACAATTATCAACTCTGTTTGGTTTTAGTAGTCAAGGTGATGTTCATATTCGTATGACTTTCGAAAAAGTATCAGATGACTAACTTTTATAAATATTTATCATTGTTATTTTCTTTTATGTACTGCTTCTTTTTATTACTACTTTAAAAGATAAACATCCATAAAAATTTTCTATAAAATCAATAAAAATAAAATCACCATCGTTTATAAGGTAAAAATTTGCCTGACATATTTATATTAACTCGTGGAGCTTCTTTAATTGTTTCATCTTTATCAATTTTAACTGTAAAATCTACAGCTGACATAATACCATCACCGAATTTTTCATGAATAATTTCTTTCATTGGTACACCAAATTGAAGAAGAATTTCATGAAATCGATAGAGTAATGGATCAGTTGGTGGAAATGATGGAATAAGTAAACCTTTATATGATGAATGTTTTAATTGATGTATTTGTTCAGCTGAAAAATTAATACTAAGTATATGAGATAATTTTCGACATTCTTCATCATCAGAACAAGTTGCTTGACCGTAAAATAAAGCTGCTACCCATACTTCATCACGTCCAAGTTGTCGTGCAATATCTGTAAATGTTATATTTTTTTCTCGTTTTGCATTAAGCAATTGTTTTGATATATCAGATAACTCCATTATTATATCTATTATGAAATGAACATATCTACTAATATCTTTATTTATTTTCAAAACAATAACACAAGATCTGGTTTATTTATTTATACATAGCTGGATTAATATAATCAAACAATTGAATATTATTATTTAGGAAAATATGCGAGAAAATAAGCCTGGATTAGGATTTCGGTTATGATTTGGTTGACCACTATTTAAATAACGTTGAATTATATCGAAGACTAATTGTCGACCAGTACCATTAGTAGCCTAGAGTAAATGATAGATAGAAATATAGTTCTTATTATTTATAAACTTACATAACGAAGTAAATTATCAACTGATGATGAGCCAACAGTGCGACGAATTTCATCAGTTAAATTTTGTTTTTGATGATCATTAAGATCACGTAATTGACCCAATAATGAATGATAAGGATTAACTGCTTTAAAACCCATCCAGGCACCTAGAAATAATAAAATACAAATTATATAGTAATACATTGAGCAGCAATTCTCTTACCAATTACAGTGCCAATAAGTGCGCCATAGTTGCCTAAAACTGCAGCTCCAATAACACAACCAGCAAGTGCATAGAATGCTTGCCAAAACATACCCCAAAGTGTACCAAGTGTACCCTAAATATTAGAGAATATGATAAATTCTTGATAGTCTTATAATCATTTACATTTCGGCCTTGAATCAAATTAATAATAGCATCGAAATAATTTGGATTGAAGAATGAAGACATGATTTATCTAAAAAATATAGATATTAAATAATCTGAATCTATTTGATTTGATTATTTGTAAGCAAAAAAAATGATCATTAGTTGAATGCAAACAAAGAAAAGTCTTCGGGGACACGAATAATGGAGAAGTATCATAAACAAAAATAGATAAAGACTGAATGACTCTTTGATTAGCATTTGAACCAATATATGAGCGATGCACTCTTTGACACTTTGTTTCATATATCAACCAATAGAATTAACGTAGTTTTCTCTAGTGATACAACAGTATATAAAATAATATTTGTAACATTTTTCAAAGTATTTTACATAAATATCTGAAAAAAGGAATACATAAATATTATAGATGTCGCTAGATACTTAATCACAAGGAATCAAGTTGATATATACCGATATCGTACAATTCTAGATTGATAACGAGAGGAAACAGAAAACAAATAGAATCGTATTGTACATATCTTTACGTTGAAGGGACTATCTTTACTAAAAGGGACTGCAAAATAAGTATGTATAATGAAGAACAGTAACTTGTTGATATTTGAGAGTGATACTTTCAGCAAAAAAATATTTCTTTAGATGTAATTGTTCGTAATTAGAAAATGTTCACTGAGTGTAGTATTCCCATCTAACTAGTATTCGTGAGATCTAGTGAGACTCATACACGATAGATTCTTTTACAACTCCCTATACACCATATCAGTAAACACAATGCATAAAGATTTTCATTAAATATTTTTTAACTTACGAATGTTCTCAACCATACGTCATAAGTGATGTACAATGGTGTGTAAAAATAATTGCTGTTAGACTTCGTGAAGTGCTTATTAGAAGTGTGAGGTAGTGAAACATTTTTAAACTGCTTTATGATACAAACACTGTACTCCACATATACAGTAATTACTAAAAGTATCACTCTCTCTCTTCGAATTTATGAGAAACCGAACTGTAATTTTCTTGGAAGCAGTTAAACAACTTAAAGGTTAGGATCTTTTCAATTCACCAATATCTGTAAGTTTTGCATTCGTAATCACTCGTTAAATGACTTGGTTAGAATGATTCAACCAGTCTGAGACTTATGCGATCAAGTGATTAAATAATAATTTTTGCTATATGAGGCTGGCAATCCACTTTGTTAGTCTCAATAGATCACAGTACCTCGCTCTTGTATTTTGAAAATTTTGTACTAACTAATATGAATAGAGCTCTTTATCATACAGGTAGCTTCAAACGTCTTCACAATAATAATTAGTTCCGTATCTAACGTATGCAAATCACTTCGGAAAAATCGCTCGAAGAACGTAGGAAACAATTTTAAATAAAGTTTGTGTACCAAACGGCAACTATTTTTGTACATCACTGTATATCAATGAAAATCGTATTTTTATTTTAATTGAGAATAAACTATAAGATGATGTCTTTCAGTAGAGATATACATAATTTCATAAATTTATGATATATTTTGTCGAAGGGAAATTTTCTTTCTCAGTAAAGATATGCATATTTCTAAATAATTCAAGCTAATATTAAAAGAATAATTATTTATCATAGTTGAACAAAACACAATCATAAATCATAGCTATTGATTTTAATTTTATTATTCATATCTTTTCAATAGTTAACAATAACTTTTAATTGAATCTAATTATTATTCATAGGATCAGATATTTTTTTTATTCTTCTTTTGAATGTATATGTCTCTACGATAAAAATCATCATAATACTATTATCATAGATAAAAAATCTGAATTATATATATTTATATTTTTGATTTATCAACGAATATTCTATCGGGATAAAAGTCAGCTATTTTCAACAAATTATATCTGATGTATCTATAATAATAATAAATACACCAGAGATTGTATATTCTTTTCTTTTCTTATTAAATATGCTTATGAATATTTTTATTTACATATTTATCGAGAGAAACAGATGAAAAATTAATAATATGAATTAAAATGATACCTAATTTATTCTTATCGAATTATTTCAATGCACATTTGTATAAGATTCCGTACAATTAAATTATATACGTCACTTAAAAACGATTCTTATTTTATATCGTCATTGATCATAAGACAAGATAGTATTCAATTGATTCTTATTGAAATACACTTCTACTTATTCATTCATGATTAATCGAATGAATAGATAGTATTTTCATTTTTATACATTCTTTTAAATTATTTACTAAAATATGATAAATAAGATCTTTTGAGAGTAGGATAATCCATATTCTATATATAATAATATTTACTCAATATTATTGTTTTTAAGTTACTACATGCAACATATACTTCAGTCGCGTAAGTAATAGTAACAGCAGGACTTGAAAATGTTTTTATACGATCGTAGAAATATTTCCTTGCATGATACTTGAGTGTAAAGATGCTTTTACTTAGAAATATTTCCGTATATGATATAATCATACATTCACTGCTGTGAGACATGAGTTTTGTAAAATATCAGTAAAAGTAGTGAGTTTTCAGTACTCATAAACAAACAAAATATTTAGATAAGTAACATGCTATTAGTACGTCATTGAATCTCCATGAGATGCTCTTATATTAAAAGCTATCTCAATACACGGATATTTATAGTATATTAAAAATGAATATTTTCATTTTATTATTTGTATGAAATTTTGTCTCAATATAAATTCACTATGATTGTGTTTTTTCATTTACTTACAAATAAATCTTAAATTTCATAAACATATTTACAGTACATAATTATTCAGAGTTCTCTATTAGATTCTAAAAGTTTTTTATTTGTTTAAAAACAAAAGAATATAGTTTGAAAATGTCAAGAAGTATACAGCTATTCACTAGAGAATGAATTCATTTCCATGTTTATCTGAGAGATTTATCCCAAAGAGGAAGATCATAATCTTATGCTAGAAATTAACCTAAAATAAAAAATAGTTCATTAAGTTTATTTGAATTCGAATAGATTATATTTTTTCTGTTAATATCATGCTGAAAGAATGTTTATTATTTATTTTTACGAGACAAAAACTCTCATATAACGTATTAGACTTTATTAAATAAGATTAAGTTATTCAATATGAATAGATCAACTTTAACAAAGAACTAAGCCTATTCTTATTTTTCTAATTCAAAACTTGCATTACTCTAGACAAAATTTATTCATCTATTTAATAGCTTTTCTCATCTAACTAACATATCAATTAAAGAAGTACGATTTAATAAACTAATGTTTTTCTTTTAATCAGTCACCCTTACAAGTCAAATATATATAAAGGTTTTTGTTATTTTCATATATAAATTTTCGATAAAATATGATAGTTAATATCATAGAATGCAAATGAGCTAATAAATATATGACTAGACAACAAAAGAAGTTCGTCAACTATAAAAGAACGCACATATTAACTAATTTTTCTTTCATGAAAAATAATGCATGCAATATGCTACTTGTTTTAAGAAACAAAAACAGATTACCTATAAAAAGATTGTCGTTCTCGGTTTAGATCAAACAAATTCTTTTATGTCTTTATAATCTATAAGAGGAAATGGAGAAAAAATGGTACTGCGAAATAACATGCTATCAATATCTTTTAGTTTATAACACTTATCTTCTATGTTATTATTATGTTATAATTCTATCCTAAAAAATCTAAGATTTATAATTACAATATTAATTATTTTAATTGGAAGAAATAAAATAAAGCTTAACGAAGTAAACTTAGTTTTATTCTATATATTTACTTTAGGTCATCTATTTATATATATATATATGTACTGACAAATATTTGATGTTAATAATTAATTCCATTTTTAATTTTATAGAATGATCTTAGATTCTCAGTTGTGATAAGAGTATTTAATTCAAAAAAAGAATTATTAGTTATTTGAATTGCGGTAATCTGTATCTTTTAATATTAAGTATGAAAAACTTCATTCACTTTTAATACTAAAAAACATATTTTTTACCAAGTAGCAAAAATTTTATCCATTCATATCCTCCAAAAAACTTTAATATAAAAATAAGTTGCTTATTATTAGAATGACATGTTATTTCAGCTTCAATAATTTTTAAATAATATTCACATTAGAGTTTTTTTTATATCTGTAATTAAAAATTCGTTTGTTGAAAAATATGAATATCCCAATTTACATTCAATATGAGAAAGAAAACAATTCTTTTATTATTAAAAGCTTAGTCAATAGCAAGTTTGTTGTTTGATATTTTATAGGCACATGTTGTAACTAAACAATTTTTCTTTATTTGTCAAATGATAGAATATAGTAAGAGCACATCGCACATAAGCAAACATTTATAACTTAGTTTTTATTATGTTGATTTTGATCAGCCAATCAGCAACTAATCTTTCCAAATATCCGCTATATATATTTATTAAAATTTTGCTAATATATTGTTGATTGTTAAGTGCCAAAAACTAACCAGTAACTATTTTAATGAATGAAAATTAATATAATGTATTATATTCCGAATTTAAGTTTAATAGTTAATTATATTTTTCTTCTTGAACTATCGGAGGTGTGTGATTTATTGAAATTAATTTTTCTTTTGTTAAATCTAAGTTATTACGTTTCACATGTTCTCTAAATCGATGAGGTGAATTAATTGATCTTGAATTTGGTAACATAACACTAGATTTTATTTTTCGTGTTCCCGTATGTGCATCAAAATTTGCTGGTAATGGTCGACAAAAAAGAAAATATTGTCCAACTTGCCGAAATTTTCTATCAAAAAATGCATAAAGAATAAATGTTGATGATGCATTTACAACTGATAAAAGATTATTAATAGATAAATATTGTCTTGCAAGTAAATTAGCCATTATACTAGGTCCTAACCATGAATAAAGAACATTAAATACAAAGTATGGTAATTGTGTTAATAAAAATATAAATACAATAGATAAAAGCAAGAAATTTATAGCATTTGATGAACGATTTCGTTTCATTGATGTACCTAATAAACGTTTACGTTTTCGTATTGCATATAATTTGTAAATAATTGATATTTTACATATTAATATTATTGTTAATGGTATAAGAAAAACAAAAATAAAATAAAGATATTTACGCATTAATAAACGAAATAATTTATTTGAACCAAAATTTGATACTGATATAGTTGTTTCATTATTTGTTATACTTAGTTCATATTCAAACCAAAATGGTACACAATATAATATACAAAATAAAGTCACGCATATAACAACAAATACTGCTCGTTTTGGACTACGCCATTTTCGTCCACGAAATGGTAAACAAATAAGAATAAATCGATCAACAGCAACTGTTGCTGTTAAATAAATTTGAATTAATAAACATGTTACATGTATTGGAAAAACTTTTGTAAATATATAAAGATAAAAATTTTCAGCTTGAAATGTCGAACGAATACCATGTGTTAATAGGAAACCAATTAAAACACATGATGATGCACATGATAATGCAAATATATAAATATTTGTTATTGATGTACGCATAAAACGACTTGATAAAATAACACAAGTTAATGCATTACCTAATAAGCCACATATGCATACAATACATAATAAATAGCCTTCCATAATACGTTTGAATGCCACTAAACGTAGATCAGATACGGTATCTGATGAAGAATTCATGGTTGTTGTTTATTACCTACATAAAATATAAAAAGTGTTCAACTGATGAATAAATTATTTATTTTTTTTCTTGTCGAAAAAACAAATAGAAAGAAATGTAAAACAAAAAAAAATTCATTGTTCATATAAGAAACGACGAGAAAAAAAAATGTTTTTTTGTTTTGTCATTTACTGTCATTTTTTGACTTGTGCACTAAAACTAATTTAGTTAAGACTAGACAAGGAATCATTCTCACAAAAGTCAACTTATTCACACGCAATCGATTTATATCTATGAAATTATTTCATAATCATATTGATCTAGTCTTATTAAATTTTATTGTTAAATAACTAATTTTGTCTAAAGTAATATAGTTAACTATATAATCTAGATTTTTCTATAATAGTATGAATATAGAGAGGATTGATACCTTGTAACTTACTATCGTGTGATATAAATATTTTATTCAACCTATTCAAATGATTAACAACGACCTGATCTTCTTGTTACTCTCATCAACATTATTAGAATGATGCACATAGTCTTTCTTTTTCTCTTCTTCTCTCCTCTCCTCTCCTCTTCTCTTTTTCTTTCTTGCTTCCTTTTTTCTCTCTCTCTCTTTTTTACTACTATCCAACAAGATGAAATAAATGTTTTCCTTCATCTATAGTAATTGAAGAAGAGAAGAGCTTCAGTTATATGAAGATACTGTCAAACAAAGTGTTGATGTCAGTTTTTATATTCAATCGATTTCTATTTATTTAGATAATATTGATTCAACTCTAACAAAAGTTGATATAAACAAATAATTTACAAGTTTCGATACATATATATATATTAAACAGAAAGATACTGTTCCTATTGACTTTTTACGTATAATAGTACATAATTTGATATTATACATATGGTATAAGATGTTTTTTGTCAAAGAAATAATCATTATTTCTTATAGAGATGTAATTGCATGTGTATTACTTTGCTGATACATTACGCATGTTTCTCAAAGTAATAACCATCGCTTCCATACATTGTATTATATATATTAATATTAAAAAAAGAAACGGAGGTAGTAAGGGAAGCAATAAGTTCATAATGCTTCCTCTTATAATACTGATGCGTCGTTTTTATATCAGGCTTTTAAATATAGATCAAAAAATAAATTTTAATAATCATGAATGTTAACTTTTTGAAAAAATGTCTTTTTTCTTCTTTATTTTATCGTATATACACAACGTTACAGACCGACGGATCACTCACAAAAAAAAAAAAGAAAATTCATTAATATCACATCATCAAACAGACACAAAAAACATGGTCTATTTACCAGTTAAATTAATGAAAAACGTGCATATATATAAAGTAGAAAAAAAAACAATGAACTTATTATAAAAGTAGATCGTTTGTTAGACTATTTATGATTGTATTCGGGCACGTTTTTTTTTATGAAAAAAAAACCGAAGAACATAACAAACAAGCAAGATAAACACAGAAAAAAAGAACAAATAGAAATAGTAACTTTCTTTTTTAATGATCAATCTCGCACAGAAAACATTAACTAATAAATAAACAGAACAGTCGTAAATGCTCGAAGACGAAACTATATCATCATATGATGGAAGAAGAGCATACTCGATATGTAAATCGAATTTGAGCAATATGTTGACTATATACAATCATCGTCTAAAAGAAAAAGAAATTAAATTAAATTATTTTTGCACTTTTGTAATAAATAAAGTTCAAATATCATCTATGATCTACTGGTAGTCATAAATAACTATATAAAACAAAATCCGTTTCCGTCTTTATCATTATATTCACAGGAAATTTTATTGTATGTTAGAGATTCTATAAAAGAAAAGGGATTTATCGTTTGATTCATTTTATTCTATCAGGAAAAATTAAAGTTCCATTGTTAGTCATAGAAATACCAGGCTGATATTTCGCCTGGTTAATCAGAGAGAAAATATGTATTAACATTGACTTAAATAGTTTTTTCATTTTATGATTTATAAGAAATCCTACTGACATGATCAATAGACACTAATCTATACTTTATTACTTCATTCATTTGAAGAATCTGACGTAAATCGAACAAAAATAGTAAATCTTCTTTCGGAAATCTCAGCTTTGGGGGTAAATTCTTTTCTTTTTACATATAGATATATGTGTATTCATTCTTTGACTTTCTATTCATTTAAATAATTAGATTTCTACTTACTTTTCAGATACATCTAATACATAATTCCATCCTTGATTATTATCCCAGAATTCTTGCCACATGGCTTGTAAACAAACAGCAAATAGAAATCTTTTTGGTTCAAGTTTATCATTATTAGATTTCGGTAGATTTATTTCAAATGTAAATGTATCTGTATTATCATGTGAATAATTCATTGAATGTCGTGCTTCAATATCAATTGATGTGTTCCATTCATCTTGAGATAAACGAATAAAAACATTTTTATCAAATGCACAATTATGAACACGAATTGTTCCATAGGCTGTAGAATCTTTTGTATGTAAACATTCAAGTAAAACTTTGTTCTCATAAATTGTTGGAATTATATTTGTCCTAGAGGTAAAATTTTTTGATAGAAGATTATATTGTTTCACGGGTGTTGATGGTGGTGAAGATATTGTTGCTCGTCTTGTAATAATACTTGGAACATCTGCGAGATTTTTTCCAAAACGTAATTGTCCAAATTGATGACGAACACATTCTGGAATAAGTGTTGATGCTATTTGATCTGGTGGACTCATGTAGCGAACAGATTCAAGATCAAGACCCTAGCAAATAAAAAAAGAAATAAATAGTCTTGTTTTTTTTCAAATATATATATATATCAATTGTCGAATGACAAATGAAATGGAAAAAATTTAATTACAGGATATTTAAGCATACGGAATATAAAGTTGTATAATCAATAAATAGTATGCGAAATTTGTAAATGCACGAAAAAAGAAATAATGTCTTGTGATGTTGTTGAATACTAGAGAAAAAATATACTGGAATATAGAAGGTCGTCGTGTTCTTAATATAAGTACGTAATGATGTTTCGTAACGAATAGAATACGAGGTAATCACATTTCTTTTTCGTTCTTTTGTAAATAGGGGGTGTTAACGCTCGTGTGCCACACAAGTATGATTCATGATTTATATTATTTTCCTCTATGCATGATAGTATTTGTATGTATTTTAATGACTATCGAAATAAACTACGAATAATAAATGGCGTGATTTTAATAACAAAAAAATATTTCTACTTTTAAACTCAACAAGTGCATATGTTTTCTTTTTTTTAAACTTTGTATTAACAATGAAAATATTGTTTGAAGGCTAAACGTATGACAAAATCACGAGAAGAAATTGCATGTGATCAGAAAAAATATGTTTGTCTAGGATAGACTATATTATTGTCAAGGTGGTTTGATAAGAGTGCAAAGGTAAATCACATTAGGAATGTAATAATAATGATCAGTAATCGCTATACATGTCGATCTGATTAATCGGTTAAACGAAAACTGATATTTATCAATATTCATAACTTAACATGATTTCTTCAACTTAAAATAAAACTATAATAAAGTATTACAGTTGAGATAGATGCATTAAAATTGTGTGTGTGAGTATCAGATTCATTGCAGACCCATATCCCACAGCTATCAATTCAAACGGGCTCTTGTATCATTGGTTATCTTAAGTTATAAAACTGAGTATCACTAATATAACGTTTGAATTTACTAATTCATCGACGTTATTAGAAATATTAATAGTTTTTCTTCAGACAATGTTTAATCAATAAGACAAACCGTCGTCATAGACTTCACAAATATTTTTTCGAAACTAAAATGTATTTTATATTTATTTACTTATTCAAATATATTATTAGAAGAACAGTTAATAGTCTCATAGAATAACTAAAATAGCTTATGAATATAATTATTTAATTCGAAACTCATGCGTCAAAGAATCATAAATATATGCATTATTGACTTTAATCGATTTATTAGAATGTTATTTCATATTTCTTATTTTGATGACATTAAAGATTATTTTGATAATTTTCTCGATTTGATCGACATTTTTTTTGTCCTATTTTTCATTTTTAAATAGGAAGTCACAAGATAATGTAGAAACAAAAGCAAAACTTTGCTCGATTTTAATACAAAAACTCTATCACTATGGGAATGAATGTCTGGACTTAAAAACAAATGAAGGCATTTCTTAAACAAGAATCTATGTTTGATGGATTGAATACTTGTATCCAAGATATGAATCATACTTTGCATCTTTCTGTAGATTATTTTTTTATCTGAAAACGAATATCATTTCGAAAGGACATTTATATCAGTACTTAACATGATTTACGTCTTTCTCTTGACTTCTAACTAAGATATATAGAATTTGACATTTTTCGAATAATATATGTCAGTTTCATTGAGATAAAGATTACCAAGTTAAAGTTTATCAAAAAGTTTATTTATAACGAAATCTGATATTTTTATACTGTTGTTCTTAGTGTTAGTAGTATTCATTTCGGAGATAAGATTTACAATCGATCGAATTGTTTTGCTTCGAAAAGCAAAGTTTATCAATATTTTCATTCATTTTCGTTAATATTTAGAGATCGGTGCTCTTAGAAGATGAGTACTGCTAATCTACCAAACTGATACGATAGTTTCTAATTTTTCATTCATCTCTATGTCAATCGAAGCCCAGCAAGAATCACTTAAATATAAATTACCAGTCACAATAAGAATAATCCATAGATTTCTTTATATCTCAGTTCACACGTAACAAAACATGGAAAATGAAACATATATATAGTGTTTTTAATTGCATCAAGGCTCTTATTACGAGAGGATCTGAAGTAGACTATCCTCTTCTACTTTTCAAATATGTCTGCGAAGATTTTTGCTTTGTTTAGGCGACTATATAAACATCACAATCTCAGGTTAATGCTCACTTGTCAATACACTAAGTTGCATATATAAAGTTTCGATAGAAATAACTGTCTACGAAAAAGATTTAAATTTATTATAAACTTTCATAAATATTTAATGATCTAACAGTACGTAGTAATTTAGAATTTAGTTGAACTCTATTGGTCATAAAAATCTTAGTATCTTATATTTTATTATCATAGAAATGATTTCTATATATGAGAAAACGGTAATTACGTACCATCATATCGGCAAATCGGACTACTTTCTTTGGCGCTTTCGGCAAAAGAGTTGATTTTGCATCAAATCGAAGAATACTAAATGAATTTGAACGTATATTAATTCCATTTATATGTTCATCTTCTTCATCGCCACTATCATTTTCTGCGTATACTGAAAAGCAATCTTCCGAACATAATGTATTAGTTGAATCATAAAGAAAAGTAGCACGTCTTTGTTGTTTTGTACAGTTATCTTTGATTGTATCATCTTTATTTACATAGTATACACCATTTACAATCGTTGAATTAGAAGATTGACGATTAAATTCGTCGAATTCATTAAGACGTGCATCTAATACAGCTTCACCTAATAATGTTACTGCATCTAAAAATAAATATATTCCATACATATTATAACAATATATTCCTATTCATACCAGAATTATTTTTATTTGAGATATAATGATTATCATCATCATCAAAATCATCATCACTTATTTGATCAAATCCAATACTAAAATCAATATCTTCTTCTGAAGATATATTCGAACTAGTAATACTAGAATGTGCAATTGGATCTGATAAACTTGATTGAATACTAGAATTTGATCTTGAAAATTCATCAAGAACAGATGACGATGATGAAGATGATGATATCGAATCATTTTCTGAACATGAACGTAGACGACGTTGAAAAGTAAATGAATTATTTGTTGATGGTTTTGTGAGCATTGTTATTGAATTAATTGTTGAACCACATGTTGAATTTTGTAAATAACGTCTTACTTTATCATTACTTGATAAATAACTTGTATTAGTATTATTCGGTGATTTTTTTAGCAAGGCCATCGATATAAATTTTGAATCTGAAATAAAAAAGAAGTACAAAATAATAATAATAAAAAACAACTGTTATGTCGATAGAAAGAAAAAATGAGAACGAGTAAAAAATGGGTTACAAACTCATATATACGATTTCTTTGATTTTACTGTATTACTTTTCAACGGATGAGTCAACTTCAAGGTTAGACGTACTTATTTATAAATGTAAAAATCGTGCAAAAATAAATGTTACTTAATATTTAACTTAAATTTCATCATTTTTTTATTTCGAAATAAATAAATTTCCATTATTGCCATCATTATTCTTGGAAATCCTAGCACGTTTTTTTTGCATGTGACGTGAGCGCGATCGTACGATGAGTGCGAAGAAGAAGTTAATACATAGTTTACTCACAATCATTATATAGAAATGAGTAATAACCAAAAAAAAAGAAGGGATGGGCGTGTCTCATGAATGATAACGCCTTTTTCGGACAGGTGAAAAAAGCTGCATTACTAAAGTATTTCTTATCATTACATTTCGATGATATATATACATGGACTCAAAATAGCTTCTGTCAATAAGTATATAGGATGAAAATATATTGTTACCATCTATATTTTCTGTAAGTAACACTGCCTAACGATGAGAACTATTACTTCTATCCGTCGGATATTGCAAGCCTCTGATAGAAAGAACAAACGAAAATTATCAACATGTTAATAGAATAAATGTTTTTTTGACTTACATTACCCAAAATAGATTCCTTATCTGCTAATTTCAAGAATCTTTTTTAAGTAGGTGACTTCTTTTTTCTTGTATAGATGAAAGTATGCGCTTCAATAAAACTAAAAAACATACTGAAAAGATAACAGTATATCTACTTCAAACTGAAGTATAAAAAAAAACATGCAAATAACTTTGTGCTTTTACTCTTATAGGAAAAAAGCATCTATTGATGAAATCCTAGAATTGTTTTGTCAATAAAGTAATACATTATGAAAGAAAAATGTTTAGTCTAAGATTTTATTTACAGATAAATGTAAAACTTTCAATCACTTTATACTGAAGAATTGCCAAGCAAATATTTAGAAACATAAACATGTTTTTTTTTCTATTCAAACATTTTATGAGGTAAACTTATAAGTAATCTTTTTGATATCATTAAAATTGTCTTGTTCTATGTTAAATATGATAATTTTGAATTAATATACTGATAGATGTAACTTTAAGTGAAAAGATATCAACAGGTGAAAGTAGTTAATGCAATTCAGATGTTTATCAAATAAGATTTCTTTTCATGATAAAAATCTAATGATTACGAAAGATTTTATTTGCAGAGAAAATAGAATAAAGTCAGACATGACACTATGAAAAGATTTCTGTAAGATGAAAAACAAACGTTTTCTAATTGAAGAGAATCAAAATATTAATATGTCAGCAAACAAAAGAACTGCATTAGTTGTGCGTCCTTGTCATTAATTGAAACTATAGAAAAACAAGCAAATATCAGAGGAAAACAGAAACTATGCCACTGAATTCATCTAATCTTTGCAAAGTGATTCATTTCGTAATAGATTAACAAACAAATTTTTTTAATCCAAATAACAGACAGCTACGTTTAAACTTTCTTGGTTATAGTATTACCAAAATCTATCTATGATTCTAAAGGTGATATGTACTAATCATGCTCTTACTTTGTTTATATTTCAAAAATATGTAACTTTTCATTTAAGTCCACAAAACTAGAACAACGAATGAATGAAATAATTATATATAAACATCTCAGACGTCACACTGATATCTATCATGTGTAAGAGAAAAAAATCTATATATAAATAGAACTATGAAGAATAACCGCATTAGAAAAAAAAGGCCGTATGTACCGAAATATTCTGCTTACCTCCATTTTCCTTTTTGATGCGAGACGATAGAAAAAATGTAATGGATGAAAGAAAAATTTATATTATATTACGAAGATTAGATGCTTGAAACAAGTCATCTCCATTAAAGAAAAAGCATTTTCGCAAAACAAATTAAACCACGAGTTGCCTTCGTGATTTATTATCTGTTACCTTCATGATAACGGCAATTGAGAAAAAGATCAAAGTCCACCAAATGATGCAATAATCGGCATAATAGTGTCATCATCGCAAAAGAAAGTCCATCATTATTGAAATCTGAGACATGTATCTTCATTGTTCTCTATTTCAAGGTTACTTAGAACTGACAAAAGTTAATTTTAACTCAAAAAAAAACGCAGTCAACATAACCGATCAACAAATAGCAGCCAGATTTTTATTTTCTGTTTTGAATTTTTGTCTTAGATTACATCGTTTTCATGTATCTATCACGCATGGGTACATGCGTTCGATGCGTGAAAAAAGAATAGTACGTCGATAAGATGCGACAGGCTAATGTAAAAGTTTAATGACATAGGCATACTGAAATATAATCAAATAAGATAGCATACTTGTAGACATATAAAAATTAACCATCAACACACAGAATTTATCATTTTTATCTGTGTTCGATATAGTAAAAGATTAGCAATATCTCCTGTAGGAACAAATCAATTAACGTATCGATCCGACTACTGATATTTCAAGAAGACCGCACTGTTTCTGTCAGATATGATGAAATGCGGTTATTTGTATATAGACAAGAATAGTAACACAATAACAATAATTATCTTACCATTTAATCCAACCTCAAGATATATTTGTTTATATGTCCTTCAAGGGTAAAATTGTATTTTTGCAATACATGACTTACCTTTAATTAATAACATGCATCGTCGTCTCTTTTCTTTTTTAGGATAAAAATATTAGTTTTTTTTAAGTAAACAAACTAATGAATGTTGATAAGAAATATTCAAAAATTTCATTTTTTTTTTTCTTTTTTTTTCTAATGTCGATCGATTAGTGAGTAAAGTTTTTTTTAAATAACAAAAGAAACAAATGGATTCTTTTTATTTTTCGTTTATTGCTGTTGACCATATTGCTGAGTTCCATACCAAGTTTGTTGTTGATAATGATACATCGTATTCGATGATGGTGGCATATAAATTGTAGTAGGTGGATAATGTATTGATGATGATAGTGGCATTTGAGGATATGACGTTGATTGAGCACCGTGATATTGTTGTTGTTGTTGTTGTTGAGAACAAGATTCTGTACTATTTATATTTGGAATAAAATCAATTGTTTCACTGTTGTTTAGAGTGCATAAATTTGCAACATTAGAATTGTTTGATATTGAATTATTTTGAGTTGAAGATTGAGAAGAACTAGTACTTTTATTTGATTCATTTGTGAGATTATCAGCATCATCATTATCTTTAATGGAACTTTCTTCTTCACCCATAATCCTAAAGAAAAATAAATGGAATTGTTTATATTTTTAAGTACTGATTTACCTTAGTCTCGCTAATCTATATTCAAGTTCACGTTGTTCATAAGTTTTAATAGCAGATTTTGTTGATTGTGAAGAATTGATTACATCATTTGTTTGATTTCGTGGAATGATTGATATAACAGGTACTGTAGTAGATGAAGAAATATTATTCGAAAAAGACGAATTATTATTATTATTATTATTTGTAGCTAAGATTGTATTAGAATTAGGAATCTCATTATTAATAACAGGTAATTGAGATTGACTGGTAGGTCGTTTAAGTATTCGAATTGGTTTATTTGTTTTTATTAAATTTGTATTCGAAAAATTTCGATTATCACTATCATCAGTTGTAGATGTCGTAGAAGATAAGATTGATTCCTAAAAATAAATTAAAGTATCAACAAAAATAGAATCAAATGATTTGAAACTGAGAAATGTTTTCTATATTTGAGTAATTTACATACTAAAACTGAATTCCTTTCCAATAACACAAAGAGCTTCCAAACATCGATTTTCGGACATCCTATACGTATGCAGTATATATAAAGTTTTTTGACTTTGCACTATTTTCAATCATTTCCTACTCGTCAATCACAATCGAATATAATCTTAAGTCAATAATAAAAATAATTTTCGCTCATAATTAATTTAAAAAATTACTTGCGTTGCGGCTCGATCTTTTTCTAGTTGTTCAAGACGTTTATCAAATTCTCCAGTATCAACAGCAACTTCCCAATCGTCTTGATCATTTCCCATTGTTGTTATTACTTTGTCAACCATAATAATAAAAAAAACAAAACAAAAACAAGTTTCGATTGTATGTTTCTTTCTTTTTTTTTTTGTTTTAAACAAACATTGAAATAAATAATCTGACAGAAAGACGATAATGATAAAATCTATAATCAAAAAGAAAAAAAAGAATGAACATTATAATAAAAGATTTATGTTGATGTTGTTTTTTTTTGCAAACGAAAGCCGAAAAAAAATGTATGACACACACACGCACACGCACACGCAACAAATGCAGATGATCACACAAGCTACACGGATAAGAACAGATCTTTGTATATATATATAATTTTTTGTTTTGATTTTTCTCTTCGAGTAAAAAAAGAAAGGATTGATTATTCAAATTGTTCAATGAAAGAAGACAGAATGTTTATAATATAAATGTTTTTGGGAACAAAAATGAAGAAGAAGTAATAAAACTTAAGTGGCTTCGCCTATCCGAGCAAAAAAGAAGAGAAAGAGAGAATAAAGCACGACGTTTCTTGTGCGTAGAAAAATACAAGCGGAAAAGAGAGAGAAAAAAAGGACATATGATGACGTACATTATAGAAAAAAAACACACACGAACTATAAGAGAGAAGTTAAATTTCACTTAATTATTTCTTCTCATTTGTTTTTTTTATCTTCGAGTCTGTACAGAAAAAAAACCCTTCATTTAACTAGACGAATAATAAAAAAAAAAAGATTTGTTAAATGTTTTTAGATTCATTTATTGAGCATTGGAATTCGTTTCCGATGAAGAACTTAGAAAATCGTTTGGCCGTTTATGTTTTTCCAGTGCATTTAATGTTGAATAATCATGAGGCAATTCACTCTTACGTCTTATCATTGGTTTGCCTTTTTGTATATTACGAGTTGCCTAAAATGAAATCAAATAGAGAGTACATTTAAGATTTTTGTTAGTTATAACTATGTAAATTTTCGAAATGTTCTCTGAAAATTAGTCCTAAATAGATATTAAAAATGTTCAAGATATCTCGGGCAAGTCACGACTATGAATGCAATCGTTCTATATATATATAGTTTTTTCGTACTTCTTTAGCTTCTTGTTCGATTTCTTTCGCTGTTATATTTGCTGGTCCACCATCATCATCATCGTTGTCATTTGGTCGATAAAGTTCAGGTTGACTTGACGCATAATTTTTATACTAGAATAAATATTCAGTTATATATTTCTATTAAAAATTAAACTTACACTTGGATTTTGTCTAGCTTTCGATTCAATTTTTACCCATGCTGAATCTCGTTCACGTAATTTATCTTTTTCTTTTTGTTTTTCAAGTTTATATTTTTGTGAACATTCATCGAATAATTTATGATTCATTTCCATAAATAATTTTAATGCATTATAGATCAAGCCATGTATTGTTCTATTAATTTCATATAGAAAAAAAAAATAAGTAGATTTATTTAAATTCTAAATCGTATTTTTACTTATTCCAATGTGTTTTAGTATTTTTATATAAAGCTGGAAACATAATTGGTAAAATAACTGCTGCATTTTCCGTTATTAAACTCATTATATATTCATTATTCCAGTAATAAAGTGCTCGTTCAGCTACCTAATATACAGAAAATCTTATTATTATTTCGAAATAATAACTAAAACTCACTTGAAAATGTGGACTTGATACGCATTTAGCAAGTTGTTTAAATAGTGGAATCATCACTTTTTGAAATTCAGCTGGTTCAATAACATCAAGAATTTCTTCTAATTCATTGAGAAACATAACCTCCTTAGGACTATGAGTTTTTGGCCAATATTTTAATAAACCCATTATCACCTATTTTTATAATAGATATATAAAAATAAAACAAAAACTCAATTAAATATTTAAATACCGGTTGAGTTAAACTAGGATCTTTTTCAAGAAATTGTACAATACAATATGCCAATTGAGGATGATAAATACTGAGTGTTTTAGCTTTGTGTAATGGTAATAAAACTTTAATTAGAAATACTTTATGTTCTTCTTTCAATGGTAATGCAAATCCATTGATAATACTAAAAACAAGATTCTCTTATTTTTTTTATTTAAGATAATCGAATTTTTACCTTCCCAGAATTTCAAGTAATTCAGCAACACCATTGTGTCGTTCAGTTTCGAAAATAAACTAAAAGAAAAAAATAAATATTTTTCTTATAAACTATTTTGAATCAGTGAACCAGACTACCGTGTCTGTCATATCATACACGGATGAGAGAGAATTATAAATCTCTCTGCTTCAACAGTTTCCTTAGATCATATTTTATTATAGAAAAATGATATACGTATGAAAAAACAAAGCAGCTTTTTTTTTTAATTTGTAAAGACTGTTTACAATTTCGCGATATATAAAAACAATCATAATGCATTGGTATATTTTTCTTAGAAGAGATCAATATGTGATGGAAATATGATCAGACATCTAGCTGCAGTATAAGATGTTTATATATACTAAGATATGTAAATGCACTTGAATATTTCTATTAAACTTAATACGTATCTCTTTCTTAATGAATACAATTTAGTAAAACTAAATGTACCAGGTATTTATTACGATACAATAACTATAAATAGATTTTGTTGATAATTAATAGACTCATAATTACATAGGAAATCATGCAGAAAAAGATAAATATAATTGTCATCAATCCTATTGGAAAAGGTAAGGCTATTTATATACACATTCTTGCTATAGTCATAATTTACGGGAGCAAACCTTATTGATTAATCTCATATTCAATGAAACTGTAAATCAAAATTTTTTAATTCATTTATTATTCAAAATATCATATAGTAGATTTTTAAAACAAAGAATTTTTTTTATATCGAAAAACAATATTTATCTTTTCTCGACCTATTCAATATAATATTATCGAATTACTATTTTTGACTTATATAAATAATCATTCGTTTAGTATTTTCTAATAATCGATCATGTTCTTTTTTATGATCGGTAATAAAAGAAAAAGAATCTATGTCACCTTATAAAATGTATTATTAATTTGTTTTCTAATATAAGCACGTAAACCAAGAAATTTGCCATAGATTCGATGAAGAATTGTTTTTAAAAAATCACGTTCACGTGGGTCTTCACTATCGAATAAATCGAGTAACTAAAAGAGAAAAAAAAATAACAAATTGTTAAAGAAAATAAGACAATAAATATGTCGAATATCATTTTTTATACATTAAGAACAAATTTTTGATCAACATATTTTTTTGCAATATTCGGTTGAAAATCTGGTGATTCAAGAAAACGTAAAAAGAAATCATAGACAAGGTGTAAATGTGGCCAAGCAACTTCAAGATTTGGTTCATCTTCTTCCGGATCATAATCAGCACCTGATGGATTGCTAATTGGTGGTAATGTTCGAAAGAGATTAATTGAAAACTAAAGGGAAAAAATATCTTTGTTTTTTGTAAATAACAAATCATTTTAATTACCATTCTAACAGCTTCTGGATAAATCGAATCTGTAATTACGCCACGATTTGATGTTATATAATCAATCATTTCATTTAATGCTGCACGTTTAATTTCTTTCCATTTAAGATCCGATAATGGATCAAGTTGAAAATCAAATACAGTACAACATTGTTGTAATTTTTGTCCAAATAATGATTCACGTTCATTAGCTGCTGCTTCTTTTAATAATGGTAATTTCATAAGTTCACGATTTTTTGATATGTTAAAACGTGAAGAATTTCTTCGATTATCTTTACGTATATTTGGTGCACCAGCCATTGGTTGAACTTTAGTTAATGGTGTTTGAGGTGGATGTGATAATGATGTTAGATTTGTATCAGATGGTTGTTGAGTTGAAAGAGAATTTGATGGACGTGCAATTGATTTCGTTGTTCCACTAGTACTAGTTGTTGCTTTACTTGTTGAAGAATCTTTTCCTTTGGACTAAACAACAATGAAAATATTTTATTTTTTATTTTTTTTTTATTTCAAAAATTTTACATCATCCGTTGATTTTAAATCTACATCATCTTTTGATTTGGATTTCGTAACAACAGTTGTCTAAAAAATAAATAAACTCTTTGAGATTATGTTTGTATTGATTTTTAGTAAAATATACCTTTTTAGTTTTAACTTCTTTATCCTTATCCTTTGATGATGATGTTGACGATGACGACGGCATTTGTCGTAGATGAGTGATTGCGTCTGAAAATCGCTTCAGCTCGATAGATCGAACAATGCACAAGGAAAAATAAGAATTGAATTAATCAATATATATATTTATATTTATATTTAGAGAAAATAATTCTTTCTTTCTTTCTTTTTTTTTCTCTTTTCAATAACAAAAAAACGTTTATTTTTATCAACGCAAATCGATCATAACCAATCAATAAAAATTAATTTAAATATGTGTTATTCTCATCTAGAAAACATATGATGATGAATGACAAATAAACAACAAGAAAATCAACAACAATATGATGAATGAAAGAAAAGATGAATTAGCTCGTCGTTTCTTATCGGTCCATTGATTTAACAAATCATAGAAAAGTTTCTTTTCTATACACTGACTTTGCCTTGGTTACGCTTTCCTATTGATCATCAGTGACAGAAAAAAAAAGAATTAATGATTTATATCTTTTATTGTATACCTTGAAAAGTCATGAAATAGGAGGTTAAGATTGAAATAATGTCTTTAGATTATGTCAAATTTTTTTCTTTTTAATTGTTTCTAGAATACAATAGAAATTTATTTTAATTAAAAAATCTTATATTTATATATAGATATATATTCATAATATCTTCATAAAGAAAAACAATAGTATGAGCATAGATGGCGTACTATATATATTAGTCCATTGTTTATTGATTTTTCAACGAGATATAGAAAAAGTTGGATGATGAATTTCTCAAACAACTGTTTCTTTTTGTAATCAAATTTTTGTCTTGACACATAAACAGATAATAATGTCATTTCTCATTTATTTGACTGATTAAAAATAAAATCTATCTTACCTAAAAGTTTCATCAATCCAGAAAACTAAATATTCAACAAAACAAAAAAAAAGATTTTCGTATTTTATGCATCAATAAACAATTAATATGATGGAAATAGGATTGCTATTCTTATGTACATAATGAACTAAACAAAACGTCTAGTGATTTAATCATATATCGAAAAGAAAAGAGTTATTTCTATTTATAATTATAATTTAAAATAATCTCATTGATCTTTCTTTTTGTTTAATCCCCCCATTTTTTCTAGATTCGTTTGTTTGCAAATAATGACACAAAAAAAAATTGATGATCTATTTTCTCAAGCATCATCATCATCATCAATTCGTTCAAGCAAACGTTCTCGTGTAACTCAAATAGCTCCAAATGATCGTGATGAATTTGATGATTTATTTGAATCAACTAGTTCAACAAAACGTCGTCGTACAAATAATAATAATAATAATAATATAAAACAATCAACAGATGTTTTTGATTTTGATGTTCCATCAACATCAACAAATAATTTAAAGAAAAATGAAAATGAAAAATCATCAAACTCATTGAAAAAGAAACGAAGTTTTGTTATTGATGATGATGATGAAAGTAAAGTGATAGATGAACTTTTCAATAATGATACACGAAAAAAAGCTCGACGTCCAATAAAACAAGAAGAATCAACTGATGTATTAGATATGTTTAAAACAAAAATAAATACAAATATTCCTCAAATAATATCAATTAATGATGATTTTAAAATACCTATTAATCCTAAAATTTCGACTACACAAAAGAAAATAAAAATGTTTTTTGATGATACTGATCTTACATCACTTCGTGAACAAACAAATGAACAAAATGATATAGTAAGTTAAAGATAATTCTATATCTATATATATTTTTTAAAAATAAATATGATTATTAATTTAGAAAGAGTATGTTTATGTCAAACCTGTGGTGATTACTGGTGGACAATGGTTATCAAAAGAAGATGAAACAAAGGTATTAATCTAATTTATGTAAGAAATGATAATAAATATTTATTTTAGTCAACATGTGGGACTATTGAACCATCTGATAATCCAACTATTGATAATAATATTCCGGATGATCAACGTAATTTAATGCATATTCAATATGCTTCACTTATTGTTGATGATCAAATTGATAATAGTAATAAATCTAAACGTAATTCTTTAACAAAGAAATCATCTGCTAATTCAAGTAAAAAAATTCTTGATGGTAAATCATTTCAAAAAGTAAGTTAACTCTCCTTTTTGTTATTATTATTATTTAATTTTGTTTTTAGCAACTTGTTTTATCCGAATCAACAATTGTACGAAAAGAAAATCTTCAAAGTTGTTATAATGCTTTGCTTGAAGATATTAATAAACCACGAGTACCTATAACATCATCAAATAAACAAAAAAAATCGGTAAATTAAACATAGAAAAAAGAAACGATATCTTTATTTTTCTTCTTTTAGTTCACATCAAAATCTCTTTCAAATGAAGAAATTATTATTAGTGATGATGAACATATGGATAATGTTGATTTTTTTGATCTTTCATCTCGAAAAAAGAAATTTTGACCGTATTTTTTTTGTATATAGAAATAATTATTTCTGTGTGATATTCATTTTCTTCTTCTTTTGTATTTTTGTATTTGTAATTAAAAAAAATATTTATCTTTATTAACAGAGAAATAGAAGAAGAAGAAGAGTTTTTTGTTATCTCATATTTACATGGAATTATATATAAGACTTATATCCGGTTGGAGAGTAAAAGAAAAAATAGAATTCTTTTTGTATGAAATCTTCATCATCATTCTTTGAATTGCTTTCTTTTCTCCTAAAGATACAAAAGGTTAGTATCAGAACAGTAATTCAATTAGACATTCTCTTTTGTCTATGAATGTTACTTGAGAATCTTTTTTGCTTTTTTATAAACAGAAAAGAATATGACTTCTAATCGTAATGATGAACATACTCAATATATCCAACAACGTTACAACAGTGTAAATGATAAAAATTCTAATCATAATGGACAAAACAACAGGTAAGTTAAAACAAGTTTGATTCACTCACTTATAGTTAACTTATCTTTTTCTTTATACTTATATATCAGTGATGATGCAACCAATCGTCGCCATAGTATAGCTCATGTTAACTTTCGTAAAGCTATCTATCGAAGTCTATCATTATCTCATGAAAATGACGAATACAACAGTATTTTATCTTATATGATATATTGTATGAAAATCTTTTTTGTTTGTCTTTTTATTCTATTAATTGGTGGATTAATTAAATTTATATGGCAACAATATCGTACTTAAAATGAAAGAAAGAAACATAAACCTATTTTTAATTCAATTATATAATCAGCAATTCTATATCTTATTTTCGTTTGATTGTCATTTTCATTTACATAAATAAATAATCAGAAGTTTCATTCAAATATCTATTACTCATCCACTCCCACTCTCATTTTCTATGTGGTTCAACAAAATTATAAAATACTTAATGTCTGAAGTGTTGTATTGTTCTTTGTATCTATGTGTTCAGTCTGAGTGAGCTTTAACTGATATTTCTGACACTGAAGTTGTTTTCAATCATCAAAAAGTTCTGAATTATTAAATCTTTTAATAGACATCCATGTCAAGCAGAAGCTTTTACATGAAATATTTCATCGAATGATAAAGATAAATGTGTTTAATTTATGTACAATCTTTTAAGAAAAAATTATTTAATAAATTAGGTTAAATCTTATTCGAGTTTAAACAACTATACTTATAAAGAAAAATAATCAAGTAACTTTAATTTAATAACATAAAGACTAATTAATAAAAGAATTTCATTTTCAAATATATGATCTTGGTATTCTTGTGCACCTTTTTTGAAGTTCTATACTTTTTAATGGAAAACAATCTGCTGCAAATTTATGTAATACACGACATCGATCTTCTGATATATCTTCATCTGTATATCAAGCAATCGTGTTTTAAATGTTAAATTTAATTGTTTATCTACAAATAATGATAGATATATTTGCAAAATATGATTAAATTGTTCATATAATATTAATAAACGATTATCAATAATAAAAGTTTTTGTTAATAATATTCCAGTTGAGGGTGTGGGTGAGGGTGGGTATGAGGAAGTGGGAGGATAGGTGGATGAGAGTAAGAGCGTGAATGGGTGAGTGAGTGAGGGTCTGAATGTGGTGCCAGTATGAGTAGTTGTGCGTGTTGACGAAAAACAGTCGCACCCATACTTCAAACCCTCACTCACACGCACACCCGTTTTCTTATCGAGCAAATATGTACTATCAAATTTTTCCGACCAATATCCATAGGTCCACGAAAAATAAAAACTTTCATGGTTTAATTTTATACTAATAAACTAGAGAAACCACTACTTCATTTTAATCTCTTTAGTCCCTTTAGTCCTTTTAATCCCTTTAGTCCTTTTAGTCCTTTTGATCCCTTTAGTCCTTTTAGTCCTTTTGATCCCTTTAGTCCTTTTAATCCCTTTAGTCCTTTTAGTCCTTTTAATCCCTTTAATTCCTTTAGTCCCTTTAGTCTTCAGGGTGTGGGTGAGGGTGTTCGTAGGTCTGGGTGCGAGTGTGGGGGAGGATGTGGGTGTTCGTGGGTCTGGGTGCGAGTGTGGGTGAGGATGTGGGTATGGATGAGGGTGTGGGTTTGGGTGTGGCTATTTACACTGTTTAACACCCACACCTTAGAAAAAACTTGAAGGACTAAAAGGATTAAAAGGACTAGACCATTCTTTAGTTGCATAGCATAAAAGTAAACTATAATAACTTTAATTTTTCGTGGACCCCTCCCAATATCGGGTACGCCTGCTAGTAACCTATAGGAGGCTTTTTTGGATGTGGCAAGAATCTAAGAAAAAATTGATCAGGCAAGAATCTTGCCTGATACAGGGGCGTAGCCAAGAGCTTCGAACGAAGCCTGCACACTAACGAGAAAATACTTTTTTTTATCTTGTGACAAGGCTCTTTACCAGTACCCTTCTTCAGATATTTATTGGCCAAGGGGGTGCACGGCACTTGTGCACCCCCTTTAGCTACGCCCCTGGCCTGATAATCAAGAAAAATAAAAATCTCGGAAGATCGAAAGACGATCGTCGATTGATAAAAATAAAGTGCAATAAAATAGAATACTCAAATAGAGCAATAAAATAAGATCCAGTAAAATAGAGTAATAAATCAAAATGAAATAATGCAAAATAAAAAAAAGAATGTGAGTGTTGGTGAAGAGATACTTATAATAACATCACGCGCTCCATCAATATTGCAGTAAATCACTTTCGATTGTTAACGTATTTATTTCTCGAAGGTTCCTCCTTACTGAGCTACGTATATATAAAGCATCAGTAAGACTACAGATACTTACATTTTACATACCAGTTTAAGTTTATTGGCAACTCAGTCTTTACACATTCGATCACCAAGCTACAACAATGCACATTATGAATCAAAAGGTTTATTTGGCAGTCGTCTTAGTTTTGATGGTAACAATCTGCATAGTACGTGGGGAGGAAAAAGGAATGAATCAAGCCGCGAAACCTAATAGTCTTCTTCGTCACGTATTAAGCAAAGGTCATTCTAGTTGTCCTCCTGATTGTGACTTTGAAACTTGTGGTAATAATAATCCTCGTTGTTATAATAATCCTGATTGTTGTCCTTATTGTCTTCATCACAATTATAAACTTTGTAGTCTTAACGCTGTTTGTTGTCATCGTGCTGGCCAATAAGATAGGTATGTTGTATCAATACAGTCTATCGATGATAACTGATTGTAATTCTCTTTTTAGGGTACATGGCACAGATGCAAATCATACCGAAAATCAAACTATATAATCAAGTATTATCCACAAGTTGATTTCGTTTTCTCTTAATATCTTTTAGTTAGTGCTGTTCTTTTCATATACTCAACTATTTAATTTTCTTCTTTAATATTTTTCAATATTTTGCGTATTTTTTCAAAATTTTCAGTTCTAATAAAATATGCGCATCAAAAATACAGCTTGATTGCTAGCGTCTTCAGAATTATCTCAAATATTTACAATAATCACGACTAACGTTGGGGGATAACAATACCAGTGTTACTGATAGATATTGGTGTTGAGTATGGGTGTGGGTGTTTAAAAAATAGGCTAATCTATCTATAAACATTAAATATATTTAACGGCAAAAATTTACATATAATTCACTGTATCATAGCAGCGATAAATAATTTCGTTTCAAAATAAATTTTAAAAGTTTTTTTATTCAGCGTTTCGACTCATTGAAAGGGTCATTCTCAAGATGCACTAGTTTCAGGAAACTTTATATATTTTTATTTTCTACATACGTTCATCTTTAAAAACAGTTAAAATACTACAGAGAAAGGGAGAACGAAAGAGAGAGGGACAGAGAAATGGGAGAACAAAAAAACGAAAGATTATAAAGCACATAGAAAAGAGAAGAACATAAAAAAACAAGGATAAAATCTCATAGATATCAAATAAAGAAAAGATATATGTGTTGTTTCATGTATTTCACATTTTCCTTTAAATCTGGATATGGGTGCGGATATGAGCATTTAGTTCACGAAGAGATCCACAGCCTACTGTCAGATGAGTTTATCACTAATGAAAACTTTAGTGACGACCGTAAAACCCGAATTTTCAGAAGAAAAGGCAGATTTAAATGTAAAAACTCTTCTCGATTTGTGAATATATAGGTTATGATACAGTAGAAAGTACAAGCTAATAAGTAGTATTTGATGGTAATTAGGTTAAAATTCGTTGAGGATCAAGTGAATTCCCTCGACGAGCGTTATTTATTTTATCTCTTTCAGAAAAGGGTCAGCAAATCAAAGGATGAACGTTACTTGTATTTCAAGTATTTGGAAAACATTTTTTTAACCAATAGATATATGTCTACCAAAATGAATAAGTTGATATCTATTGATTGATATTTACACAGTTTAGTAGATTTTGACTGTCTATTCGATCGCCTTGAGACTATCAAAATGAATAGCTGTAGAAGCATTCATCTGTAATCTTTTCGTGAGTAACTATTCGATAAATCTGCTTTTTATTGTGATAATTGTTAAGTTAAATAAAAGAGGAAACATGTATTAGACAAAAAAAAGATCATTCTTCATGCTGATATATACACATACACATACTTCAGAATCGGGAGTGAGAAAAAGGATAAAAGAGACAGAGACTCTATCAACGAACACAAAAAAAGAAAGAAAGAGAAGTCGGATTATCACAGTTCATACTAAAAAAACATATTTGCCTAGTAAATAATATAATCAAATAGAACTTGTAAACCACATTGATTATCAATAGTTAAAATAATATTTGCTTTATCATAATCTTCTTCACAAATTATCATTTTCTAAAACATAAAAAAAAATTTAATTAAATTGCTATCTAAAAATAATGAAATATAATTTTAACGTTTTTATAAACAGATCTAGAACTCTGAGCTAATTAATTAAAATACATCAATATGATATTTTCTTTGATAAAAAAATGAAATTACATATTTCATAGCTGATTATTCCTCTCTAAATATCGAACTTCTATTAGAAAATCTTTTAAATAAAACTGTTGATATTTAAATCTTGGTTCTAATAAATAAAAAATAAGGAATATCTTTCTGGCAACATTGTTTTGATTATATAGCTGATGAAATAATGAAATAAATTTTAATTATATTGATAAATAATATAGAAGTTACTGTCGATATAGTTTATTCACTTCTTTATGATTAACTTAATAATTTCAAGTAACTAATAATTATCGAATTTTATTGAGTTTTTAAATTTACATTAAAATACCACTCATGTATAACAATCCTATGAAGCTATAATCGTATCAAGCTATTGATACACAAGCCAACATGAAAATTATTCATGCATATCGGTTAAACATGCTGCATTCGATAAATTTATTCAAACGTTTCTTTTTCTTATCTCCACTTGTGGTACTTTCAACTCGAAACAAAATCAAATTTTGTTTTACAAGCAAAAATTTTGTTTTTCTTTACTAATCCATAAAATAGATACTGTCTTTGCTTCAGCTTTTAATTAAAAATATTTTTAAACAAAAAAAATTGTCAGGCTTCTTTCTTTCTTTCTTCTGTTTCCTTTGAACACATGTAACCTAGAGTAAGAGATGTAAACATCAAGTCATGCTTGGTTGCTTCTATTAGTGACTCACAGCGACGGACGTCCTTTGAAAATGAAGGCATGTGCGATTGAGATCGATAGAAAGAGACTATAAAGGAATGATGATTTGTCATATTTAAGCATTAACAGATAATGAGACGGTGCTCATGCTTATTGTAAATATTTAGTATTATATTCAGGAAGCAGAGAAGAATATATTTTCAGTCTTTATCTTTATTGAAATGCAAAATTATAAAAAAAATAGAAAAAATAAAAAACACGCAAAAATAAACGATAGTGGAACAAAAAATACGAAAAGATAAGAAAAAGAAGCTAGCTAATTGATAATGTTTTTTTACGTTGATAATGATTGATGGCAATGTTTGCTTTTTTATGTGGATTTTGGATTGTGCTATCATATGCCCTGCAAAGTAAAAAGAATAAATTTATTCAGTATAAAAATAATTCGAAATAATAAACTCAAACAAAAATGTATGATTGATGAAATAAAATATCAACTACAGTCTTTAAACAGCACATATCGGACATAAATTTGTTTTACAATAATCACAAGCAACATTACAATCAGGATAGATATTACAAGCAGGGTCAACACCACAACCAAAAGCAGCACAATAAGGAGAAAGAACAGCAGAATAAACAGGAGTAATAACACCATTATAATAAACAACATTACAATAAGCACAACAATCAGGAACACCAATAGCACAACCATCAGCACGACAACCAACAATATTAAAAAGATCAAGAGCATAACTAACAGCACTACCACTATTTTTTTCTGTCATAGTACGTTTGTTGATTAGATGGTGAAGCAAACGTTTGCTATCCGAACCTTGAACTGCTGCTCCATGTGACATCGCGATATAACTTATTGCTACCAAAACCAAGAATACGACTAAAAAAATCTTTGGACTAATCTGCATAACTCTTTATTGTAGCTTGACACTGAGAAGAGAGTATTGAGTAAATATGCACAAGATGTAATTGGTATCTTCTATATCGTCGCACGAGTGCTTTTATATCTCACAGACAGTGAGTGCGATTTCGTACTTAATAATCCTATTTTTGCACTCACCTATGCGAATTTCCCATCTATTAATAGGATTTCATACTTATTAATCGTAATTTTGCGCTTACCAATGAGAATTCGCCACTTGTCTACTTCGCTATTGCGAACTTAAAAAAGATAAAGTTTAAATAGAATAAATTGAGTACAATTATTTTATTAACTGTGAAGTTAAGTTGTGTGTAATTTTTGAATAAATATTTTCAATTCTATGATTATTTTTTTTGAAAATTGTGGTAAATGAGACTATATGTTGAAATTTAATTTTTTGTCAATAATAAATGAGATTTTGTTTTATTTTAAGGTAAATTGAAAGTGATTGCTACAACTTGTAGAGGATGTAAGTTTTCAGTTGAGAGGTATTCTTTAATAACGAAAAATAACTGTAAGGTGTAGAGGACGTAAGGTATCATACGCAAAAATATTTTCATGGAAGAATAGGTGCATTTTTCAGAGTTATATCAGCTATGAAGAAGTATGATGATATTGTTTTTGTACTAGTTATTAAGCATTATAATATCAGCTTATATGGACTTATAACTTGATTCTGTAAGTGATTTAGGATGAGTAAATCAAAAACAGCTGTATGTAATTAGTTTAATGGAATAAAACTGAATATTTAGTGTAGATTTTATTCTATGAGTTTGATTTTTAAGATTGATAAAAATATAATACTTAAAATCATTGAGTAAAAAAATTCGATTAGAATAGCGGCAAGAATCTTTTCTAATTAAAACAGAGTAAAATTTTAAACATATTTTTGTGAGAAATATTGTTAGTGATTCAATATTTATTTTTTCAAATCAGAAATATCTTTTTATGGAAGTCAGAAGTTTCAATAGTCTAGATCTTTACATTTGATGTGATATTTATATTTTGAGGGTGTGGATGTGAGTATTATAACCACTGCACATACAAACCCACCCTCAGAATCTCAGTTAACTATATATTTTCTAATAAATTGAAAGTAAATTAAATAAATGGTAAAACAAAGAAAATAGGACAAACATTATAAAATCGGCTTTAATTTAGTTCAATATTTAGTATGTGTTGATACATTTTATTTTAAAAAGAAAAAAAAGATGAAATAACATGAATGTAACGAATACTATGAAGTTTACTGTTAGACGGATTCGACTTTAATGATGAAAGACACCGAATAATTTCTTTAATTGTTATAAAATGTTCATAATCAGCTGATAATTCATTTTTTTGCATGTGATTAATCAATGCTCGTTGATCATTTACAGATCTTATTTTATTGTGAGCGATTATATGTCGTTCATTGCTGATCTTTCTTAAATTTATCAGCTTGAAAGTATATTGCGTGGTTTAGAATAATGGTTTTTCAACAGGATCCACCAATGACAGATTCAGTGGATCCTGTTGAACTTGATCCAAAAATATATCATGAACATTTAATTTGTTCATCACTATTGTTTCTCGTTTCGCCCATTCATCTATAATATAATATTATATTTTTTTTTAAAAAAAGAGAATAACGTACTTGTATATTTGCTCCAGTGCTAAAATTCATAGATTTTATTATTGGTATAATAGAGTATGATATAAAAAGATACACAGCGTCATATCCATCTACTTTTATTTGGTCTATAATCATTTAATATTGCAAATATTGTACCCAGGACGATCATTCACACCATCTGAAACATCACCTTATAAAGTATGAAATGGCTATGGAACGGCGTAATTTATACCGTAAACTGCTAAAACCGAGCACTATTTTTCGCCGTTTTCTGGACCGTAATGCGGATGGGGGTGGGTGAGTGTGGGTGATGGACTCAAGACCCCCACATCGTCCAGTGCAAAAAAAACGGCTTATCACTATCACTTCGATTCGGTAAACGGCGTTGCATTAAATTATTTAAAGCTTTGTCAGCCATAGGACGTTTATCACGAAAATGTCTATCAGTTATACATGATTTACAAAAGAACGTAAAGTTTGAGTCCATAATAAACTTTTCAATTTCAACAGATTTTTCTTGTTTTTTTCGAAATTTTATTTGTATCACTAAGAATTTTCATAATTAAACAATAAAAGTGTTTGTGGCAGTAATATACTTGAATACTAAAGCGGCAGCCGAAGTTACTATTTCTGAACTAGTTATTATTTGTTCATTCGGAATACTATTTGGTTTCAAACTTTTTATCTACAACGAAAAGGTGTATAGAAAAAGGAAATCATATATTTTAGTGAAACTTTACTATCTACGTTGTGTCAACTTCGAATTCTTCTGTGAGTGCACTACCGTATAAATTGATTATATTTCTATCCATAGAATTTAAAATAGTTGTTGCATTGAAAAATGATTGCATTAAACAAGAATATCGAACGATGAGTTCAGCACTTCTACGACGTAAAGCTAGCTGTTGTTTAGTATTGTATATTATTGAGTTTGGTACTAGTTTACATTGTTGATTCGGTTTTAATCCTTGCAACCTTGGTTGTAAACATAAAAAGCTTTATGGGACCAAATGAAAGCTTGATAATCAAACAATTTAATTACAAAACAAAGTTGAAATAATGAATATTTTACTAGCCCATTTGTTGAACCTGATGCTAATAAATCATCGTATATATTATTATAGTATTGTTGTTCGTCAACAGACGTTGATTGTGCACAACTGAATGCATTATTTATATCAGAACAGTACTAAGGATAATGTTCGTGTAATCCACCAGCTATTTGTATTTTTCTATATTAACGCAAAGAAAAAAAGGCATTTTGGTTTCAAAAGTAATGTTTCAAGATTGAGTATATAAACATACGATAACTCCCGTAGCATGTCGGACCACCTTCGTCCTGTACTTGCTATACAAATCGATATGGTTTTGTCTCTAATAACTTTGCTACCATGTGTTATCGTGCTCTTGACGATTTGATTGCCATCCCAACCTTGAAAAAGAAAGAAACATGATGTTTATGTTGAGGAAAGAATGAAAAAGTTGATTTACAATCGATAAGCGTTCCCTGTTTGATATTTGCTGTTAAATCATCCGGATTGAAAAAGGAGCTTTCTTGAAGAATTCCATCACCCTACCTGGTCAGGAAAAAAACACTTGTCTTTATAATCATCATGATAGTGCGAGTTTGGGAGAAGATAAAGTAGACACACCCACACCCACCCTCAAGATGGCTAAAGATATGTGATAATCGATTCTTTTCTTTCTCCAAATCATACATCCACTGTATAGTTAAAAATATTTTAAGACGTTGATAAAATCACAAGAAGTAGTTATTGCAGGTGTTGATATTAGTGAGGGTAAGGATATAGATAAATAATGAACATCTATATCCTCACATTGAATATGTTGCTTGAAATAGAAAAAGAATATGGTTTTCGATGTAACACGATTATGGACATGTTGCTTTTTTTGACAAAATGAATGTTGTCGAGAGTGGAGGCGCTCTCAGCACAAATATTTTTCTAGAGGTTTCTTCTATACAACTGTTTCTATAATGTCTGCTGACTAGTACCTTATTACAAACTACGTTTCTCATCACTATATTTTATTTTTATAATAAAGTAGTTTATAAAGTAATTCAATATTTCTATACATACGTATATAACCGATAAGACTATTTTGAATTCATCAAATGCTAGTATAGCCCACTACGATCAATATTTTTTTCGTAGCTTACAATGAGAATCACATTCACTTCCCTTGTTGAATCTTTAGATGTTTTCTAATTCTATGAATGAATCGTCCCAACAAACAAGCAATCAATCATTAATTCCAGTACACGCACAATTAGAATATCAAAATTTGACCGATATAGATATACAGCATGTGATTGATGAACAAATTATAGAAAAGCACTGTACAAGTCTTAATTTGAGTGGAAATCAAATAACACATAAAGGTGTTACCATGCTTGCTAATATATTAAAGAATAATAAAGTAATATATCTATTACGATTAAATTATACACTACTAAATGGTTTTATTTGATTCACGTTTAAATTGTAAAATTTAAACTTTCAATGATAATGAACGGTTTTGATAGTTAATCTTAAAAAAATAGCATATTACTTTAAAATTGTCATAGTTGAAGTTGTTTCTTTTTATATTTCTCTCTAAAATCATAGGATTAAAGTTTTTTTTCGAATCCTTTTCTATTAGTAAAACGTGAGATTTAATTCATTGTAGTTCAAATTAACTCATTAAATTTGAAAGTTAAGAGAATGTAACTCAAGTTATAGATCTCACAAGGAAATATATTGTTTACTGAGATAAAACTACATGTATATTCATCTTTTTTCTATATATAGACACTTATAATACTCAACCTTGACGCAAATCCAATCAAAGCAGTTGGTATACAACAACTTGCTGATGTTTTAAAAATTAATACAGTGATTTCATGCCATTTTTATATTTTTCATATTTATGTTCACTTTTGCCAATAGATACTCAGTGTAATGAACGTGCAGTACAATGAAATGGGAGATGAAGGAGTACAATATCTCGCTGTTGGCTTACGAAATAATACAGTGAATTTCATTCTTCTTTGATTCTTTTCATAGTCATATTCTTTCCTATAAATAGGCGCTGAAAGAATTATATCTTGGAGGAAATAACATTGGCGCCGTTGGGATGCAATATCTTGCTGATACTTTAGCAACTAATACAGTAACCTTCATTTTCTATTTATCTGTCTCCAATGTTTTTTAATTCATGTGAGTAGACACTTACTAAACTGGATCTATCTCAAAATCAAATTGAAGACACTGGAATAGAATATCTCTCGAATGGTTTACGAAATAATACAGTAAATGATATTTCCTATTTATTTCTCATTTTCAACTTCTCTTCATCCAGACACTCACAACATTAAATCTATTTTCTAATCAAATCGGACCTTCTGGTGCTCAACATCTCGCTCATGCTATGCGAAACAAAACAGTAACTAGAAATCTTTCTTTCTACTTTTCTTATATATATTTTGTCTATTTCTCATGAAGAAACTCACTGAATTGCATTTCGGAGGCAATATGATTGGAGACAGAGGAGCACAATATTTTTCTGATGCCTTACAAAATAACAAAGTGATATAAACTTCTTTTATTTTTCCTATCTCTTTCAGATTTATTTTGCTTTTTATATGTAGACACTCAAAATATTGTATCTTTCTGAAAATGGAATCGGTTTTTCAGGAGCGCAACATCTCGGTGATGCCTTACAAATTAATACCGTTAGTTTAATTCTTTTTTTATTTTTTGTAAAAGTGATCTTTTTTCCCTACATACAGACACTTACAACACTAGACCTATATGGAAATCATATTCAAGCTGTTGGTGCAAAACATCTTGCTGATGGCTTAAGCAAAAAATCAGTAACTCTTATTCGATTTTCGTTTTGTTTTTATATTTCTTTTTATAAATAGGTATTGCATACACTGGATCTTCAATATAACAAAATTGGAGATAAAGGAGTACAGCATCTCGCTCATGTTTTACATGATAACAAAGCAATTCTGATTTTCTTTTTATATCATAGATTTATCCTTTTCAATATTTATAGACACTCACCACACTAAGTCTTCAATACAATGAAATCGGAACTGCTGGTGCACATGATCTTGCTGATGCTTTAAGAAATAACACAGTACCTTACATATTCTTTTGATTAAGTACAAACTCTATGTTTTCTTTCCAAATAGGCATTGATCATACTGAACTTTCAGTATAATCACATCGGAAACAAAGGAGCACAATATCTTGTTGATGCTTTACAAAATAATACGGTATTCATGATTTTTTCTTCTATCCTTCACAAACTCATATTGTTGTCTACATACAGACACTCAAAGAATTGTTTCTTCTTGGAGACGACACTGTAACCATTTGGGATGAACTAGAACAGCAAGATCGTCGAATACAATAGTCTCTTTTTTGTATAAACGGTTATTATCAGTGAACATTTGATTTATCGTATTGTCTAAAAACAATTTTCTTAATGAATTATCTTAATAAACATATTTATTTTCAAGATTAAAAGAAAGAATTAAAACGAGCTTAGAAAACCTATCTAAGATAAGTTTAATGTTGATATTTTTTTTACATTCTTTTGCAAAAGAAGAATATAACGACTACTAATAGGTTTTACTGATGATAAAATCAGATATCTTGTGTGGGTTCGAGTGAAATTAAGACGCACACGCACATACACCTGTACGTCCGCATCTGCCCTCAAAATTTAAGTTAATTATATATTTTTGAATAAATTGAGGGTAAATTAAACAAATGGTAAAACAAAGAAAATAGAATAAACATTATAAAATCGGATTTAATTTAGTTCAATATTTAGTATGTGTTGATACTTTTTATTTTAAAAAGAAAAAAACTGAAATCACAAAAATTTAACGGGTACTCTGAAGTTTATTGTTAGACGGATTCGAATCCAATGATGCAAGACAAGGAATAATTTGTTTCATTGTTATTAAATGTTTATAACTAGTTGATAATTCATTTTTTTGCATGTGATTAATAAATGATCGTTGATCAGTTACAGATCTTGTTTTATTGTGAGCGATTATATGTTGTTCGTTGCTGATCTTTCGCAAGTTTATCAGCTTGAAATCGTATTGGGTTTTCTGTAGCAACTCTTTTTCAACAGGATCCATCGATGATATAATCAGTGGACCTGTTGTACTTGATCCAAAAACACATCGTGTACATTTAATTTGTTCATCATTTGTTCATCTCTTTTAGCCAATTCATCTACAATATAATCTTATATTTTTAAAACAAAAAAAGAATAACATACTGGTATATTTGTCCCAAGTGCAAAAATTCATGGATTTTATTATTGGTATAATAAAATAAGTTTGAAAAAGGTAGACAGCTATGACGCTGTCTACCTTTAATTCATTCATCAACATTTTCTTGTTCAAATACGCATATTTATTCTTTAATATATTAAATTGTTCCTGCTGATGTCGTTGTATTACTTGTATTTGTTGTTCATGTTGTTTTTGTATATTCTGTAGCTGATTAGACTGCAGGTTAATACAAATTTTTAAAAAATGTAATTCATCAATGATTCGTTTATAAACTTCACCAAAATTTTCTTGTAACGATAGATCTTAGGTGTGGGTGATGGATACAAGACATTCACATCCTCTGGTATAGAAAAACGGCGTATCTCTATCACTTCGATTCAGTAAACGGCGTTGCATTAAATTATTTAAAGCTTTGTCAACTATAGAACGTTTATCTCGAAAATGTCGATTTGTTTTGTTTTTTCAGAATTTTATTTGTATCACTAAGAGTTTTCATAATTAAACAATACAAGTGCTTGAGGTAATAGTATATTGAATACTAAAACGGCAGTCGAAGTTGCTGCTTCAGAACTAATCATTATTGATCTAATTGGAACACCATTTAGTTTCAAATTTTTTATCTACAACGAAAAAGTGTATAGAAAAAGTAAATCATATATTTTAGTGAAACTTTACTATCTACTTTGCTTCAACTTCGAATTCTTCTGCGAGTGTACTACCGTACAAATTGATTATATCTCTATCGATAGAATTTATAATAGTTGTTGCATTCAAAAATAATTGCATTACACAAGAATGTCGAGTAATGAGTTTAGCACTTCGACGACGTTAAGCTAGCTGTTGTTTATTATTGTATTTGGTACTAGTTTACATAGTTGATTCGTTTTTAATTCTTGCAGCCTTGGTTGTAAATATAAAAAAGCTTCACCTGACCAAATAAAATCTCTATAATAAAACAATTTAATTACAAAAATAAAGTTGAAATAATGAATATTTTACTAGTCCGTTTGTTGAAGCTGATACTAATAAATTGTCATATATATTATTATAGTATTGTTATTCGTCAACAGACGTTAATTGTGCACAACTGAATGCATTATTTATATCACAACAGTAGTAAGAACAATGATCGTGTAGTCCGCCTGCTGTTTGTTTTTTTCTATATTAACGTGAACAAAAAAAAAGAAATTTTGGTTTCAAAAGTGTATGATTCTTAAGTTCATATAAACTAAATTGCAGCGATAGCTCTGAGTTAAAATCAATCTATGAACTTGAACCATCGATATCAAATAGAAAATTTTCAATTATTAGTATAAAAACTACGTGATATTGAAATAATATCGTTTTTCATTTTAATAAACACATTAATTAGTCAAAGCTTTTTATCATATAAGAAAACCTTTTCAACAGCAAACAACCAGATATCATTTTTTTTATTTCATGAAAATATCATTAAAAAGAATTAGTTTTATATATAATACGAAAGTCATTTGATTTTTATCAAATGTTCAAAACAAATAACCAAAATAAAGACTTTCATTATACATGATTAAGAAATATATGAAACAGCAATGATATTATAAGTTAACCCATTTCATTTAGAGGTGTCACATTTATTACTATGTAGTTCTACTATTTAACAGAAGTTATGTCTCACAAAAATGTTGATTGCAAATTGAGTATATTCATATCAAGTACAACAACACTAATAAAAAAGCGCAATAAATATTTAAGTTGATTTTCGCGGAAAGCTGAAGAAAGATATATTTGTCAAGGAGAAACAATAATGAAAGTTACACCGAACGCAGACAAAGAAACATATATTATCTATATGATCTTTCCTTATCACTGCTGTTATAAAAAGCAAAAAGAAACGATATTCGAGCAAATAGATTGATTGTATGAAAAATAACTTATAAAAGAGAGTACAGTTTTATTATTATCGTATAATACTCGAAGTGTTTCTTTTTCTACGAAAGCTCCACTAAAAACTGACGAGTTTTTGAATTTTAAAAAACAAAACCATGCATCAGTAAGTGTTGTAGTTCATGCTATCAATCGACTTATTTAGATCCATTTTTAGTGTTATGAAAGTTTCTCTAACAATTTTGTTCGTAATACTTATATTGATCTATATCAGTTTATTTATACTAAAACTTGTCTTCTACTCTAAATGGTCAATGCATCAATGCCCAGTTGCAACAAATTTAAAATTATATTTGATTGCAAGTGGTGTACTCGAAATTATATGGCCTGTTCTTTTTGCTACTATACCTTTTTGTGATGCAAATGCATTCGATAGTGTAACAAAAACTTATCAGAAATGGAAAAGTGAAAATGGAGGTCCATGGCGAAAGGATGGTATTAAAGAGGAGACATCATATGGTAAATTAGAATTTAAAATGTATGATAAATTGTTAACTTTATTTCTCGCTTAGGAATTGGTGTTTGGACTATTATTGCTGCGTGTGTATGTCTTTTTGCAGATTTTATTCTTTGGTGTTGTGGAAATGCATGGATATTAACTAAATACAAATACGTTGAATATCATGATTCTTTTTCTTTGAGTTATTGTTATGCCTCATTATTTAAAGCTGCTTTTGGTATTATGATTGTCACTGATATTTGGTGTGTCTTTGTATGTCTAGCATTAATTCTTTATTGGATGTTTAAGTAAATTGAAGTTTATTAAGAGAAAACAGCATACTACTTGAATTAGTGTATATATAATATAGTCAATAGTTTGTAGTGATAAGACGAGAGCTATTACTGTTTCGTTTTTTATTTTCACTGATCCTATTGAAAATAACTTTACTTGAATAACTGTTTAACAAATACTCAAAGAAATAACAATAGATCAACTTAAACATGCTTAACTACTCCAAGAAGAAACGAATCAGTTGATTTTCTTTTATGAAATAACTAAATATATGTATATATAGTACAGTTACGAAAAAAAATCAAATATGCATCTGATTTACATTTACATGATAGAAATAATATTTAATATTGTTAAAACTACTTCGTTCAAACCCACGCCACTTTGATTAGGAAACATTTTCTTTATATGTTTTGACGGAAGTTGGTTGTACTGATGCGTTAATATAAACAAATCTTTGAAATACTTTAGGACGTTTTACTTTCTTTTTTTTCAATTTAACTTTCGCTGGATCAATGCCAATAATATATTTTAGAATATCCATGATGAAAACAAATATAAAAACAGCTACGATAGAAATAATTGATATATAAGCAAAAGATTTCGAAATAATTTGATAAATAACTATTCTTGATGCAGTTATTTGACAATTTTGACCAGAAAAACTTGATCCGAGACATTCACATGTATAATTAAGTAATAATGATCGACATACACCATTATTTAAGCATTTCGTATTATCACAATAATACATTTTTGTTTCACAATGTCTACCTATCCATCCCAGTGGACATAAACATTCAAATGTGTTATTTGATATTGTATTACAAGTACCTGAAATACAGTTGATTATCTTCAATTACATAATCTAATACAAAAGAAAAAAATAACAATACCATCATTCCAACAAGTATTCAATTGACATGGTCGATTATCAATCTCACAATTGATACCATCGAAACCTGATAGACATGAACATGTATAATCTTGAATAGCATTATTGGTATTATTATTATTTATACAAGTGCCATTATTTTGACAAGATTGAAGCATATCACATGGTGTAGATGATACATTACAGTTGGGACTAATTTCATATTGGCTATGACATAAGGGAGGAACAAAGAATATTGACGATGAATGAGCTAAATAATAAACAATATATATGTATATGATAAGAATCCGTTGTTTGTTGAATTTGTGCAAAAACACAGTTTTATCTTAGTTAGAAAATATTATTCAATACCTTTTTGATTAGTCACAGTTGTTGATAACATAGCAGTTGATACAGTAGGATTCGATGAACTTTTGTCTGAAATAAAATATAGTATAATAATAAAATTAAAAAAAAATCTGAGCAAAACAAATCAAACCTACCTTCTTCTAAAGTTGACATCGATGTTGATTGCTGTGTAGTATCTTCATCTATATTAAATATTAATTCATATATACATTTTACTAGTAAAGACTCAAAATTTGATTTCTATCCTTGAGAAGGAAAAAGAATCCCAAAAATATTCGTTAAACTTACCTTCAGTGTTATTTAATATGAACTTTTGAATTCGACTATTATTTTGATCAGTAACAAATATGTTACCATAACTATCGAAACTAAGAGAAGCTGGATAATTTAATTGACTAGATCCAGAACCAGCTAATCCATGACATCCAACTAAACATCGAAAACCATATGGTCCAGATCCAACAATACGATGATTACCATTATCCACAATAAATAAATATTTGTCAATATCAAGAATAATTCCAGTTGGATGATTCAATGTAATTGTTAAGTTTAATGATGTCATTCCTGCTACTGTTCTTCCATTTAATTCTTCTGATCGAAAGAGTTGCACTCTATTATTTTCAGAATCTGCTACATATAGATCGAAGTTAGTATCAACAAAGATTCCATAAGGAAACCAAAGTGTACTCGAAGTAGATCCATTACATCCTGTGCCTGCAATAATTGTTGTTGTATTTGAATTGCTATTCAATGATTTTGTGACGACTTGATGAAAATCAGACATTGAACAATATAGAACATCACTAATATCAATGAAGAGACCTAAACATTTTCCGGCAACATACATAATAGGAATACTACTATTTGCATCTGTTGACCATACATTCACTTGTTTATTCGAAGCACCATCATCAATATAAATATCGCCATTATTTTTAATAAAGAGAGCATATGGATGTGACATATACTGTAAAAGTGTTCTTGTTGGTGTACTAACATTGTTAAACCATATTTGAATTTGTCCACTTGCTTGATCAGCAACATAAATTGTATCGTTCGTATCGATAAAAATACCATATGGAGATGTTCCGACTGTTAGATCTGTTGCGAACGTTATTCCATCAGTATACCAAGAAGCATTTGCATTGAATTTTGGTTGATTATATGAAACAACTAAACAATATATAATTTGATATTAATTAGAATTATAATTAATATAAGACATTAATATTACTTGTATTTGAAAGAGATATTGTTACACTATTTTGTTGAATTGTATCTGTTGAACTTTCCACTGAAAAGAAAAATAATATATTTAGAATATAAAATGAAAGTATAAGAAATTAAAGATTCTATTACTATTATATACAGTTGATGTTATAGTTTCCTCAGTTGTTGTAATATTATCTATAACAAATGAAACAATTCTATGTATATTGAGAGATACTTTCATAAGTATATCAAAACTTACCACATAAGCCCGTTAACAACCTAAACTTTTGAATTCTACTATTTGTTTTATCATCAACAAACAAATTTCCATAACTATCAAATGCAAGAGACCATGGATACCATAACTGATCAGATGATGTACCATTTGAATGATAACATGCAACTAAACATCGAAAACCAGTTGGTCCAGATGCAACAATACGATGATTGAAACGATCAACAATATAAAGATATTTATCAGCATCTAAAGCAATGGCAGTTGGATGGTTCAGTGTAAATGTATTATTTAAGGAACCACTTCCTGCTATCGTGATTCCACTTAATTCTCCGGATCGAAACAATTGCACGCGATTGTTAGAAGAATCCGCCACATATAAATCAAAATTGACATCAACAAAAATTCCTTTGGGTTCATAAAGTGAATATGAGTCCGAACCCATAGTACCTGTTCCGGCAACGATTGTTAATACATTAGAAGGACTATTCAATGATTTTGTAATAACTTGATGAGATTCTTCCATTGAACAATAAATAGTATTATTAATATCGACGAAAATATCCATGCACTTTTGACATGAATACATTATGGGAATACTCACTAATGAATTTAGTGTACATTTATCTATTTGACCAGTTGAATTATCACTATCAATATAAATATCACCGGATGTTGTAACAAAGAGACTATATGGATTTAAAAAATTTCCTGAGATATTCATTGGTATAGAATTTCCTTCGAACCATACGACAAATCGATTATTTTGTTGATTAGGTATATAAACTGTGTTATTCGTATCGATAAAAATATCGTATGGTTCTGTGCCAATTGTACTGATATCTGCAAAAGTGGTAGCATTTAAATCAAATGCTGGATTTGGACAGAATTTTGGTTGATTATAAGACACACCTAAAATATAAGAAACAATTATAATTAGTTTTATCAAAAAAACCATTGAAATAATCATTATATATTATTTACCTAATACTTGGCCAATAAGTATTAAAATTATCCATCGTCTCAATTCATTACCAATTAATGTCATTTTGTATTACTAAAAGTGCTCTTTGATCATAGAATGTTTAGCAATAATAAGGGACAAAAATATCAATGTAAAAAGAACGTAAATAACATTTCTATTATTTCTTTCGTTCAATAATAGATAAATATTTCTTGTTTTCTATAAATTTCTTTTCTGTTTGTTTATTTGTTTAGTCATTGAATCCCGGCTCGATGACACCTAACATGTTTCATTAAATAACCATGCAAAGATATACAAATATGGTATATTGAAAAAAAGTTGTCATTTCTTTTTCGATTTCTTTTTTATATTTTTAAAGTGTGTTATATAGTGAATTTTGTTGACAATTGAATCTGATGATGATAAAAATATTTCATAAGTATTTCAAAGAATATCAATCATGTTAGATTTGTTTCATTGATGAAAGAAAAGTCTTTGTGACATTAGAAAGTATTCTAAACTGAACTATTTTTATTATTTTAACCGTTGGATTGTTTTTATGTGTAAACAAATTTTCTCGTAATTGATTTTATTCACGTTTTATGCTCCGACAAGTTTATTCATTTATTTTCCCGTAATAAACTAGATTTTTGTTCACTTTCAAGAAGTTTACTTTTCTCTCGAATGAAGAGAAGGTCATATGATTTGACATATGCATGTCATTTTGTATGTTTTGACCATACACTACAAATCAACATATGATTTCTATCTGTTATTCAGTATAGTTTAATAGATATTATAGTTTTAAATCGTCTTAAATTTTCTATCTCAGTATATTTCAAATCGTTATTATGTTACAATAATACTACAAATGACTGAAGTTTTTAAAATCTTCTTTTTCTATTTTAAGATTGAATTAACAACAAAAAAGTGTTTGACTATTTATTTAAATTGTAAATTATTGTTGAATAGAAAATAGATTAGATTCGTGAGGTAATTGAATATTACGATGTTGTGCACTGTTTATAAACCATTTTTCGACTAATTTTTGCTGATCATTAAAAATTATATGTCCACCAGGATTGGATAAAATAACTTGTTGTTTTTTAGACACATAATAAATATCGGGATAACTTGAAATAATTGAAAAATGTGCATGAAAACCAGAATAACCTAAATGACCATCAAAAAGATAAGAACCTTCATTGTCTTCGATTAATTTTGGTAATGTGTTTATTAATTGGCTCAATTGTTGCCATTCATCAAGTGATAACTGCCAATGTGGATTTGGTAAGCCAGAATAAATATATATCGTAGCATAAGGATTGAAATTTTCTTGTTGTGTCATCACAGTATCAAATTTAGTCGAAGATATTATAAGAAGAAAAAACACAGTGAGATCAATTAAAATAAAATACGCCATTTCTTATCAACGAGCTAAATATGAGATGAAAAAGAAATGTTATTATAAATATATTTTCAACAGGAACAATAAAAACATGAATCATATTGACATAGAACCATAGTGAGAGAAAAATAAAGATGAATGCAATTATAACGATAGAATCAAAATGTAATATCATCAAAATTAAGTCCATGATGGACATGAATTATAGATATTTTTTATATAATTATAATAAATCATTTAAGATCTACATAGGGTCTTGACATTGCGCCTGTCTTTTCGCCCACATTCATACCCTCAGATATAGAAATGCTCTCACAAAAACTAGGTTGAATGCACCGAGTTGCTTCCTATCAGTTATATTGGTGTCAGATACTGTACGATATTTTTATTCGAGTAGGTTAGCATATAAAATCATCAACAATAGAAAATAAGTAAATAGAGTCCATTTGCTTGCAAAAGCACAAATATAGTTACTACCACCCGATGGACTTTTATCCATTTTAAACATTTGAACTCTCCAATTGTCCCAATCGCTAACAAATAGATCCCCATCATTATTAAATGCTAAGGATACAGCACCATTAAGTTGATTTGAAGCACTGCCAGGACCATGTCCTCCAGCAATGATAGTGCCATTCCGTGACCCTACAGGTATGCTCATAACACGGTGATTATGATCATCTACAACATAGATTGTTCCTTGCTCATCTAAAGTAATACCACCAACTACACTAAGCTGATCTGTTCGACTACCGTTGCCATTTCCACCAGCAACAATAGTTCCTACTTTAGCATTCGCCATCCATTTCATTACACGATGATTGTTAGAGTCTGCTACATAGACAGCACCATTGTCATCAACTGCTACACCTCGAGCTGAAAAGAAAATAGAAAATAGAAATATCTATTAAAACATTGCTAGTAGTATACTTACGATAGTCAAGCTGATTGAGAGCTTCTCCTTTGCCATTTCCGCCAGCAACAACACCCACAAATTGACCATTTTTCGTATACTTGACTACACAATGTTCGCGATGGTGCCCAACATAGAAATATTCTTCTTTTTTATCTAACGCAATACCGTAAAGTGAAGTACTGGCATTAATTATTCTTTCACCTGCAGTAGCTCCTTTCCTCCAACGGATCACACTTCCATTTATGCCTTCTTCAACGGTAACAAACAAAGTACCTTCCTTATCAAATGTGAGAGCAGTAGGAAGACAAAGTTTGCCTTGTTCACTTGTTCCACAATGACCTCCGGCCCAAAGGAAACCACTTACTGCATCTCGATCCCATTTAACAACTCGATGATTAAAATAATCAGCAACAAAGACTGCATCATTGGAATCAACAAACAATCCATATGAAGAGTTTAATTGATAAAGAGCATTTCCTTCACCATGGCCACCAGCCACTGTTTTGCCATTCATTTCCCATGTTTTTGTCGGACAAAATGCTAAAAAATATTATACTTAATAATTTAATCGTCTAGTAGCAAACACATAAGAAAACATATTTTAGATATCGCATCCAATCCATAAATGGTTTCTTGCAGATAATAAATATGTATTTTTATAGAGTTCTCAATGCTTCATAAGATAATACTGATTTGAAGAGGCGTACAGAAACTTTTATGTATCACTGTCCTTTCTCAAAACCATGTGTCTGAAAAATAATTGAAGTCTGACTCAGTCATTTCTACCGACTTTATTAATGATATATTACAGACAGTTTTCATTAAGCAAGCAAGCAAAGTGGATAATATCCTCGTAATCATACTATGATGAGAAAAAACAAATCGAATACGCACCATTCAATGGACATTTATCATAACGGCTATAAGTCGCAGAGACTTGAGCTACCAGCTGAAGCAAGAAGAAAAATAATGTTGATCTCTTTGTCACCATTACAAGTAGAAAAATGAATGTGTGATTATTTTGTTTCTTTTTTTAGAGATAAATATATGTCAGTCATATGCTCTTCAAATACGGTAAGTAACACTTCTTCTTATCTTGATTTATATCTAGGTCATATGCTTACAAGTAGGAATAGTATACTATAGAAATTGTTTCGAAGACGGGAGTGTAGCTACAGGCGAGATGTATATGTATCAGATTCAATACTATTATTCTCATTCATAACTACATCCTCAAGATAGTTTTCGTTGACAGTTCTGTACGTTAATACTTTTGAAAATAAATCCATTAGTATCTCCATCTATATAAATATTATTTCATAAAAAATATGAAACCAGGTTGATTGAGATAATATACTTAATGTCAAAATGATTTCGTTTGAAACGGAAATCTTCATATTGGACACCTGTGACTTATTCTTCCCATATATAAAATCATATTGAAGTATTTTACATCAATATAATTGGTTTAGTTAGATTCATTTCATTCACAATCGATTCTTTAACACTATGAAAAAAAACAGGATGTGAGTGTAGATGAAAAGTGAATATAACAATCACTCTCAAGTAACAATTTTTAACTTTTAAAATTCTTGTGTTGAGTAACAACATAAGGTGGTATTTCTATAATTACATTTATTTGTATTTATTGAGGGTGTGGCTGTTAATATAGAACAGATTGTTACCCACATCCACACCCATCCTCAAGATTTGTATACGGAAGGTTATAAATACGTTCCGCTTCATTTCTATTGTGTGTGTGTCTTCTTTCTTCACATATATGCACCTGTACTCGTATTAGCGTAGAATGAGTGGTATATGTTATCGGTTGCTCGCGTATAACACGAATGAATAGTGATAAAATATAATGGCAAGGTTTTACCTTTTGTTCTTCAATGAAATGGAAGAAAGAGAAAAGCCTTAATAATTTGAATGTTTACATATGCTCGATTCATTCTAAGTAATAGCTTTACGCTCAATGAATCATTAAAAAGAAAAAACTAATATATAATTTACAATCATAAGCAAAATATTTTTCTATTTTGTTCGTGGCAAATACCTTGAAATTTGATGCGGTAGGTAATTAAATTTATTGCTCTATTATGTTAGAAAGTAACTTACAATCGTGACAATTTGTTTCTATTGTGTTGGATTAGAAACAGCACTAGATTTTAGTGTATTCGATAAACTTTAAAATAATATAAAAATTCGTGAAATGCAATCGAAATCTATAGATTCACAAAAAAAATTTATCACTAATCATCTTTATGATGCACCAAAAGTGCGTATTGACTAAGTAGAAACTGTATATCAATAGTTGTCGTTATTTTTTATTTATTTTAACTACACCTCAAACTCATTCGACTGCTAAGATGAATAAACCGTTTAAAAATTTAATTTAGTTTTCCTGATTTCAGATAGAAAGAATCTCTATCTCGCTCTGTACTAATTGTTGTTTTTATGTGATACAGATTTTAGTAAACGTTGTAACACTACAGTGTAATTATGATAAAAGTTTAGTAACGATATAAAAATGACTTTGAAGGTCATTGCGAATTTTGGGATTATTTTATATTCATCTCACATTTGTATTCATATTCAAACACGGTCACATCTACATCGATACCGTAATATGATGTTCAAACTGAGTATAGCAAAATGATAGAGGACGTTTTGTGCTTTCTTGCTATATAATTATAATAAGTTAATAGATAAAAAAGAGTATAGTAAAGTGTTTGAGAAGTCATTTCAAACGCTTCAAAGTAGCAAAAACTAATCTCAAATATAAAAATTCACTATTTTCCGTTGATTAAATATAAGATAATGTTTCTTTTTAATTCATTTCCTATTTAGAAATCAACTCAATTGAACAATGTCGTTGTTTATGGGCATAAACTTCATGTTAATATTTATAGCAAACGACTATGCTGATGCATTTCCTCGAAACAAGATTGAAAAGAGTTACGCAAATGCAAAACATTTACGTGAATTTACTGATCAATTACAAAGAAATGATAACACACAATTATCATCCAATACTAGTAAGATATTGCATGTAATTTGTACAAAGTCAGTGAGATGCTTATATAGAATAGAACTACAAATTTCTTTGTTAGCAACTAAATCACATATTAGAAATAGTAAACTAGATTGATCAATATTTTCTATGTTCTATGAATATTAGTTGTGTTGACCGAAATGAGCTATTTGAAAAAGAAATCCTAATAAATTCTCATCAGAACTCCCATTTCAAAATAAAATTGCTTATTGAGTAAAACATTCTTTCCGCGATCTTCATAGTTTCATTCCCAATCAGACGTCTTGTACTACTTCTCGCGGGTTCATTTAATCCAGTGACAATTGGTCATTTACGTATGCCTGAAATAGCTCGTGATTATTACTGTCTACATTCAATACAACTTCTTGAAGGTAATATATGATGTTCATACAACAAACATCGATATTCAATTTCATCATTTTCTTTTTAGTAATTATATCTCCTGTCAATGAGTTTTACAATAAAACTAGTTTAACTCCAGCAACTCATCGTATTGAAATGCTTCGAGCAGCTATTTATAATGATAATAAATGGCTTTCTGTTGATACTTGGGAAGCTGAACAACCATTCTGGACACCAGTAAATCTAGCACTTGATCATCACTATAAAATTATTAAACAAAAATATGGTGAAGATACTGAACTTCGTTTATTAGCAGGTTTTCTAAATATATGTTATATATTTTTCTTTGTAATATTTTCTTCTATCTAGGCAGTGATCTTGTACAAGAAATGTTGAATCCAACAAAGTGGTCACCAAAAGTTATTAATTATATAATGAGAACTTATGGTGTTACTTGTATAACTCGTTTAAGTGATACAGAAGTTAATAGAGGTGATTCTATAATAGAATATATTACAAAAGAAATGCCTAATCAATGGAAACAACATGTTGAATTTATAGTAGATACAATGACTAATGACATATCATCGACAAAGGTACGAGCACAATTAGCAGAGGGTTACAGTGTTAAATACATTGTACCTGATGCTGCCATTGCAATTATTTATTACTATGGATTATATAACTCAACGGCACCTATATCTTTATTTACTTGATCATATGAATAAGAAAAAATATGATTTAATCGAAATTCTTATCTCATCATTATCGTCAAGTTCTACGATGTCAATCGATTTACATAGTTTAATATCTAATATTTATAAAATGTGATATATTAAGAAGGATTATAAAATAAATCTTTCATAAATAAATTATTGCAATGAAGATACTAAAGTATGAGAAAATCGTAAGGGTGTGGATGTGGATTATTTAGATGAATGTATCACTCTCATACCCGGATCGAGAAATTCGAAGTTACCAATTATTTTTTAAAATTCTTAAGATTAAGTTTTGAGTGATATACGAATAACAATATCAGTATCGATAATGCTGGATTCTAGTGTATACAATTCCCAGTATGTCTCTCTGAAGTATCGCTAGGGTTCTGAATAGTCTTACAGGATCTCCAATATTTTCTTCGAGGAATGCATGTAAAAACTCGTTACTGTTGAAGTTTGAAAATAGTTAACTTTAATGTTAAACACTTTATTACAGTAATTTGAAAGTTAAAGTGTAATGTCTAATGATGATCGACATCTCAGATATAATTTATTTTAAATTGATATAAGAATAAAAAAACAAAATAATCTCTCGAGCGTTTAGATAGAATAACTGTTTATAAAGTTATCAGACAGTTACGAGAGAACAAGAAGTATTATTTATATTATTTTAATTTAATGTACAATCAAAAAAGTAAAGTAACAACTAGACAAAGATGGTTATCGTCGTGAAATTATACATTTGCTTGGTATTGAATCCATTCGATCTTGTTTCCATTGTTTTTTCATATTGTTATTGTATTCAATTTGTTTATTGCGAATATGTTCTTGTTCTTTTGCTTCATATTCCTTTCTTGCTTCATTTTCTTGATGCGATAAAATAGAATATAGTATATTTTTTTGATACAATCTATTAGCATGATCTCGCGTAAGACGATCATTACTATTTATATCATCGACTAGCACAGGCTTCCAGTCCCAATCTGAAGGTACCTGAGAACCATGTTCACCTGGACGAGGGGGAAGATTTCCGAAATCAGGATTTTTAGTTAAATCTTCTGAATATTTATCATTACGACCAGCATCAATCCATTGTAATTTATTAAAAAATATAATATTAAGAAATAAAAAATATAATAGAGAAAAAGAAAACATCGATAGATAGACTAAAATAACTTAATCAAAAAGAAGAAATGTCAGAGCGCTCAATCAAACTTAGTAACTTTCTCTATCTTAATTTTTCATAGTTTGACAGTTGATAATCTTAAATATGACATCAATCGAATTTCAATAAATAATTGAACAATGATTCTTATGTAAAAGAAACATTTATAATAGTATATGGTTTAGACCAAACTGCGGTATCCTTAATTTCTTCTTTTAGCTCTACTAACTCAATTCATTCTCCTATTTTTTTTGTGAAAAGATGCGATACGAAATGCTTTTACATAGTCGTATACCTCACTTCACTAATCTCTAGATTCTAATTTATATAAAACAGCATGCAAACAAGTTTTTTTTACAAAATTACACTAATTTTTCAATATAGTTTCCACGGCTTTTATTCAATGATAAAGACATCATCATTTAATTTGGACCATCAGATAAATTTACATTTTAGCATCAGAAAAATATGGAATTGTTATTGACTTTAGAGTTGATGAAAATATTATATCTGCACAAACATAGATACGCACATGCGATCAGCATAAGGGAATTCATTATTTTGTGAATTTTTAACTGAGTAAAGGACTATGTATCATCAAAATGTAAACGTTTACTACGAAATTTATGTGACTATTCATCGTAGATATAGTAAATTCTTTTTTTTTGTTTGATCTATCGATCATTAATTCGTAGGTACGTACATATTTATGATGTTGATCTTCTATATTAAATGATCTGAATATTTTTGTAAATTTTATCTGTCTTAATTCAAAATAATAGAGTTTTCGTAATCTAGTTTAAGATTTTATTCAACACTGTATTCTTTCTTGTTGTATAGATATCTTATCTTTCTATTATTCATAGATAAAAAATTAAACTAAAGTTTCTTGAAGCATACTCGCCTATTCTTAATCATTATTCTGCCTAGATACAAAAAATAGTTCCGTCGTCGAGCGTTTTTTAATATATATTAACGATTAAGAAAGATTCTATTCACTACAATTTATACAATTATTATAAGAATAGCATATGATAACATCCAATGGATTATTGCGTTGTTGTTCGTTGCAATACTTAATGGCTATAAATTCTAAATACGCTTTCAGTTGAAAGTATAATTAGAACAAAAATTTTAATTAAGTAAAATATATATAGCTCATTGTGATCAACGAAGAAGGATAGATGTCAGTATTGATATCACGTCTTTGTTTAACTATTGTTAAAAATTTATTTTTATTAATATATTTCCTGTTCTAGACGTAAACTAAACAAACTTTAAAATAATCGTAAACATCAATAATATTGTCTATTTTCTTATCTCGATAGTGACGAGAGAAAAAATCCCATCGATTTTTATTTATAATTATTTGAGTTGATATTGATAATATTTTTTGTAGCCCGAATACAAATAACACATATGAATATTTTCATATAATTGATCTTTTCTTGTTCTTCGTTGAGTGATAGATGATATCTTTTGACTTACAATATAAATATATATTTGACATTCGGTGGGGTGAAATAAATATACTTTGTCTCATTTCTTCAGTGGTGATATATAAAGACAAACGAGCGAAGTAAGTTACTCACGCTCACAATTTAGATGTTCATTGAACTATATCACATGTTTGGAGTGTAAAAATATTATAGATATGCACATAAACTCGTATATGTATATATTGTATTTATATATGGGAGGGAAGGTGATTTGAGTATGATAATAATAGAAAATGTAATGTGAAGAAAAAGCTATTATACATATCATTGAGAAAGTAAGATCAATGTCACAACAACAACACTCGTCTCTTCATCGTTTATCGTTACGTCTGTTTTTTATATTGTATTTAAACTTTTCGTGTTGTTCTATTTTTTGTAATATACAATACACTTGCTACTCACGAGAATAACAGTTTTAAATGATTAAAAATATAGTAAAATTTTTCAACTAAAAACAAATTTCATCACATTATAGGAATGATATCGGTATACATACATAAACATAATTTCTCTCTTATTATATATAGATCTTAATCCATTATGAAACTACCCACTTGGTTATATGCAGATCATTCAGTTCAAGATTTATCGGGACGTGAAGCATTTTTAAGCAATGAAGATTTGAAACCAGTTGAACCTGCACGACGTCTTTGGGGCCCATGGAATTTTGTTGCATTTTGGCTTGCTGATTCAATTAATATTAATACATGGATGATTATTTCAGGTATGATTATCGGTGGTTTGAGTTGGTGGGAAGCATGGCTTTGTACTTGGATTGGTTACACATTTTCAGCTGTTTTCATCTGTTTATCTGGAAGAATTGGTGCAACATATCATATCTCATTTCCAATTGTCAGTCGATCTTCTTTTGGTTTATTTGGATCATTATGGCCTGTTTTCAATCGAAGTTTCATGGCATGTGTATGGTATGGTGTTCAAGCATGGTTAGGTGGAAAATGTATTGTACTTATTTTTCGATGTATCTGTCTTTCATATGAAACATTACCAAATACTCTACCGGCATCATTTGGTACGAATACGCGAGATTTCATTGGTTTTATTGTTTTTTGGGCACTTTCATTGATTGCAATCTGGTTTCCAGTGCAGAAAATACGAATACTATTCACGGTTAAATCAATTGTTGTACCTATTGCAGCTTTAATATTCTTCATTTGGAGCTTAGTGAAAGCAAAGGGCCTTGGCCCTGTTATCCATCAACCGGGAACGTTGACAGGTAAGCATATGTAGGTATTAGAAGAATGACATATAGACATTTTTGTGAAGGCTAATGAAAATCAAAAATCAACAAATTTTGAATGGGAGTGTTTTTTTGTTTTTTTTATAGACGTAAGAATAACTCGAATTATATCAATGCATTTTTCTTTTACAGGCAGTGCACATGGTTGGGCTTGGATGAGTGGAATTATGAGTTGTGTTTCAAATTTTGTTACACTCATTGTTAATAATCCAGATTATACTCGTTTTGCTACACGTCCATCAGCTGTTATCTTGCCACAATTACTTACAATTCCAATTGGTTTCTCAGTTACATGTTTTATTGGTATAATTGTTGGCTCATCATCCAAAGTAATTTTTGGTGAACCTATTTGGAATCCACTTGATCTCTTAGGTAAATTTCTCGACAGTCAACCAACAGGTGGAACACGTGCAGGTGTCTTTTTTATCGCATTAGCATTTGCATTAGCTCAGCTCGGTGTTAATATTGCAGCAAATTCTGTATCAGCAGGATCTGATTTAACGGCAATTTTACCAAAATTTCTTAACATAAGACGATCTGGTTACATCTGTGCCGTAGTTGGTTTAATTATTTGTCCCTGGAATCTTCTCTCTAATTCTTCAACATTTACAACTTATTTATCTGCATACTCGACTTTTCTCTCATCAGTCCTTGGTGTTATGATAACCGACTATTATATTGTACGAAAAGGTTATCTAAAAGTAAAAGATCTATATTCAGGATCAAAAGAAGATGCCTATTACTTTACACATGGTATAAATTGGCGAGCATATGTTGCCTATATTGTAGGAATTCTCATTAACATCTTTGGATTTGCAGACGCAGTAGGAATATACAGTTTAATTGCAGCACGCAATATGTATCATTTAAATTTCTATTTGGGTTTTATTGTTTCGTCACTTCTATACTATGGATTATGCAAGTTAAGTCCAATACCAGCATGTGGTACAGAATGGCCAAGTGAAGTTATTGACAATGATGAGAAGGATGATAATATTATTGTTCTTAAAGTTGTACCACTGGACAAGGAAGACCAGAGTACTTATGTTAACATACAAGATCAAGAAACACTCGACAAAGTTTGTCGTTTATAAAACAAAATCCCCAAAATAAATGCAAACAATCTTTTTTTATATAATAATATATATAATCATGTAGTTTTCTTTTTTTTTGCTGTTGTAAATTATACATTTTTTAAGTTCATAATTATTTTTGTCAATAAACAAAATTATGCTCTGAGGAAGAAGTATGAACGTGAATATTTTCAAGACTTTGTCTTCGATAAACTATATTTCAAATTATGAGCATATAACTGTAGTTTTTCGAAAGTATAAATTTTATTAGTACTTCTTCTCTTGTGTCAATATGTTTATTAAGATAAATCATTTATTTTGATCATGAGAACATTTTCAAATATATCTGTTTATCAGTGATGATATAATCAATCGTCGAGTAAATATTATTTTTCATAGAGGCATGTACTGAAGTTTCTCATTGTCTTATATTAAATATTGTATCTTTTTATTTTATTATACAAATTAAATTCATATAGCATTAAAATATGTTTTTCAATGTTATATTCGTTAGTATATAAATGAAAACTATACACTAGTTTTCTTTTGATTATTATTATAAATAATTCAATTAATGAAAGATTGATAAGTTTCTTTTTCAAGTAAGAATTGTTGAGTTTATTAATTATCAAGTTCTGTCAAAAAGAAAAAGGATACAAGCAATATCTTTATCAACATAAAACCTATAACAGACATTGATATTAATTAGACAAGAAGATAGAAATAACTTCTTAGATTATACATATATTGATAAGAAATATATAACATGAATTTTATTTTTCTAGAAAAATTATGTTTTATCATATAATTTTATTATTATTATCATCAATATTTTATTCGATTTCTACTGTTCATTTATTGAATACAACATCAGGTATATATGTTGGTCGTACAGTTAAATATCGTAATACAATTGTTCAACAATATTTGGGTATTGAATATGGTAGAATTAGACAACGTTTTGAACGAGCAGAACCAATTATTCGTCAGAATGATTCAATTATTAATGCTACATCATTTGGAAGTGTATGTAAACCAACAATAAGTTCATGTACAACAAATACGAGTGGACTTCTATTAACAACTTCATGTGCAATTAATTATGGAATATTTTCTATAAAATCAAAACCAACTGAACAATGCCTTTTTCTAAATATTTTTATACCGATGACAATAGATAATAATAATAAAACAAAAAAAGCCATTTATATCTGGATTCATGGTGGTTCTGGTCAAGTTGGTACAGGAAATGTATTTGATGGAACTATTTTTGCTGCTTTAGGAGATATAATTGTTGTAACATTTAATTATCGTTTGAATCTTTTTGGATTTCTTTCTTCAGGTGATGAACGTTTAGAAGGTAATCTTGGTTTATATGATCAATTAATGGTACTTGATTGGATATATAATAATAGTAAAGTATTAGGTGGTGATAGTCAACGTATAACAATTGGTGGTCATTCAGCTGGTGCACCCTATGCTTATTATTTAGCATTATCACCATTTAATCGTGGTCGAATACGTCGTTTAATATTGCAAAGTGGTTGTCCATTTAATATTTGGTCACATATAAAAGCTGATCAAGCTATAGAAAAATTTAATATTGTTGCACAAGATAACCAATGTGAAATGATGATAACATTTGATGAAAAATTAAAATGTTTACGTGAAAAAGATTATCAGTCAATTGTTGAACATGAACATTATTCATATACAAGTGCTAATCACACAAATGTTGTTATTAATGGTAATTATATGAATAGATTTCAAGAAGAATTACATATAAATGATACATCATTAGCTAATATTGATATTCTTATGGGATCAAATGATGATGAAGGTAAAATAAAATTTTTATTTTCATTAAAATTATGTTATATATTTTTAGGTATTTATGTTGCTATCGTACCTATTCTTATCGAACAACCTGATGACGAATTTATAATACTTAACAGTATGAATTTTACTGAAATTTCATTAAAATTTCTTGCTGCAATGCAACCAAACAAAACTTGTTTACATGAACAAGCGTTAGAATTGTATGTATATGCTATAGACGAAATTAGAATTCAGTAAAATTCGGAATTTGACCAGACAGAATTAGAATATTATCGATTTTGACTATAAAACTCGGTTAAAAATCAGTAAGGGAAATAGGTAAAAGGCTAAGATTAATAGTGAGGGTGAGGGCGAAGGTGTTGATGAGGATGATGAACTTTGAATGCGAGAGTGAGGAGGAGGGTAAAAGTGAAAGTGAGTAATCGCGGGAAACCTCAGTTTTAGTCAAAATCTCATTGTTTATGAAAATTCTGGTGGTCTGAAATAGACTAACACTTGAATCCTGTACGACACACTCGCCCTCGCCCTAACTATTAGTCTTAGACTTTTACCTGTTTCCCTTACTGGTTTTTAACCAAGTTTTATAGTCGAAATCGATAATATTCTAATTTTGCCTACAATATATATATATATACATATTAAACTGATTGAAAAATATTTTTTCTATTTAGATATCATATTCGTAATATGTTAGATGATTGTTATCAATCACCCGATTGTTATTGTTCAGCATTCTATAATTATTCTCGTCTTATAAGTGATGTTTTATTTTTAAATGATTATTATCGTTTTCTTACACATCGTATTAAATCTTCTTCCAATAGAACATTTCTTTATCAATATTCTTATCGTACATCACAAGAACATCCAACATTATGTAATGATTATTTACGTAAACATAATTTAGTTGGTCATTTTGCTGAACTTGAATATACATGGGGTACACCATTATTATTTCAAACAAAAAAATTAATTCCATTAATTCAATATACTCCATATGAAAAGATGAATTATACAAATGAACAAATTGAATTTAGTCAACAAATAATTGAACAATGGTCAAATTTTATTAAATATGGTAAACCATATAGTAAAAAATTTCAATATCAATGGAAACCATTTATGAATATATCTAATGGAACAATTATGCATTTAAAACTTAATCAAAGTGAAATAAAACAATTTGAAATTCCATCAAATATATTATTTTGGATGAATGAATGTGTAACAATAGAAAATAATACAATAATTGATTTAAATAATCGGCAATTAATTGATGATATTTCGTTAACAGTATTTGTTTGTACTAGTTTACTTGTTATTTCTTTTACGATAAGTTCATCATTTGATGAATTCATTTTACGAGATCAACAAAAAACGGAAATATAACAAAATAGTCACAATCAAAAAAATTACTTTTGAATAAATGAAATCCTTGATAATTATAATAAGAGAAATACTTTCTAGGAACTAAAGTTGTAATTATTACTATAAGATGTGTTTAATATTAAATACTAACATCTACATTCTTAACAGTTGTTTTAGTTTATAATTATTAAATAACGATTGATATATAATCTTAAAATTTATATTACATAATATTATGTCTCTGCTATATTGATAAACTCAATTATTCTAAATGTCGTTCACACAAAAAAGACCGGATACATTATTTAACTTGTTCTTTTTTTTAACATGATTCATTGCCATATAAATATTTGCTCGTAAATAAATGACATTAATCTTTCACTCTCATGATAAGTTTTCCTTTTTATACATTAAACACATTTTATTCATATTGATTGTTGATCAAATCCTTTAACCGATATCGTGTATATATATATATATATACATACTTTTATCTACAGAACAGAACATAAGACTATAGTCAAGATTAATGTATGCATAAAAAAAATTTTTTTCCTATCCTGTTATAGTAGTATGTATTATATACGTTCTAACCAATCCTATTAGTCAGTTTCATTCATGCATACACTTAAATACTTCGATAATTATTCTCAAAAGAGCATTGAGGACACATATTGTTTTCGTATCATTCATATTTTTAGATATGTCTCGTACTTTTGGGCGTCGATTTGTTAAACATGGATTACTTATATGTACATCAGCGTTGGGTACTGGTTATTTTGGTCAATATCTACTTGAGGTTAATAGAAATTTGTTGTAATCATAATTCGAATATTATTATTTTAGAAAAATAAATTAAAAGCAGCAGAACCTGCAGTACATAAACCTGAAGTATGGTTAGATGATTTTCCAACACGTGAAGTACAAATAGATAAAATGTCCAATGAATCGGAATATGATATTGTAGTTATTGGTGGTGGTGCAACTGGTTGTGGAGTCGCTGTTGATGCAGCAAGTCGTGGTATGTTTTATATCGTTTCATAAATTTCATCTATTATAAATTTTCATTGATTTTAATAAGGTCTTAAAGTTGCATTAGTTGAAAAATATGATTTCAGTAGTGGTACATCATCACGATCAACAAAATTAATACATGGTGGTGTTCGATATTTACAAAAGGCTATTATGCAATTTGATCGAGAACAGGTAAGATTTAAAACAAATGCTATCATATTTATTTTTAATATGATTTATCAAATTTAGTATTATATGGTAAAAGAAGCTTTGTATGAACGTGGTAATCTTCTTAAAATAGCTCCACATTTATCATATCCATTACCTATAATGTTACCTATTTATAAGTAAATATAAAGAACAAAAAAATAGATTCTTTGATATTAAAGATTTTATTTAGATGGTATCTTTTACCATATTATTATGTTGGTTTAAAAGCATATGATTTTGTATCGGGTCGACAATTACTTCGATGGTCTTATATAATATCGAAAAAGAAAGCGTTAGAATTATTTCCGATGTTAAAAAAAGAAAAACTTGTTGGTGGAATTGTTTATTATGATGGACAACATAATGATGCAAGAATGAATATAGCATTAGCATTTACAGCAGCACGTATGGGTGCAAATATTGCAAATCATTGTGTTGTTACAGAATTAATACATGAAAATATTCGAGTTGACAATGATCACGGACAACCAGAAACGAAAAAAGTTATTCGTGGTGTTAAATGTTTTGATCGATATCAAAGTATATTATAAAGAAAAATTGATTTTCGATCAAAAATAATTCATTGAAATTTTAGATAAAGAATTTACAATACGAACAAAATGTGTCGTCAATGCTACAGGACCATATACTGATGAAATTCGACACTTAGATGATAAATCAATGCCAAAAATTTGTCAACCATCAGCTGGTGTTCATATTGTATTACCTGATTATTATAGTCCGAATAATATGGGTCTTCTTGATCCAAATACATCTGATGGACGTGTTATTTTCTTTTTACCTTGGCAAAAACATACAATGGCTGGTTTGTATAATCAATTAATCGATATAATTTTAATTTTACTATTTTTTGAAATATTTAATTAGGTACAACTGATACACAATGTGATGTAACTGATTATCCATCACCATCAACAGAAGATGTAGATTTTATATTAGGTGAAGTAAAAAATTATCTTTCATCTGATGTTCAAGTACGTCGTGGTGACGTTTTAGCAGCATGGTCTGGCATTCGACCGCTTGTTCTCAATCCTAATAAAAAAGATACACAATCAATTGCACGAAATCATATTCTTCATGTCAGTGATTCAGGTCTTGTGACAATTGGAGGTAAAAATTATATACATATAAACAGAGGAACTCTAGTTAATTCTGTAGAGAAGATCTTAAAAACAAAATAAAATAGAGAGTTTAATAAGATTTTATTTTGTCTTCTATAATATCTAATTAATAATCCAACGTTACTCTATAGTTACCTTATATTAATGCTATTATTAGATTCTACGAGACTTCGGTTATTTATATCCTATATTAATCTATATAATGTACGTTAATCATAGACGATGAAGACAATAAAACTCGTCCATTTTAATATAATTAGTTTTTGAACTGTCAACAAGTAAACGGAAACTTTGACATTTCAGCTTGAGAAATCTCATCGGACATGACATAATCTTAAAGAAGTGAAAAGAGTATATGTTAACCTCTATTCTTTTTTTGTCCTTCACATTGTCTGCTCTATTGAAACTGAGAAGTATTTAAATATAAATTAAATATTTATTAGTTCATAAAAGGAACACACAGGTTCCTGTTAAATAACCTATAACACTAAGAATATTTTATGTAAGTGCTTTAGGCTTAATCTTTGAGTAATCCTACAAGATAAGATTAATATTCTATTAAATAGAATCTTAATTATATTAGGAGGAAAATGGACAACATATCGACAAATGGCTGAAGAAACAGTTGATCGATGTGTTGAATCAGCTAGTTTAAAAACTAAAAATGGTTGTGTAACAAAAGGTTTAATTCTCAATGGTGGTGAAAAATGGACACCAACTTCATTTATTCGTCTTGTTCAAGATTATGGTGTTGATACTGAGGTTAGTTTTAAACAGAAAGAAAAATCATATTTTTAAAAAATTCTTATAGGTAGCTATACATCTTTCAAATACATACGGTGATCAAGCTCATAAAGTAGCTGATTTATCATCACTAACTGGAAAACGATGGCCTGTTATTGGTAAACGTTTACATGAAGAATTTCCATATATTGAAGCTGAAATAAGTTATGCTATAAAAGAATATGCTCGTACAGCTGTTGATATTCTTGCACGACGTACTCGTCTTTCATTTTTAAATGTAATTGCTGCTGAAGAAGCTCTACCTAATATAATACAAATAATGGCTAAAGAATTACATTGGGACGAACAAAAACAAAAAGTTTGAAGAAAAAAAAAAGAAATAAATATGTTGTTTTATTTCTTCTCATTTATTTTCATTAATAGGAAGAAACAGATCGAGCAAAAACATTTTTATTGCGTGAAATGGGTCTTAATTTAAAACGTGATATGCGTCAAAACGTACCGATTGATTTAACACGTGAAGAAATGAGTTACTATATGAAATATTTCCGTCAAATTGATGTTGATAATAAAGGATTTTGTTCACATCGTGATTTAAAACGATATTTACAAGTAAATATATTATTATAACTTTCTTTTTTCAATTGAATTCTATCTTGTTTTTTTTTTATAGAAGTCGAATAATGAAATAACAGATGAAGAATTTCGTATATTAATGCAGGAAGTAGATCAAAATCAAAATGGTATTATTGAAACAGAAGAATTTCTTCAAGTAAAATTTATTTAACCTATTTAATTTAATTCTATAAACTTTTCTTTTTTTGCTAGTTAATGAGTGCAATTAAATCTGGCAATGTTACATCAAGTCATTTTCCTAAAGCTGCTAAAATTGATAAAATCAAAACTAAACTATCACCAGAAAGAAGTGGTGGTGGTATTTAAACATAATCAAATGCAATAGTTAATATTTGTATAGTTATCTTTCCTGTTTCTCTTCAATATTTTTTTTATATTTAAAACGACGTCACTATGAACATACATACATAAACCCACGTACACAAGTTCATACAATCAATCAAAATATGTCTTAAAATAAAAACCCACGCATAAATATTGTATGCATTTGCTACAAACTATTATCCAGACTTTGTTATTTGTCAGTTTAGGAAGATCGTCAAGACAAAGACCATACGCTTTCAGTTTTTTCTTCTTCTTCTTTTATTCTCTCTTTTTTTTTATCTTTTACTATTCTATTTTGAGTAATCTTCGAGGGAAAATATGTCTTCTCTTTTATTTCCTTTTGCTACCTGTTCTACATTTTCCATTAAAAAGATGTTCTTTACTTAGTAAAAGACACTTGTACGTAAGAAGACATCATTAGAAAAGAAATAATTTGTGTTCTTGTTCCTTGCTTATATGCGTGTCACATTCAGAAAATGTTGAGATCGTAAATGAATGTGAGCATGTGCAGTTTTCTCATATTTCTTGGATTATTCAAGTACTTATTGAAGAAATGAGACCACGTGCTAAGAACAGATGAATGACACGTTAGAATATATATATATATGCAGCAGCAGCAGCAGCTTGTTTCAATGTTTCATGTTGTCTATCATCACTATAAACCAATGTTAGATATAACAACGCACGCAAATTAGGCGTTACTCAAGGAGAGAAAAAAAAGGAAAGAAGGAAAAAAAGAAAACCGGGTCGATGAAAAGAGAACGAGAGGAAAAAAGGGTTAAAGTAAAAGAGAATCTGGCCATTGCAGGGGTATATTAAAAGAACGAAAGCAATAGTCGACGACGTCGTTTTAGCATCAATAACAAGCATTTCTCGTTTTTCTTTTTTCGAAAAAAATATATATAAAAAAAAAAAAGTCGCGACCGACTGGTCTCTGTTGTGCTGCCAAGACTGCGTCATCGCCTTTTTGTTTCAAAGCGAGAGGAAGAAGAAAAAAGAAATAAGAAAATCTCAGGACAAACGCGCGCGCGCGCACACACACACATACAAAATATACGCACACGTACACAAGCTCGTCATCATCATCCTGTGCTAGTTAGACAAATAAACAACATACCGTTTGTTTGTCATCACCTACTCTCTTTTTTTATATTATTGTCATTAATTGAGGTAAAAACAACAAAAGCAAAAAATTTACACACTCTTTCAGGTAAGTTATATATATATATATATATATATATGCATATATATATACACATTTGTATATATTTATATCTAGTAGAAATAAATTGGTAGGTTTTATTTTTGTGTAGTATAGAAGAAAACAAAAAATGCGAGCACTTGACGAAAATATTTATTTATACCAATTTACTGTGATTTGATTAATATTAGACATGATTTTTCGATCTAGATAATACAGAGCAGAAGAACATTTATAGACTCGATCAACCATCGAATAATTTGAATATATATATTTTACTTACAGAAAGCTTACAAATGATGAGGATGAAAGGGAACTATGCTCGAATGACGTTCATAAAATATTTCTGATGAGAGAATAACTATATCTGTTTGATGTATTTTAGATTTTGTCCAAAAAAACGACTATGCGCACGAATAAATTCTTTTTTAACGCTAGTTGATTAAAAGCAAAATGATTACTCATTAGACATGAACATAGGAATAAAACTTATTCACAGCTAAAATCTCGAGAAAATGAACTTTTATATATATAAATTTTTTTTACTAGTATGAACATACACTATTCATATTTAAAAATAGATCTCATGTTAAGGAGGTTATATGAGAAAGTCAGATATACATCTCACTCTATATATCTAATATCATTGACTATAAGATGCGGTGACCTTTTTTTCATAGATTCATTTGTTTTCAGTAGATTTTTGAAATATATTTTTTTATTATAGAATGGGAAGAAAAAAAATTCAAATATCGAAAATAACTGACGAACGTAATCGTCAAGTGACGTTTACAAAACGAAAATTTGGTTTGATGAAAAAAGCGTATGAATTAAGTGTTTTATGTGATTGTGAAATAGCGCTCATTATATTCAATTCGTCCAATAAACTTTTCCAATATGCATCAACGGATATGGACAAAATCTTGCTCAAATATACCGAATATAATGAACCACATGAAAGTCGAACAAATAATGAGATTGTACAAGTAAGAAATAAAAATTAAATTTTTCCTAAAAATTATTTTCTCATGTTTTTTATTTTAGATTCTTAATAAAAAAGAATCGAAAAATCTTGATCAAAATGATAGTGATAATGATATGGACGATGAAAGTGCTAATGAAATGGACAGTAATCATCCAGTTCCATCTCATCATCATCTTGATTCGACATTAAATGATTCAAGAAAACGTACTAATCAAGTCAGAATAATAATAAAAAACTCCATATTCAAATTTTTATTTTTTGAAATCATATTTTAGTCTCATCAAACAGGTAACTATCATTCATCTTTACCAATGGTTAATGGTATTGGACAACAAACAGCACAACAACAAAATTTTTTATCAGGTTAGTTAATTATTTCGTTTTTTGCAAAAATTTTTATTTCATTTTTTTGTATTAAAATTTAGTTCATGGAACAACTGGTATTGATGCATCGTCTTCACCATCACCACAATCGACATATTCACCGCAAAGTTCACCAAGTGAATCACGTACAAGTCCATCAAATAAACAACAACAACAACAACAACAACAACAATCAACGTCAAATATAAATAATAAATTTTCAATGAATTCTAATAGTGGAACATCATTGACCATTGTTCCCTCACATGTCACATCTCATCATAATGATTTGACAGGAGTAGGAGGAGGAGCGACAAGTCGACTAAATGGTAAATTTCATTTTGCATTATTTGATCTATTCAAATTAAACTATGAGAATACTATATTTTAGCTGATTTTACACTGAATACAGCTAGTGGTGGTGTTGAAAGTAATAATTTTCTTCCATGGCATGCATCATCTCATTCGTCCTTGGCTGCTGCACTTCAAATGAACACATTACCATTAGGGTAAATCGTGCGCTTTTGAACAGTCATGAAATATAAAAAAAAGATGTATTTATAACTTTTTTTTTTAATCTAGCATGATGAATTATGATATGCAACAAGCATTATGTGCTTCGCCATCGGCGACAAATAATAATCCAAATCGTGTTAGTCCACATTTATATTATCAACAGCAACACCATCTTCATCAGCAACAACAGCAGCAGCAACAACAACAACAACAACATCATCGTACGAAAAATGAACCATTTTCACCACCTATTTCACATGGATCAAATAATATTCGTTCATCTATAAACGATACAAATTCCAATCATCCAATGTCAAAAACTCCTATTCCTCAACAACAACGATCAGTTGATTATGCTAATTCATCTCCAATACTAAAACCAACACTTAAACATGCTCGTTTTGATCCACCAGTTTGGCCGAATCCAACTTGAACAAAAAAAACAAAAACCCTTTATTGCGTTATATTATATTTGCTCAAACATTAAAAAGAAACAAAAAACAAAAGAATATCATACTCATCTATGACCTGACTGAAACTTTTCTTTTTTTTTTATTTTTTGCTCATCAAACAATGAATGATTACATATGTATCATTCTTTTCTCACTCTTATTGTATTTAAGAAAGGTGTGAATACCGGTGTATGTATTTGTATGTCTAACTGTTGTTGTTTTCTTCAGAATTATATCTATATTTTCTTTTCTTCTTTTTTTTCTTCTTTTCTTTTTGGTGTTTTTCAGAATAATGATGATGTTGTTTTTCCTTTCGTATATGTATATTTAGAAAAAGAGAGAGAAAAAAGACGACAGTGATGATTCTATTTATACTTATAGGTGATCTTTTCTTGTGTTTATTGTATTCCTTGTTAATGTATGTCTGTTCAATGACACTCAACCCAAGTGAACAAAAAAAAAAAAAGATTTTGATCATTTCATATAAATAAATAAAAAATATAATCGTTAAATATTTCGTATAGAGAAAAATAAGTGTGAATGATATACTATCACACATAAGATAAAATTCGGTTAATAATGAATTATTTCTAATCTTGTAATGCTTATTTAATAATTTAAGTGTGACATAATATCTTTTATAATACGAGAGGAAGAATTTAGCTTTATAATGGTTATTTATAGAACTTTTAATAAAATTATGTTTATCTTCTTTTTTTTTGATAAGCAGATGGAAAATCTGCTATTTTTTTTTATGGAAATATTTATGTGTAGAAAAGTTATTTTTGATACAATGGAATTTTTAAAATTATATTTTAGATATGAATAAGTTAAGATATATTTAAAATAGAATAATTCTTTGTATTATTTATTAAAGACTTTCATTTATAGAAATAAGACAGACATATGTAACTTGTCTAATGTCAATGAAAGATGCAGAAGTTTGTTCAAACTTAATGTTAAGTTCATACAAATCTTTGATTGATGGTTGCAAACTATATACATACGTTTTTTTTATTCCAAGGTCTTTCTCAAGGTCAAAATTTAGATATATGTATTACTACTGGTCATACATTCGAATTTATCATAGAGTTTCTACAAACTCTTTTATTCTTCATTACATAGCTACGCTACACAAGAAGAAATTGAAAACTTTATACTTTGTTCAACAATCAATTCATATTGTACAAGTCTACTCAACAACAAAGCTTGAATAATTAAATATCAGTAAAGTATTTTATAATATTTCGATTTTATTACTAGATCGATAATAGCCTTGATGTGCGCGAAATTTAAACTTTTATCTTTTTCGATCTAAAATGCAAATATCTTCAACTGAACTTTAGTTCTTACATTCTTATGTGTATAGAAAAAAAAGAAGACCCTCTATCTTACTGTGTCGTTTTTTTTTGATGTCTTCCATTTTTTTTCCGCAGAAGTATTCTCATTAAAGTGAGAACAGGAACATGCGTACATATCTAACAACATATTTGAAAGACATAATTATCGTATTTGTTCTTATATATTGTTTCCGTCATTAAACTTACATTACATACATATCAAACCTTCTATAATTGGTGTAATCAACAATATTCTATTAATCATTCATACAAGGTAAAACATAAAATAAAAGTAGATTTTCAAAATCGATATTAATAATATAGAATGACTGTGAAAACAGAAAGATAATAGTTATATTTTCTTCTAATATATATTTCGATAAATGATACAGTCAAGATATTGACAATTGAAAAACCAGAAAAAAGACACAATCAGAATACTTCTTAGATATTTGACAATATTTTTCTGAAATTTGCTCATAAAAATATTCTCTTTCTCGTGTTAAACATTGTTTTTTAATATAGAAGACTACCTCTATGAAAAAAAACATGCATTCAACTAGTCTATTCAATAGAAATTTATTATAAAATATATAATATATTTTCTCAAGCGACTATGATGTCAAATCTTGAAAGGAAAGCACATATTTATACTATTTTATATGAACATGAGAAATAGATTGATTATAATCGTTGGTAAAATGAAAATTAACAATATAACATGTTTTAGTAGTAGTTTTGACTGTGAAGGAAGATGAGAAATATATATATATATATATATGAATGTTTGAGGTCGTTTAATGATTTTTAGATTTAATCAAATCTCGTTAGAGTTTAAAAACTAATGAAGACTTGTTTAGTAGTAATAGAAAATCAATACAATGGAACAATTGAACTTTTTTTCTCATATGAAAAATACATTTAATCGGATTGACTAAATCCAAATGATGGAAAGAGGAAAATGTAATCGCATTAACTATCATCTATGTTTCCTGTCTTCTTGTATATACATTTACTCTAATCTAATTTTTATTATCTTTTATCACTTACTTTACCTTGAGCATTATTCTTACTTTATTATCTCTCATTAATTATTACAATTTATTCTCTATTTACTTCTTCATCATCTCAATCTAAGTCACATTAGAATTTGTAGGTTTAAAATTCAGACAGATATGACAGTGTTGGTACGATTGTTATTCTAACGTCTGAATTACATCTAGTTGATTCTCACAAATGTTATTAAAAAACAATAGAGATTTTAGACTCGACATCCTTCATAAATAATTTTAATGTTTCGAGAAAAAATGAAATTTAGTTTAAACAAAAGAACCCTGTTCGTATCTCACCAGTGATTTATCTAGAGGGAGGGCAGGGATGGCGACGCCCCCCCCCCCCGGAAATCGCTATCGCACTCTCGAAATGAAAAACCTAGATAAAATACTGTATCTCACTGTAATAACTATAATCTTATTTAAAATTTTTGTCTATATTTATTATTATACAACAGAAATTGATAAAAACATAATATTATTAGTTTCCTTATCTATATCATCAATTGTAGTATTTCTTGTAGTTGTTCGTGTCAATACAGTTGGTATTGAAAGTTGTTCTTGTGTATTAGTATGAGTTAAACGTGGAATTGTATCTAGATAATAGTCTGTATGAGATAAATGAAGACGTCGTAATTTTTGTCGATATCTTAAAGCACATGCATTTGCACGTTCTTCAACCATTGCTTGAAGATCAACATGTTTTGTAGTTATATATGTTTCATGATCAGAAAAATATGCATTGAATATACGTTTTAAACGTTCAACATCAGATAATTCTTCTAGAAAGAAATTAAACTATATGATATAAAGTCTTTCTAATTTTATACAAACGATAAAGTTTATTTTTATTTGGTACATCCCAAAGTGTTTTTAGAAAATAAGCAGGTAATTCATGTCGACCTCTTTGTGTTTCTTTTAATTGGTGACCAAGTAAACATATTATTCCAAGACCATAAAAACCAATATAAGCTAACATAAATAAAACAGCACCTTTATTACCAAATTGTATATCGTTAAACCAATTTTCTTCGATGATAGTCGATGTCGTATTCATTTATTTTACAACTGTTGTAAATGGCATCAGATTGTATAACTTCATGATTTTCATACAAATGAAATAGAAAAAGAAAAAAACGACATATGGCTTTTTTGTTGTATATATTTATGAATATGAAGGATACAGTATAATGACTATTCTCATCATTTAGTTTTTGAAGAAAAAGAGATAAACTATATTAATATGTAATTTACAATAACGATGACCAGAATATTTTGTAAGATTTAAATATAAAGTTCGTCAGAAGCAAAAGCTAAATGACTTTGTTTAAGAAATATACAGAATGTTTAAATCACTGCGATATCAGTAAGTGAAAACGAAATATTAGATCGCAGTTTAGATAGGAAACTTGTTCAATATCAGCCTTACATAATTCATTGGAAAATAAATTTAATTTCAGAAATATTTCAACAATGTTAGTGTTATTGTCTTCACTAAAATCTTTGTTTAATATTATCAATTACTATTTTAGATCATTTTACGACGAATATATATATTAAACTACGCAATAATTCAATAATTTCATAGTAATTTATTATAGTATACAAACATTTCAGTATGAATATTACAAGAAATATTATTATTAAAATGTTATACATATGAACAATTGAGTTTTGTTTACAAAGACTTATGAACATATTGGATAGTGTTTTATAGAAGTTTCTTTTGTCGGATGGATGAAATGAAAATTCTGGGTGGGCGGAGCCCGCTCACTATACAAAACGCTAACATTGTGAACAGTAGGAAATAGTAAATCAAATAAATTATGAATTGATTGTATATTAACATCAATTTCAGTTAAATATACAAAAACAAATATATATATATATAGAAGTCTGATCCCTTTCTTATGGCATGCAAATAGATAAATATATATTCAAACAACACAATCACGATATTTCGATCATCTCATGCATTATAAACCATTGTAAAGAACTATCACGCTATACAAAGAAAAGAAGCATGTCGACCTTTGATAATTAAATGGCGAACATATGAATGAATTATTTCATCATATAAAAAATTCAAGGAAAATCATTAAAACAAACTAATTAGTTTGAATTTTTGATTGGTTTTCCAGTATGTACGCACGTACGAACTCTAAAAACGTTTGTCTTTCATTTTTTATTAACGGAAAACATTGTATCGCATTATTAAATATATAAGGATGTTTTTTCCTTTGCCTAGAATAAGTGACTCGAGCGTTCTAAGTTCATAGCTACGAAGTCTCCAAATAGATATTATGCAAAAAATATAACATATATCTGTACTCAATTTGATACAAAGGTCTTAACCTTATATAACTCAATCAGTGAGTACATTGACTTTCGAACTACGATAAACAAAGTATCCAACAGTTCATCTATTAAAAAATATGTTTTTATAGTTTCTTTGAGATTGACTTTTCTTTTTATAAATAGAATGAAAAAATTTCAAGATATTTATTGTTCTTATTATTTTTCTATTAATAATAGTAAAACTAGGTCATCATAAAAATTTGATATTTTATGTTTCCAACAAAATGAATCATCATATTTTCTAAGAATACTAACAATGAAGCTCTTCAACTAATGGTTTCTGTTTTAGATAGTGACGTCATTGTCGATAAAACACCTATTTATATAGTATTTAATTCTATAAAATAAACAAAAGTAGATTGTTTTTTTCTCGCTATATAAGTACATTAGTGGACATGGTTGTATTTTGATCAATGATAACTGAACGATAATCATGTGTTGTAATTGAATTTGATAATGGTCGAAATTTTTTATGTATTCTGGAGTAAAACGAAGGTAATTGCAATGAATAACGAGGAGATTCAGTTTGTTGTGTACGATGTTTTTGTTCTTGAATTAATAAAATATCTGTTATATTATTTGTGTCAAGTTGATTTGTTAGGTAACGTTTAAATTTAAATAAAATTCTTGATGGAACAAATAAAATAAAATATAATACTGGTTTAAAACTTATACCCAATAAAATAATTTGAGCAAGTCCAAGACCGTTAATTATATCATGTGTAAGTGATGGTATATCTACATAGAAGAAATTTTCAATTGTACGATATAAATAAAACGGAAGTGATGTTAATGTTAAACAAATAAATATATATAATATATAAATCGATACTCGTTGTTCACGTAAAAATGATGATGTAATTGTTCTTCTAATTATACAACAGTTTAAACGAATATGTAAGATTATTTCAAGACAAAAAGCTAAATAGATAAAATATAGTTTAAAAAATTGTTTTTAGTAAGATTGTATGGAGAAGAGGGTAGAATATTCAATCGAGACTCAAACGTTGCGGGAATCATCTCATCCCCTCTCGATTCGCGACAGCTTTGCTTAACTAGTTTAAACAATATTCTTATTTTACTCATCCACTGAATATCGTTTGGAGAAATTTTTAAGGGTTTACTATCGATGTGTCAGAAATAACAAGAACATTTGCTAATTAAATGGTCATGTTAACCTACAAAAGATCTTCAACTTTAAGAGCAAAGAATTTAATCGAGATTTAAATACACAGACACTTGATGAGCTCTTGAATAAAATACTATTAAGAATCAACCGAGTGTATTTCATTATAAAATATCTATCATCTACAGGAACAAAAGGATGGGAATAGTTATCAATAAAAGTATTTTTCTTTAAATTTCAATTAACAAAAACTCTTACCAATAAGATGTAATGATAAAAGAAGTGAAAAATCAGCATGAATTAAATATACAATACGAGTAGTTAAATTTAAATCATCATTAGTTTGTAAATGACATACGATATTCTGTTCAGGTATATATAGTTCGGGAAAATAATTTTCTGTTTTATTATTTAATTTTGTTATATTAAATAATGTTTCATTTGTTCGATTTCGTTCATACATAATAGGTTCAATAGAAGTGTTCAAATTCGTTTCACCCCATAACCATAAACCATCAACAGACCATGCAAATGCTATAACAAATGGTATTAATGTACATAAATTCGTACAAAATAATTGATTTAATGTTGTTGTATTAAAATATTTTGAAGGAAATCTTTTATATAATATATAATGATAACGAAATAAAATAAATATTGTTAATAAAGGACTAAAATGAAGTGTTAATTTCCATATTGACATATGTAATGAACATAAACGAAAACGTGCAATTAATGATTGAAAAAAATATTTTTCATCCAAACAACTTATTATTGATGATAAACATAAGAAAAAATCATTAATTGTTAATACAATTAAAAATTTATATTTTTCATGTGATAATATATGTACTAATTTTGAATGTTCACGTCTACTTCCTATTAATTTTGGTTGTTTATATTTTGAAATAATATAATAAAGATATAAAATACAAATCAAATTTGAACATGTACCATATATACTTATAATTAATGTTAATGTTGAACGAAAAAGTGGTGAATAGGCTCGTGTAACTGGACTATAATGTGTTTCATTTAATGATTGATTTGATGTAAATAAAAAACTATCATGTAATAACATTTTTAGTACATGAGTATCTCTATATTCTTTTAATATTGTATCTAGAATATTGTTTAGAATAGAAACTTAATTTCCGTTCTTGTTTTTTTCTTTTTCTTCTTCTACTTTTATATATTAAGAATATACTTAACTAAGGACAAAAGTACTATTAATAAACTATACAAGATAGATATATAGAACTAATAATAAATGTAACTGATGTAGTACTAGTAGTTAAGACAAAAAAAATAGACTAGGACGTGGACAAGAGTTTATTTTTATGTTGAAGATTTACTCTGTGATCCTAAAGCTGATAGCATTCTCATTATTATATCTTCTAGCTTTACTAATGTAATAAGAAATAATTTATTTTTAATTTTATTAAACTCATACTGAATAAATTACTTTAATGCAATCAATCTTACCATGCATAAAGTTCTTATGAATAAAAAAAAACTTTGTATAGGATATGAAAAGTATTTGAATTACATGTTAGTAATAAAAAGTTTTGATAGACACATTCGTATTCATCAACGTTTTATCTAAGCGATGAAATGGTGAAAAAAAAGAATCTAATATATCACTCAGATTTTTTTCTTTATTTACCTAAGTAGAAAAGAAAAACTAGAGAACAAGACAAACATCCGTCCATCATTTCCGTTTCGATTGGCATAAGCTTAAAGTTAGCCTTCAGGCATGCATGAATTACATTTTTAAACTGAATCTTATTCGAATACAAACGATAATAGAAAAGACTTACTTGGTATTTATCAAATATAGATATATATTTTATAAAGTAAAATGAATATTTAAAAAAAAAGACTTTATTAGAACAATCTAGCATAATCTTTTTGTAGAAAATAAATTGAAACTAAAATAGTTCTTTGTCTACCTTTTTAACATAGTATACTTCATTACTTGCTTAGGCATGCATTCCATCAGAAAGAAAAAACTAGAATGTTAACAATATATTTTTTTTTCTTTGAAATTTAATCATTCGAACATGTCTGTTGCGTAGGTTAGATTTCTCTCACAAAATGTAATTTTATGCTTAGATAAATAAACGTAAATTAACTTCTTAAATATTAGTACCTGTTTAAGAATTGAGATCAATCAATGTCTTGGCTGTCTTTCATTTTAATTGAAACAAAAACATAATTATTGTTTTCTTTTTTATACTAAATGAAACGCTATTAAAGATTCTCTGTATATCCGTTTCGCATCTGTTAAATGTTATGCACGAGAGAAAGAAAGAAAAATATTTTTCAGTAATCTTTTTGCTTTATTTCTACTATACAAATAAACATTTGTTTCGCATAGTTTTTCTTAACTTCTCTTTTCCTCACTACTTTTGTTATTTACTTTCATCATAATTAATTAAATAACTAAAAAAGAATGTTTATATTTAAACTGAGTGGGAAATTTTTGTTATAGAAAGTAGTATGTTTGTTTATGATTTAAAAGAAAAGTCTTTCTTTCTATAACATTACCTTATTCAACAAAGAGAATTTCAAGATATCTGACTACTTTTGATCTATACCTCTACGAAAATGTTGTTATTTTGAGGTAAAAGAAACGTTTGGGAACAGGAAAAGTATATTTTCAAGTAATTGTTTTTACATCCTTCATGATATTTCTATTAAAAGAATAGTCGGATAGAATTTTATGATTATTACGCTGAGTGAGTTCATGCCTAGTGTGAGTAAAAGTTTTAAAAAAAAATAAAAAGCATAAGTCGTACGTTAACAAATGATGATAAAAGCTTATACCGCTTCCTTTACCATTCTATGTAATAGTGGTAGAACAAGTTTTTTTATATAGAAAATATTTGAATAATCAAAAAATAAATTACATGATCATTCACATTCCTATAATGGACATGTTTTAATACAAGGAAATTTATACTATCGGAAATTACACGTTTTACAAATACTTAATATAGAAATACCCTCGTTTTTATGACCTTGCATACTTTGTATGCCACAATATCATAAAAAATAAATGCTTATTATATTTATTGCTTTATTCCAATACTTATCTTACAATAGATTAGCATAGGAAATACAAATAATTTGACAAAATAAAAGGAAAATATGACAAATATTCACTCTCCTACTAATGACAGCTCAAATGATGGATAATATAAAATGCGCATAACTAACAGCAATAATGAATAATTAACATACTCAATATTGAGCCACAGCTGACATTTGTAAATGTATATTTTGTTCAAACAATTTTACGAACAGTTCAATATGAAGTTTATTTATATCTTTCGGAAATAGATTATCTGTAAATAGAAAAGAAGACCTAGAAAAATATAATTCAAAACATATAAATTATCTCAAGTCGATTTTAAGCATCCTGTTCATCAACAAAAAAACTAGGGAAGAAATCATAGATGAAATAATTAATACAAGTTAAAACGCAAAAAGAATAACTATCTAATTTATAAAGAATAGAATGACTGATGTCAAAATAATAACGAATATGTCAGATTAATTCTATTTAACAAGTAGTATATAAATCTATTAGATTTCCTTGACTAATACCTACGATCTATTTTTCAACTGAAAAGAAAAATTAGAAAATAGACATTTGAATATTTATAAAAGTACGTCTGTAGTTATTAATTTTAAAGTTTTTAATCTAGGTAGTGTTGTAGAAAGTTCGAAGAGTTAACTAATGAAATAATATTTCTCAAAATAAGAAAAATCTAGTTGTGGGACAAGTAGAAATGTTTTCATCATGCCTCTTCAGTTAATTAAATTGGTATGTCCTCTTCAAAGGAAGTAACTTTATTAGCAGCATGTCGAGAGATTCATGAAGAGAAAATATTCAAATCTTTTTTTTCTTCTTTCATATTCCACATATTTCTATTTCGGAAGTTACAAAGCGTTCAAGCGCATTACTAACTTGTTCTATACTCGAGATACTTAAGAAAATTAAAAATCAATATTATGTGTTAAACTAATATTATATCAATCTGTTTTACTATGTAGGCGTATGTAAATTATAATAGTTAACTCTCGAAAAATTCGATTACTGATAATCAGATGTTATTATCATTGTAAAATTAATTTTATTTAGTAGATCAAAATAAAATAAGTAGCTAGTTGTTGCTATTCTAAAACCACTAATAGAATTTTAAGAAAAAACATGTATTTTGTATGATAATAGAATGCTTTTAGCGGAACTAATCGTTTGGTGAAACATACATTTTTGTTTTACAATGAATTTAAGTACTTAACTACTTTGCAGGTCTTCCGTGAAAAAAAATCTGTTCTTACATATATTTTTTTTCTTTGAACATCTATTACATAAGTAGAATCTAAAACATTTACAACTTATCTGATCATAATCATCTAACATACAATTCAAAAATTTCTAATATAACGCATTTTACTCACCTAAAACAATGATGTCTTATATATTTAGATGGAACTTCGAAGATGAATCATATGTAATACTTTTGAGCGACAAGTTTATATATATAATAAGCATGACATTTCTTTGATGGAGATCTTTCCTTCATAATTATGAGGAAAAAGAAGATAAGAAGGCATTCACAATTAGATGCAAACATAAATAATAGTTTTTACAAAGAACAAGGGTCCGATTATATGTTACTGAAACTTACTTATATAGATTTTGTTTCAACATCATCGATCAATATTTAAAATACACAAGAGAAAAGTAACTTTTTCTTTTAATCATTATGAATGAATTGAAAAACTGAATACTAACTAGAAAATTATTCTTAAAAACATAATTAATCTATTCCCAAATGATAGAAGCAATTTTTAATCAATCTCATAAATAGATTTTTTACTATAGTTTTCATTTCAAATTCTTATAATTATTAGAATATGCTTCCTGTCTAGGAACAATAGATTCAAAAAGATAAAAATAAATCAGGTCATCGTATTTATTGAATTCATATAGGTTTCTATTAAAAGAAACAGACCCAAATCTTTTCGTTTGTTTAACTATAGAGGGCGCTTTGATTCATATTCAAACTAGATGTGTGATATGTAGTCACAATCGAATGAATCATTGATATTCGTTGACTAATGTTTTGATATTAAATTCACCATGTATATATATTAAATAGTTCGTATTTGATCAGTAATAATGGCAAAATCAAATGAAATATTTAATTTTAAACTTCTCATTATTGGAGAATCAAGTGTTGGAAAAGTTCGTTAAATTTCGAGTATCATATTTTTTATGTTTTCTTTAATTATCTTTAGAGTAGTTTAATGACACGATTTGTTGATGAAACATTTCAACCGACATTTATTCCAACTATTGGTGTAGATTTTAAAGTTCGAACATTAATGATTGATGGTTATCAATGTAAAATTCAGATATGGTTAGTTTTATTATGCAATTAAAAACTTATCGAAACATTTATCTATCTACAATAAATAGATTTATGTAATAGCAAAATCATTACCAACTTTATATGAGGGTATTAATAATAATATGTTATATTTAAGTACAAGCGATATTAAAATGTTTTCTAGTAGACTTTAATTAAATCTGAAGATAATTCTTTTCTATTTAGTCTAATATATTTTTTAGGATATAGTAAAAATTTCAGTTTAAGCTAATACTTGTCTGTTTGAATTAAAAATAAAATCTTTTAGGGACACTGCTGGTCAAGAACGATTTCGTGTTATAACAACAACAGTAAATAATATTTTCTTTTTATCTATTTTCAATTATTTTTCCTTTTAATTTTTTAAGTATTATCGCGATGCAGCTGGTGTTCTAATTGTCTACGATGTAACAAATCGAGAAACATTTTCTCATGTTTGTCGTTGGATTGATGAAATCAAAAAATATTGTGATGATAATATAGTAAAAGTACTTGTCGGAAATAAAGATGATATTGTATCAAAAGATGATCAATCAATAAGAAAAGTTGTGCCTACTCAAGAAGTCGAACAATATGCTGAAAAAATGAATATGCCATTTTTTGAAACATCAGCAAAAGATAATAAAAATATTCATGAAGTTTTTCATACAGTTGCACGTATAGCATTACAACAACGTTTAGAAGCAAGAAATAAAAATCATTCATTGCAACGTAATAATATGACAAATGGTACATCATCTGCTCAATCTATTCGAATAAAAGGATCGAAAAAAAAAGAAAAAAATCATCATGGATCATGTTGCAAATAGATAAATTTCTTTTTTTTGGAGTACTCAATTATTATAATAATCTTCTTGTGAATCTTTATTCTTTTCTCGCTTGTTTAAAATCTCTTTCTTTATTTATAAATATATATTTATTATTTTATTTCAATAAACATAAATATTAATTTCATTCTGTTTTTATATATATAATGACAAAAAATCTTGAAACTGTTCAAACTTTTAAAATACTTGTTGTTGGAGATTCAAATGTTGGAAAAAGTTCATTAATGACTCGATTTGTTCATGGTGTATTTCATAGTCAATATACTGCAACAATTGGCGTGGATTTTCAAATAGGAATTGTTAATATCAATGGATATAAATGTCGATTACAAATATGGTTCGTTTATTTATTTTTAGTACTTTTTTTCAGAAGTTTTACTCTTTTCAACTCTTCGTACGTCGACTAGATAATTATATAGTTGCTGATAGAGATTAGTTATTTCTTTTCTAGTACAGTATAATTAATTAATCCGTAATAATTGACAAACATTGAAAAAAGATTAAATTTTTCTTGAGGATAATCATTTATGAAAATTATTTCTCAGAGATGCAAACTCATCTGTGTGTAACTATAGTACTATTTAACTAAGTTCTATTAGTGATAATTTAATCATACCTGTTTTGTTTGTCTGTTTCTGATTTACAACGCTTGGTATGATTACATCGTCGTCTCTGATTAAGAACATTTAGCTCATTGTTCAATGTAGTTTAGTTTATAGATTAATCGTGTGTAAATTATTAATTAGTAAAAATTGATTAATCGATTTGGACATATAATTATAAAAAATAAAGATTATATTTTATGAAATATAAGCTAAACGAATGTAAAAGTAGATAAAGGTAAAAAATGGCATGTCCCTTCTCTTATATATGTGACAAACATACGTGTGAAATCCAAGTCCATTGCAGGATTAATGTGAAAAAATACCAATTAGTTTGAGATACTTGTATCATACGTTTCATTGACATTCATAATAATATATAGTGATTAACATCTTTCATCATCGACAGACATGTTCAATATGTAGCGATTCATAGATCGAAATATATATATTTGATTCCATAGGGAATGCACTAACTACTTTATTCTCTCACAAATAAATACCGTTCACATAAATATATAAACTTTGTATGATTGTCATCGTTCAATGAGTGGTATATGTGATTGTAAATTAACTTTTTTATGTCTATTAAATTGATATAGGATCAATTGAATCGATATATGATAAAAGCTTGTTATTGACATAGAGAAAATTATGTTATAGTCTGTGAATTAGTAATGATTCCATAGTTAATGATATACAAAATAATACTCTAAATTTTGTTAGTATTTTAAAAGTACAAGAATTAAATTTATGTATCATTTCCGGAAACAATTATTGATATTCTTGCAAAAATAATTGTTAGAGTACATCTGGTTTTAATTTCCTCTTCTTTTTGGAAAAACAAATACTAATTATTACAGACATGTCATAGAAACAATGAAAATAAAGTAGAGATTTTATCAAAGTTGATATGAATGAAAGAAAATACTGATTTTTCTAGGTTTTAAGAATATTTGATTTATTTTTTTCAGGGACACCGCTGGACAAGAACGTTTCCGTTCTATTACAAGTAAATAAATTAAGTATGTCTACTAAACAGTATTAATTTACATTTATCTTTCAAAAGGTAGTTATTATCGTGGTGCCGATGGGATAATTATTGTCTATGATGTATAATTAACATCCTTTTGTTCTAATAATAAATCTTAAAATATCCTTTTTTCTTTATTTAAAGGTTACAAATAAAGCAAGTTTTACTCAAGTAAAAGATCAAATAACTGAAATGGAATCTTATTGTGAGAAAACTGTTCCAAGAATTCTAGTTGGTAATAAAAATGATAATGATAATAAAACAAATAAAGTTATTTCAACTGATGATGCATTAGAATATGCTAAAGAAAGTAATCTACTATTTTATGAAGTATCTGTTAAAGATAATAAGAATATAACAGAATTATTCAATGAGATGACGAAACTTGTACTTAAACAACGTCTTGAAGAACTCGAACCGATACAAAATAATAATATTACAACTACACGTATTGACCCAAAACAAACAACAGAGAATATTAACAAGAAAAAGTGTTGTCCGACATAAAATGTAATATTTTTTAAAAGATTGACCTCCTTTTTTTTGCTTTTACAATTTTGATATTTTACTTTTTGTTTTTTTATAAATTAATTTTTTGAATAATTCGAATGTGTAATATGAATTTTTTTATTTTAATTTTCAATAAATGAACGGTAAGAATTTGAAGAATTTACTATACGGACATTTTTCATCTACGCATGAAATCCATTAATAATATCTTTTACTTAAAATAGATTTTTTTTATCAAGATTCAATCCTTAACTAATGATGAGTTCTTTCATCATAAGACTTCTTTTTTTTTATATAAAAAATGTCACGCTATTTAATTTTCTGAAATGTACTCTCATTAATTATATTTTAATGAATATGATTATTCTATAGATAAACTGTAATACATTTGAAAAGAATTTACTCTATATTCGTTTCCTTTTATAAAAAGAAAAAAAATAATACAGACTTGAATAATACATTCATTTGATCTCATGATGGTTCATTAACATTGATGGTATATAATGATAAAGATTATTTCTTTAATTACAGTTGATGTTGCATGAGTTTTAGTTATTCTTCGAATATTTTTTCTTTTACAATCATCTGCAATATTTTTTGAACAACAAAATGAGTTGTACTCCTTTAACATTATCTACAAATACAGCGGATGCTCTCGATTCTACTGTTATCGTTTGTTCAATTGCTATTGTAATTCATATTATTTTTTGGCTTGAAGTTCTAATATTTCCATCATTAAAACAAAGAAATATGATTTGGTTATATGATTATATATTAACTGATTTACTTCTTGTTATTCGATTTTTTATTTTATACTTTTTTCGTCGTCTAGAACTATGTTTATATCCAACATTTCGAACAATAGTATGTTATTTTGAAGCAACATCAAAATTTTATATGAATACAGTACAAAGTTATCTTTTATTAGCATTAAATGTATCACGTTATGCACAAATTGTTTATAGTCGAAATGTTTATGTCGGAAATCTTCGTACAATTATTATAACTCATTTTTTAATCGGTATATTACCAGCAATTAATGTTATAGTACAATTTATGGCTAATTGGACTACTTTATGGCGTAGAACAGGTGAATCTTGTGATGTTCAAACTGTATCATTATCAGTACAAATATTTAATATATTTGTTACTTATATTATACCAGTAACACTTAATGTTATTCTTCTAACAATTTGTATTCGTCATGTAAGTTCAACAGTAGGTATTCGTAATCAACAAATAATTGATCGTCGTCGTGGACATCAACGAGCACTTTTATTTCAAACTATAGCATTTTATTCAATTTGGGTTGCATTATGGAGTCCTTATATACTTGCATTTCAATTTATTAATATTAATAGTAATGCTGGTATTTATACTTCATTATTGAATTATGTAGAAATTGCAATAGATCCAGCTATTGTTGCTATACTTGACGTTCGTTTTTTTAAAACATGGCAAACAATATGGCGTAAAATAAGAACATTTCGACATAGAGTTGTTACCCCAGTTGCAATCATTGCTCCAAACAAAAATGTTACTTAAACATTTTTATTGTAAAATATATCTGTATATAAAAGAATAAATTGTACATTTACTAATTCATGGGCAGTTCGATAGGGGATAGACTTCCAGTATCAGCCAATGAAAGTTTTAAAACTAAGTTTTGATGAAACAGTAATATGGTATCAATTTTTAAATAAAAATTGCTTTTATATCATTTAACTGCAAAAATAATAAGCTGATAGTTGAGCAATCAAATCAGGACATTATCAGAGGGATTGACATATACGATAAATCGTTTTGAATAGCGCAAATATAGCATCTATTAATGTTTATTTTCTTATTTGAGTCTTACTACTTGTCTATACTCTGCTGAATGAATATTTATAAGTGAAATAAATTTAAAACTGGTATTAAAACGTCAATGATATGCTTTCGATTAAAATTTTAATATCTTACTGGTTCTTAACTAGATGAAACCAATGAAACTCGATTCAATTCTCTTCCAGTTATTTATCTATTATAACTTTAATATGTATAGATTTTATAGACTAGCAATATCACTGATTGTATATTTATCTCAGGCACCCAATTTAGATACTTTCTGCAGTTACAATAGATCTCTCGAACTAATCAGGTTAGAGGTGCTGGCGCTTAGCATTAAAACTGAAAATAATGCCTTGATTTATTTCTCAGCGAAATTTAATTAATGCTGAATTTTTGGAATTCAAAGTAGCATCGGTGCTACTAATGATAATTTAATGCATAAATCGATATTAAATGTTTCCTTTACAATAATAAACCTGTGTATTATTTTCATATTAATGCTAAGCCATCACTCCTGAGTTAGGTAAAAAACATATTTAATATCGATGCTGATCTATTAATAGATTTATTAATTACAATCTATGGATATAGGCGACATCTTTTGATGAAGTATACCATTGTTTTTTTATGAAAGAGAAAGAAAAATTACTTAATATAATATCTTTTTTGAGGTTTTTAAAATATCTAGAATTTCTTCATCTATGTGTTGTATACTCTTCCATCCAATCGATAATATATTCATTGTCAAACTGCTATTCAAAAGTGTTTTTTTTTATTTGATTTGACTTGATTTCAATTCTAGATTACGTGTTATTACCGGTTTAAATAGAAACGATTCATTGATTATGTCGCTTATCTGTTCTCGTAAGTTATTGATTTGTGGTTAAATTGTTTTTAAATTTAATAACAATTATTTTTAGTTTCAAATGAAGTTCCAGAACAACCAGTCCTTTCACCAGTATCTGGTTGTATTTATGAAAAACGTTTAATTATTAAATATCTTCATGAATCTTCAACTGATCCAATTACTGGACAACCATTGACTGAAGACCAATTGATTGATGTTAAAGGTATATTAATCGAAATATTCTTGTCTTATGTTTTCTTAAAAATTTTTATTGAATCTTCTTATAGTAACACCACTAGGTAAACCAAAGCCACCATCAGCTACAAGTATTCCAGCTATTCTTAAAATGTTACAAGATGAATGGGATGCAACTATGTTACATAGTTTTACACTTCGTCAACAATTACAAACTGCACGACAAGGTATGTTATTAAATGTACAGAGAAGAAAATGAATTATTTATTTTTGTACAAATATATTCATAGAATTATCACATGTTATGTATCAACATGATGCTGCTTGTCGAGTTATTGCACGTTTAAATAAAGAGGTTACAGCTGCTCGTGAAGCTTTAGCTACACTTAAACCTCAAGCTGGTATTGTACAACCAACATCAATGGTGAAAATCTATTTTTTTGATATTCTAAAATCTATATAATTAATATTATATTTAATAGTATCCAAATGAACAAATTTCACACCATGCAACAGCTGGTATTAGTGGTGATAATAATCAATTATCAACAGCTGAAGGAATGACTGATGAAATCATTCAAAAAGTAATTCATAAAATTATTTTAAATTTTTAATTAATTTATCTTTTTTAGTTACAAGATAAAGCATCGGTTTTAACACAATTACGTAAACAACGTGGTAAACGTGTACCTGAAGGTTTAACATCCATTGATGAAATGAGAAATTTTCGTTGTTCAGCAACGCATACTGTTCGTAAAACAAATATGATTTCTATTTTTCTATATTCATTATTTCTAGGCATTACATAGTGCTAGTACTCCGGGTATATTAGCTGTTGATATTTCACCAAAAAATCCTAGTATAATTCTAACTGGTGGTAATGACAAACAAGCTGTTGTATTTAATAAAGATAGTGAACAAGTTGTTGCAACATTAAAAGGACATCAGAAAAAAGTTACACATGTTATTCATCATTTTCAAGAAGTATGTATAGATATATATAGTAGGAATTTGATTATGGTATTTTTTCTCTCTCTAGGATATTGCTATAACAGGAAGTGCGGATTCAAGTATTCGTGTTTGGCATGTACCATCAGCACAATGTCTTAAAGTTCTTAAAGCTCATGATACTCCAATAACAGGTTTATCACTTCATCCAACAGGTGATTATGTCTTATCAAGTGCAAGTGATACTTATTGGGCATTATCTGATTTACATACTGGAAAATTAATTACTAAAATTCAAGATACAACTTCACAAAGAGGTATGAAAAGAATTTCATTCTTTATATATAAACATCAGGAGTATTTCAAGAATATTGAAAAAACTATCATATATTAGAAAATATTTTTCTATCAAATGAGATGTATTTTAACGTTACCAAAGTGATCAACTAAGCTAAAACTGATGATACTCGAAAAATTACGGAAAACCGACTTAAACACTTATTCATATACATAAGTTATGAATAAATCATTTATTTAGGTTTAACATGTGCACAATTTCATCCTGATGGTATTATATTTGGTGTTGGTACACAAGAAAGTGTAATCAAAATTTGGGATTTAAAAGAATGTAATAATGTTGCTGATTTTCCTGGTCATTCCGGAAGTATAAATGCTATTGCATTTTCTGAAAATGGTAAAAAAAACAATCATATGTATTTCAATATCTAATATTTTCTTTATTTTAAAGGTTATTATCTTGCAACTGCAGCTGAAGATGCATCAATTAAACTATGGGATTTACGTAAATTGAAAAATTTTAAAACTATTACACTTGATGATCGTTATGAAGTACGTGATCTTGTATTTGATCAAAGTGGAATGTATCTTGGTGTAGCTGGTACTGATGTTCGGTAAGAATATATTATTTTATCATAAAAATTTTTATATTAAATTTTTTTTCTTCTTCTTATTTAATATAGAGTATATCAAGCAAAACAATGGGATTTACTTAAAGTATTTAATGATCATACAGCATTAGCAACTGGTATACGATTTGGTTCAAATGCTAATTATTTAGCAAGTTCAAGCATGGATCGTTCACTTAAATTATATCAACAATTATCTTCAGAATAATTTTTCAAAAAAAAGTACAAAGAATATAACATAGACATTTGCTCTATAAGAATTTTGTATTGTTTGTTTGTTTGTTATTTGTTTTTTTTTCTGTACTCATTCGTAAAAAATAAAGAAACGACTGATGAAAGTTTGTGAGTGATAATTATCAAATGTTGAATTTTAAGAAAATATGAAATTAAAATCTGAACATATAAAATATAATATAAGAAAACTTACTATCAATGATTTTTTTGAATAACATATTATCGGTCTACTATCAATGGCAGACTGTCATCATTCTGTGTCTGTCATATCAATTAAAACATAATCATTCCTTTTATTCCTAATTTTTTCTGACATTTTTCGTACTGTTTGATAGACGATGAATAATGTCTTTTGATAATATTAATCGGCGTTTATTAATCTCTTCTTAGTTGTACAAAGATTCAATAATAAGTGTCAGACATTGACACCATATATCGTATATCATAGTTCTGTTATTTTGTTAATAAAACGAAGAAAACCATAGAATCGAATGTTTATACTATGATTAGACTTGTCGAACTATTACACAAAAACGGATGCCATCTTTTATTCCGGTGTGCATTCATGACGTAGTTATTTTATTGAATTGATTTCAGTTCACTGATCCATTTACGGAAAGAAGATAATTGAATAGATTTTTAGTTTTCAGTTTTTCTCTTCTTCCCACGATTAAAATTACAATCATAATAAAAAAAAAGAAAAATTCCATTTCAATTTTTTATCGGATTATTTTATATAATTATTCTTTGTGGAGATAAAAGAGAAGAAAAAAAAGAAATTACTATGATAATTAGTTATTGTCGTAACGTCTAAACAATATACTGGCTTCTATATTTCTACGAGATTCTCTCGAGATATATATTCTAGCTAAGATGTTGTGATGATTTTATAGAATTCCTTAAGGATAAAAAAGAAAACTACGTTTTTTTTTCCTTATTTCCTTTTTTGTTTGTTGCTACGCTTTCGTCATCATTATTGCTTGACTGATTAGAGACAAAGATTATATGTGTGTAAGATTTCCTTTTTTCTCTCTTTTCTGAATACTCATACTCGTCTGATTTTTATATACATTCTATTTTCACATTATTTATTAAAATGTTTGTTTCTCGTGGATTGTCAGCAAGTCATGCTGGTCATCGTTGTACATCATCAGCAAAATTTACAAATACACGACGAATAAGTCATGGTAGAAATTTGGAATAGTTATACTAGTTGATTTTAAATCTTTTTTTTGTATTCAATGAATAGAAGAAGAACAAGTGCCTGATATTGAAGATGAAGCACATCCAACGCGAAGTTTAATATGTGCTTTTGTATCTTCAATATTTTGTCCTATTCTTGGTAAATATTCTGATTAATTATATGTTAGTCTCATATTTGTTTTATACTTTATTTAGGATGCATTGCTTTATTTTATGGTATCCGCGCTGTACGTGCGCATAATCAAGGTTTCTATGCTGAAGCAAATACATTTAATAAACAAACAATTCGATGGTCACTAATAACATTTATTATTGGTCTTACAATTGGTTCAATAATTGGATTTATATTTTTTGTGAAAGCTGTTGTATTTATTTGAATTCATAAATTTTGTTTTTTTCTGTGAACTTGAATTTGAATCAATTTGTACATAATTAATTATAAAATTTTATCATGTATATTAAAAAATTTTCTCCGAGAAAAAAGAAACTATGAAATTTTTCTATTTATTATCTATAGATAATTGATAAATAGATAGAAAGATTATGGAAATATATATATAAAACTAGAGATTATGTGTAAATTATCTCGATTGTATATCATCACAAGATCGCATATTTGTAAAAAAACAATAATTCCATCACTCAAGCTTCAATTACGATATAAAAAAAACGCAATAAAATTTGCCTTTACAACTTATTCACATGACATTGATAGTATGTAATAAAGTTACAATTACGTATTCACTTTATCGTTGTTTATTATTTGAAAATTGAATTCGATATATATCAATTTTCCTTATTCTGTTTTTTTCACGCTTATTGCAAATTGATTAAAAAACAATAAAAAATGGCATTTAAACAAATTTTCATATAAAATATGTAATCTAAAGGACAACAACACATAATTTTCATTAAAAAATGTTTTTTATAATCTTATTTCTATTGGTTTCTGTTGTAAATACACAATATTATTCTCAACAACAATATCCCTCGAATAATTATAATTCTTGGCTATCTAATTCACAAAATTATCAACCATGGAATCAAGGAATCCAGCAAAGTAAATATGAATACATCATTTAGTCTGTGTAATTATATTGATATTTAGATCGAGCATATGTTCGTGGAAATCTTTTAAGTGAAGATACATCTACATTACCATATGGTTCACAAATAATTGTATCAATCAAGGATGTTTCCATTCAAGATGTAGCCGCAGGTCCATTAAATTCAGTTGTTCTTACTGGATCTTATCGATTTCCAATCGCTTTTCAAATTCCATATTCAATCGCACAAATACAACAAGATCCAAATACGGTACGAAGATATGCTCTTCAAGCACGCATTGAAATAAATGGTCAACTACTTTATATCAATGATCAACAGATTCCAGTACAATTAATTCCTGCACCAATCAATCCAATTAATATTATGTTGAAAAAAGTTGGTACACCAAGTTATCCTGGTAAGTATAGTTTCATTCTCTATTTACACTTCATTGTATTGTATAAATAGGACCTGATATTTCAATCTATCCAACAAGACCTCCAACAATCGGTGGAGTCTACATATGTCAATTGAGACCAGATCCTGGTCTTTGTTATGCAAGTATTGAACAATATTATTTTAATACTCAGTCGCGTTCATGTCAGACTTTTACATGGGGTGGTTGTGGTGGAAATCAAAATCGTTTTGCAACTCGAGATGCATGTGAACGTACATGTTCAATATATCGACGACGAATCCTTAATAATAATGCAAAACAAGCACCAATTGGTTAACAAAAACTCCTTTGTTTTGTGTAATTAGACTTCTCATATTTTCTATATGTATATCTAATATCTCAAAATAAATTACTCTATTTTTATTTTGAATATTTCTTGTATGATTGGATTCAAAGATTAGTTTAGATATATTTAAGGAATATCGAACGCTATTTTTGGATCAAAGAAGTGTTCTAATCATTGAAGTAATAGACTAATGTACTTTAGCACATTTGATACTATATTATTATAATTAAGAAAATGTAGATTGTAACTATTTACGATAGATCTAGTTTATTATTAAAACTCATGATAAATATATAACAAAGACGTGACTGAAAATTTTCCATCGATCTCATGAAACGATAAATGTACCTCGGTTCAACACAATACTGAACTACAAATTCTTTTAGCTTTTATTTTGATGAAATTATTCAAATGTATTATTGCTTACAAGTTGCAAGAGGAATTATATTCTAGTACATTCTCCTTCGAGAAAAAGTTAATTTTTGTGATACCATTTTGTCATGAAAAAGAAAACGAATTAAATGATCATGACGATGACGTTTTTAACAATGGAATTAAACAGTTCTATGCTTTTTTTTATAGATCTTATCTATTTCGGAAATGTTGACTTTCACTCTAAAACCAGCTTTGATGTGACATAGACTGTTAAGTCAGATGATGCTGTAATTTGGTTATTAATTCATCTATGTCGTTAATAATTAAACTTGAAAACATTCGATGTGATCATTACAGATGGTTTCAACGCGATGACAAATACGCGGGGGTGTATCTTTGATTAAAATCTGATAGTTTTCTCAGAGTTTAAAAAGAACTAGACATAAGAACTACAGTTATCCATCGGTTTGAACGACAATATTTTGAAACGATTGATGCAATGAGATGTTTATATGTTGTTGAGCAAATGTTGTAAAAAAAAGAAATGTATTTATAATAAGTCGTCGTCTGTCCATTCTTTTATGAATTATTTCGTTCAGAGCTGATATATTTGGTTTGTCAGGAAGACTAATTTTTGTTGTTCTTGTGACATTTCTTTTTTTGATTGGCATGAAACTATAATGGTAAAAATGTCAGCTCAATTTTTTAAGTAACAAATCACATGTACTTGCTCAAGTGAGTGGCAATGTTATATGCTATTTTTAATCTTTAATGTGACAAAACCTTCTATCTGTCACAGTTGACACGGAAATTCGGTTCAGATTGAAATATACTAAATAATAAAAAACGAAAAAAAAGCAAGAAAAAAGAATTGCTTACAAACAAAGATATATTGAATCTATTGTATCTAAATCAATATTAATATTTTCTTCTTTTTGTTTTTCAAATCATAAAGGAAAAAATTGTTTTGAGATGCTGCACTCTTTTGAATGTTTTATTTCACTAAATCTATAAGTCATATTCGTAATTAATCTATATCTTCTTTTACTTATGCTTCGATATTGTAGAAAAGTAAAATTAGCGGCTGTTCTACGATGAATTATTGAATTTCTTTAAATTTTTATATTTAACGTATCTATTAATATTTACTAATTCATAATTTTCAGAATCTTCTATTAAGGTTTGCTTCCATAAGACATACAATAAATAAACATAAACTATGCCGAATATTTAAATTAATCTGTTTCGGGTCGGTTCGAATTTTTTGCAAAAATGAATGTTTTTTTTTACGAAAAATTTGAAGCGTATGTTAATATTAAGGAAAGAGCGAAGTGTACCATCATGAACAATATACATTTAGATGTTTTAAATATTATTAAAGTACAAAAGTAAGTAAGTGTGAGTAAATATTTTGGTGAAAGAGAAGCATCCTTAGTCTCACCCACATCCACATCCTAATAAAGCAAAATCATCAAAAATTATTTATCTTTTTAATATTTAATATTTTTATTATTCTATTTGGCAACAAAAAAACAAAAATAAGTAGGAGGAGTAAGACGAAGAGTCCGATATGAAGGATAAAATTATATTTATTTGATAAATTTAATAAACAGCGTAAAAGTGATCAAATATAAGTACGAAAATAAGAAATAGTTATGTAGTTTTATGATAATTGTTGATATAATGAAGAAACAATAGCTTTCGGATTTACTAACCCATCATCAGTTGCGAGAACTAATAATTGAATACGAAAATCAAATTATTAAAAGAAAATTGTACATATACTACCACCAGATAATAATTAAAAACGAAATAAAGTAGATAAAAATAGATAAATTGTTATGTGGTTGAATTAATTGTTCATATAAAATGGACAACAGCTTTCGAGACGGCAGCCCCATCACCGGTTGCAAAAATTCTAATTTTAATTTTAATAATCGAAAATGAAACGAATTACTAAAATAAAAGTAAAATGATAGTTGTACCTATATCACCACGATGTGAATACAGAATTGAATTAATATACGAAATACGTATACAATATAGGATTTTGATATTAAAATTGATAAAAATAGATAAACTGTTATGTGGTTTTAGTGGTAATGACGAAACTTGATATAATATTTATCTTTCGACGTTTCGATCACTTGAAGTATTATTAACTAGATACCCTTCATCTTCACCACCACGACCTATAATTTTAATAATGATGTCTCAATTCTCCACTAATATAAGTAATGTGATTCAAATTCTATGAGACAAATGAAAATGATTTAATAATATTTAGTTTTTAACGCGAAGTAAATAGAATCAATAAATGTATATGTGTATAAATTAATTTTAATTTTCGACGCCATTCTTAAAATTATAGGTCGTGGTGGTGAAGATGAAGGTTATCTAGTTAATAATACTTCAAGTGATCGAAACGTCGAAAATTAAAATTTAATTGTAAACATATACATTTATCGATTCTATTTACTGCACGTTAAAAATTAAATATTATTAAATCATTTTCATTTGTCTCATAAAATTTGAATCTCTACGAGAAAGAGAACTGACCTTTTTCATGTTCGATGTTAAAGATGGTTGTTTACCAGCCTTCGTCTTCCCGGCTTTTGCTGCTGTTCTTTTACCAGTTGATTGATGCTCCAGTAATTGAGCATACTCATCCAGTGAGATGACTATCGAAGGTTGTGGACCAATTGTTGGCTTGCTCATTTGAATTGGATTTATAGAATTTAATGATTGCTTGAGAAGATTATGACTTTCACTGAAACAAAAGAAAGACTCTATTTATACTAGACAAAACCAACGCATACAAATACAAGTAACGCACGTCCGAAGACTTGCTTAACTCTTTCTCGCAGAAATGCACCCTCCTCATATTTACTGGAAAAACAATTGAAAACCTTGCTCTCGTTTGTTGTTCCGTACTCTTAGCAAATACTCGAACGTACTCAGTGGTAAACGCAGATGAAAACATATTAGAGCTGTCGGCATTGGTGGCTTGTCGAACTAGTCTTTCATCAATATACGAAGTATTAGTAATCTTATATGCAAGAAAGCCAGCCGATTATGGTCGCCATATTCTGCACTATAACCAGGGGAACATTTGGATACCTATAAAAATGCACTAGTCAAAAAGTGGATTTCTACCATTCTACACCACTTTTGCCAATTCACACTCCCCCACCCCCTCCCTTCATTAGTCTGAGCAAATGTGGCCCACATTCGAAGTCCTCGCATCGAAATATCTCAAGAAATGTCTTTTCCTAAAAGTTGATTTTCGATGTTTTTTTGACCCTGCGGGCAGACAATCAATCAAGCAGACAATTTATGTTTACTGGACTCTTCTCTACGAGAAAGAGAATAAACAGCGTAAAAGTGATCAAATATAAGTATTTTTGTGATTAATGACGAAATATTGGTAATATTTATCGACGTTTCGAACAATTTTAAGCCCATATCTACTGGATTAAGACGCGAATCGAATATAAATAGTAATAGTGCTGCTGTCATACCACGAGAGAAGTCAATAAATTCAATAAACAGCGTAAAAGTGATCAAATATAAGTACGAAAATAATAAATAGTTATGTGGTTTTATGATAATTATTGATATAATAAAGAAACAATAATACATAATTGATGCGATAAATAATAAAATAATACGAAATGTTAATTTTTATTGTGAAGAAATGTAAATTTATATGAATAAATAGGATAATATCTATTATATCGACGTTTCGACTAACTTCAGCAGTCATTAACTAGATGGCCTTCATCTCCACCACCACGACCTATAATTTTAAGAATGACGTCGCAAATTAAAATTAAATTATAAATCTATACATTTATCGATTCTATTTACTTCACGTTATAAATTAAATATTATTAAATTATTTTCATTTGTCTCATAAAATTTGAATTATAATAAAAATTGAAACTATCGTATTATTTATTATTTTGTCTCAAAAAATTCAACTAATGATTATGCTTTATCAATCATTTATGTGAGTGAAAAGAGCAGGGGTTTGGAAAAAAAACGACTGGAACAAAACTAATTAAATAAGTATAAGAGATATTGCAAAATATGCTATCTTTTTAAGCAAAACGCATCCTATGAAAACTGATCACGACCGTACGGTATAATTTTATATGTGCACAATTGAATTAGATAAGAGAGAGGTTATGTTCTAACTAAAGTTTTAAATTGTTTCAGTTTTTTTCTCTGTATTTACCTTGATTTTCAACACCTTCGTCCTTTACCATGGTTCCATACGAAGCCAAGCTTCTTTTTATGGCAGCTGTGGCTTGTTCGACACTTGTCGTAAAATTTTCATAACAGTTGGATCTAAATTCATGGGTGCCGGTGCCGATGCTGATCTTCGAGGTGGTGCACGAGATGGCCCTTATGCCTGAGGGTTTTCGCTGGAAATTCACGGAATATTGCTTCAAAAATCATCGACCTGGACATATCAAAAGTTAAAAAATTAATATACTATATTCACTGGCTGTCAAAACTATTTATCCAGACTTAATGCATTATTTCATTTTCTTTGCTATTCAAAAATTTGAGCAGCAAAGAAAATAAAATAATGTATCAGGGCTGAGTGAATAATTTCGATAGCCATTGTAAATAGTGACTGTGGTAGTATTAAATATGATCAAGCTTTTATACTGTATTTCATATCTGGTTTTATAGAAGAGGGGATAAATGAATGCGAGAAAAAAATACTTATGAAACAATATTCTATAGAACCACATGTACGTTTCTGCTTCAGCATTCCTTTCATTCTTTTGTCTTTCATCTCGTATATAGAACAATTGAAACAATTTTTCTACTTCTTCGCTATTTTTAAAAAAGAAGAAAAGATATACAAATATCATCACGTCGAATACGACACAAAGAATGAAATTGAAGAGAGATAAAAGCATCAAAAAATACTCATTGTTAGAAAAGAGAGATGCAATAATTTGAAGAGTGTAATGATGTATTGCCAGTAGTTGTATATAATTTTTCATTAACGAAATGTTGGTCGAAATGAAAATACGAGATAACTACCGAGGAAATCAAAAAATCAGCCTTACATCCCTCAAAGATTATATAAAAATTGAATAGAGAATGTCATATGATTGAAATATTTGATAAATATGCATTTGATCTTATATAAATATGAAAACAAGGGAATATATTACGATGGAGAAAGTAAATCATGTAAATTATTCGTTCAAAAGGAAAACGTTAGCTCTTTTCAATCAATTATCATAAAATACAATATAGAAGAAACTTAATAATAAATAGAAAAATTTAATTATTATCGATAAATTGCATAAAATAGTATCAAAACAAAAAAATATAGAAATATTTTAAAAAATTGTCATTTTTAAAACTTCTTCGTATATGTCATCGTTGTTCATAGTGGTCATTTACTATAAGAAGAATAGTCAGATGAATTGAGTACAATTATTAATCAACACCTTGAGCTAATAAAATTGTTTCTTTATTCAATGGATTATAAAATCCATTATATAAATGTGAATAAATAACTAAAAAGGAAATATTAGTTAATTCATATAGAAAAAAAAATAAACATTACGTAAATCTCCATGATTTAATTTAATAGACTTTAATGTTGAACATGTTTTTTCACATGGATGTTTTGGTCGAAGTTGAATTAAACTAGAACCTTGAATTTGTGCTAACCATATCCAATCATTGTGTAATGGAATCTGATCAATGAAATAAATTGAAATAGATTCAAAGGCATCTTTTATTGGCTTACTCTATGTAAATGATTTGTTTCCTTATTTAAACCAGAAGATATAAAAAACCAATTTCCCGTTAATGTTTGACCAACTGATGATGGTAAAAAATAAGGTTTAGAATAGTATTCTCGAATTATTCTCAATGCTTCTCGTTTACAATTATTCCTGAAAATATTTCAACAGATATAAATGATTTTTAGGCAAAACTATTTTTTTACCATTGGGCCATAAATGGACGACGATTTCCACTAAGATAATTATTAAATAGTTTATCAGCACCCCCAGGTTCATTATAACCATGAACATTTGTTTCAAATGAACAGAGATCGTATTCAGATAACACCGGATCTTCAGTAAACAGCTGAATAAATTCAAATAAATATATTTAAATAATTTTTTTGATAAAAAAAAACTATACATACTCTAAATAATTTTTTGACTGTTAATTCTTTTATTGCTGGCCAGGATTCTGTAGCATCATCAACGATAACAGGTAAATGATTAAGATAAATATTTTTTGTAAAATTAAAAAATGTTATATTTGATTGTGTTATTATTTTCGTTGTATTAATACATTTCTAAATAATTTAAGACAATTGTTTTTATAAGAAAAAATTTAAAGATTAAACGAGGGTGGAAAAGTATAACCTCTCATATATTGAGTAAAACTATTCTCCAAAATAGATTCTAACTGATTAGAGACTATAGCAAAGTAGGATTCGAAAAAAAAATGTTTTAGATATGAACTCTGTACAGTGTGAAAAATCAACGCTAAAAATTCGATATTTTATAAGGAAGCTATTATGTTGTATAGTAATGTGATGTGTTTTCTATAGTTTAATCAAATATTTTAGTTGTATACAGTCTAAACTCAAACTTAATTTATCATTTGAAACAGCTTTCTCCTTAGTCTTTATCATTCATTCTTCTCAAAAAGTTAATTGTCCAAAAACAATCGACATATGTTACTATTGTTTTCTATTTCTATACATGAAAAAAGCTACAGGTTATTTTAAATAAAATATATCAATTTCACTCAAAAGACGAAGAATTCTATGTTTGGAAGTCCAGGAAACCATAGAATCTTATATTGGGATATCGAGAATCTGTAACAGACATTCAGGAACTTGCTCATTTCAATATTAGAAAACTTAACGACAAGCAGAACTGTCAAGTTTAAAACAAATATTTACATTGCATTCCGTTAATTCAAATGAATTATTATAAAATGGATTGTTAAGAAAACATTGACTTGTATAAATCGTTGTCCAATCCCAAAATGGAAGAATCTTTAAATTAAATAAAATATTAATTTAATCAATATTTGTTTTTTCTTACTCTAATAAGTATTAATCGAATAAATGATAATAAAGTAAAATAGATATTATAACTTAATTCATCATTTAATAGAATAAAATAAATAGAAATAGATAATAATAAAATCAAACAGATTATAAACCATTTTTTTTTCTTCGTCTTCGAATTTTGTTTTTTATTTCTTAATCGATCGAAATATTCTATTGAAAACGATGAATCTTGTTCTTTATCAATTAATTCTATTAATTCTTTAAATTGATTATTAATATCATTTAAAACATCTGTTTGTTTTTCATTTTCATTCATTCTTTTTTTTTCTTTCTTTCTTTCTCTATTATATAACTAAAAGAAAATAAACAATACATCAATGTTAACTTAGAAACGTTCGCAACAAAAAAAAAGAAAAACTGTTAACTTTTATTCTATTTTTTTTTAATGCATATATGTCTGAGCAAAACGAACATACAACAACAACAACAATAATAATAATAATAATAGTCAAAAGATTAACAATGAAAATCTATTCTAACAACAAAATAAACACGCCAGATGAAGTAAAACAGAACAAGGATCATAACAGTGTTTATTCAAAAAACAAAAAACAACTCAGATATCCATTGAAAATTGATCATCACCTTCTACAAAAAAAAGAAAATAAATATAGATTTTAATTAAAATAAAAAAATATATTTTTACCTTTTTTACCAGATGGTGATTTTTGTTCGGATAAATTCACATTTGAATTATTAACAGTTATATCAGATGTAGTTTTTTTATTTATATCATTTTCAGTCATATTATCACTTTCAGTTGGTTTAGGAATTAAAGTAACTAAATAAATAACGCTTTAAGCTGAGAGAAATAGCACATGACTTACAGAAAAATAAATATTAAATAATACGAAAAAATCAAAATAATATTTTTTTTCAGTCGTTTTACGACATTTTTTGTCATACAAAAACCAGGCATAGGTAGTTCGTCCTTAGCGTTGGTACACGATCTCTAACTGACTTGATTGTTCGCTTTTAAATTTACAAGTATCATTATCTTCTATACACTATGTTCAAAAGCTTCTACAATCATGGTATAAGTGTGAAAGTCTTGCTGTGAAATTCATATAGTATAGTCATGTATCCTGCTGATTTGACTCTTATTTCGAAATAGTTATATTTGATGATTTGTGAACTCAATACAAATTATGATATACAAAAGTAGTTCACCGCGATTATGTAATCAGTTTTAGAAATAGAGACAGATTATTTTTGAAAAATCAGTAGATATGTGTCAACCTAGTGTGTAATTTTATGATCAAGATGGGTGTACTATTTAATAATAGACTATGCGAAATTTTCTAGCATGTAGATTATGCGGTAAATATTTATCTTACAATCGTAAAGCATTCTAAAAATAACTTGATCGCCAGATCAAACTAGTTTCGACAAATTAAAAATCATCCAACAGATATATAATCACATTGATACAACTTTCTCTCTCTTGTAGAGTACTGAAACAAATCCTGCTATCTATTACGAATTACTACAAATAGAATATAAGATTTTAATCTATTTATAATATGGACTACCCGTTATACTATCATTGAGTCACGTACAATAGATAACAAAGAATATGAAAACTGGCATATCGCTTAAAAAAAATCACTTAATAAGCTTCGACACTGGTAACAAAATAAGATGTAAGAAAAAACCTTATTTTGAAATAAATACATTAACAAACCTTCCGGAATGTAAGGTAGCTTTGATGGTGGTGAACGTGTCATAGGCGATTCACGACGAGAAAGGAGAAAAGCACGATCATAATAAATACGAGTTCCTATAGGAAAAAACAATATCTTTTTAATAATTAAAAAATATAAAAAATTAAAATTATACCGCCTGGTGTTGTTGAATAAATACTACCACCTGGTGTTTCTCCATAATGAAGCGGCATATCTTTGGGATCATTTATTACAAGACGACGGATTGGGATACCTTCACTGTTACTCATGTTTTCTTTTTTCTAAAATAAATTTAAATATATTCATAGTTTTTATTGCGTCTTAAATCAATATCATATGTTAAAGAAAGATAAAAAGAATGAATACAGAATAATCAGATGCATGTAAGATATATATAACCTCCAGAAAGAGCGAATGCACGTGTATACTATAGATTTTCATCGTTCGATATTATTGGTTAAAGAGTTGATTCCAATAAAAAATTCTTTTCTAGAGTTCGCTCTTACCCTGTATACAGAATGATATAAACTCTATATTATTCCAGCAATAAATTTTAAACAAAATTCTATTGTGAAAAAAATTTGATTAATTTATGTTGATTGTAATTCAAATAATAATAGTAAATTTACAACATAACTAACATTATATTATACCGAAAACTCAGTTTATTTAAAGATCCCAGCAAGGATTAAGATATATAACTTTTTTTTTGTATATTGGATCATTATTAATCATAATACATAATCGCTTCAATTGAATGAATGTTTCCAGTTATCATAAGAATTTTATTATTTACTATCTTTTTTTATTTTGTATAAACTGTAAATTAAATTTATTTTCTCAAATAATTCCGATCAAATTATCCAGAACAAATACCGTTAAAAAACTATTTTTGTTTTTTTTGTCTTGTTCAATTTTGAGAATATATTTAATATGCAATAGAATTAGTATATTTTATTAAATATCTATTTTTCATTTAAAATAAGTATAAAATCTTCTTTTTGAAAATTTAATATTACTGATTAAATTTTATAAATGTCAAAATGCTGCAATTTGTATCGCCTTAGTAAAAAAACGCCCTTATTAAAACATTCTTGGTATGTAATCATTTCGTTTATTTTTCTCTACTAGGGTTGTTGATAAAACAAACAAAGCCATAGTAACTACTTTACAGTACATTAAAATTTTTCGGCGATAAAAAAAGAAAAACACAATCAGTACTTCTACGATGTTATCTTTTTTTTTTTGGTAGAAAATAATTCAAATGTACTATACGATTGAATTTTTTTGTTAACCTTAAAGAGTTCCGAATAATACTATAAATTATGACAATCGAAAGAAAACGCCCTAAAAAAATGGCATGTATTCATTGAATCATTCAGCAAATAAATATTAAAAATAATATGAAGAAGAAAAAAAGATTCTCTATAAATTAAGACTAAGATCGAGACAAAAACAATCGATCTGTGTCTATAGTTTTGTATCTTATCTATCATGAAAGATACAAGTGTTTGACGTATTTTTAGAGCTATCAAACTAAAACTTCTCAACATATGCTAAATACGATTCAACTGAAAAAAAATTTCTCTGTCGAAAAAATTAATATTTTTTATATAACAAAAAACAACAGTTTATATTGAAAAATTTCTTTTTCAGTGCATATAACATTAAAACATGTGATATATAGACTGACAAAAATGTTTTTTTCACCTTTTCTTTCTATGTACATCGTTCGAGATATGACTGCTTCTCATTTATACATATTTTCTCTAAAATTTCTATCTATTACACCTGAACAGATGATACAAAATCTATATATCTTGGATAGTAAAATAATTTAATGTAAACAATTTTGTACTTTCTATGGGAAAAAGCAACCAATCGTTGAATGTTCCGCATGTTCCCGTGATAAAAAACATTTATTTAATTTGAAAGAAAAAAAATTTTCTTTCTTACATTTCAAAAGTTAATGTCCCGTATGTCCTACTTATAAAACAATATTCATAACGAATGAGAAACGTAAATAATTAATTTTGTCTTTAATCTAAATTTGTTCTACAACCATAAACTATTCTAAATTCTTTTTTCTTTAAATTAAAAATATAGAAATAATTTCTTTATTTATAACATTTCAAAACTTAACTATATTCCCTAATCAACTTCCACATATATGTATTAGCCGACGTTGATGTCTTTTATTTACAAAAGTCTTTTCGTTCTGCTACTCTGTATGTTTGTAGGTCACTACGTACGAAAATATAAGGAACTAGACAGTTATTCATTAGAATATTTTCAATACATTATTTTCGTTCTTTATATATTATATCTTTTTATTCGACGAAAAAATATAGTTACAATAAATCTTTAGATTTAAAAGGATTCTGTCTAGTCAGATCATTTCGATTAGTGTCAATATTATTGACAAAAAGATTTTTTTTTCATTATATACAAATTAACAAAAATATTAATGTTCTTTTTAATATTTTCATTGATGACGTCGTTCCAATCGAATTGTTAATTGTTTTGGTGCAATTGTTACCAATTCAACAAGTTCTAAATCTTTATTTGCTAAAGATGATGGATGTACTGTATAATTTCGTAGAAGTTGTACTAAAGCTAATTTAATTTCTGCAAGTGCGAATTTCATTCCTACACAATTACGTGGTCCAGCACCGAATGCTACCCAAGCTAATGGATGTCGTTTTACTGCAAATCTTTCAGGATAAAACGTTTTTGTATCTACTGGTCCCCATAGATCATTATCATAATGTAAACTATACATATCAAGTGTGAGTTTAGTACCAGATGGTATAGAGCCTAATCCAGGTAAATGAATTTCTTCAGAACATTGTCGATTAATAATAATTGGTGATACTGGATACATGCGTAATGTTTCTCGAATGAACCAATCAAGATATTCCATTTTATTAAGTATATCATATGTAAAAACAGTATCTTCAGGTAAATAAGAATCTATATGTTCTTGTAATTTTTTTTGTTCCTCAGGATGTGTAGCTAAAACATGAGTAACATATGACAGAGCAGTACTAGCAGTTTCATAACCAGCAATCATAAATAAATATATATTTTGTTTAACTTCATTTAATGTTAATGAATGTTTACCGGTATTCTATAAAAGAAACAATAAAATATTTTCTTATAAATTTTATCGAAAAAAAAACTTACTTCATCAATACTATTGATTTTTTTTTCTGTTGCATCAAGCATTAATTGTAATAGATTACATTCATCAGAATTTTCTGATGCTGTTTTAATAAAATGTGAAACATTCTCTTTAAGCCATTCACTTGGATCCTCATCAATATATTTTTCTCCCATAGGTAATAGTTGACGTAATGTTGATTTTAATTTATTAATCCAATGATGAATTACTAACCAACACGGTTGTAATTCAGGAATAAATATACCCAATAATGTTGTAACATAAGTACTATTTTCTCGTGCAAAAACTTCTTGTGATCGAAGTAAATATGGATTATTTGGATTATTTTGCATATCTGTTTTAATACCAAAACAACATCTCCATATAAGATCCATTGTTAAACATTTATATAATTTTGTAATATCAAAACCTAATGGTTCGGTTTGCATACATGTTTCTAATTTCACCATTAGATTTGATATACAATCATTTATAATTGGTATCATTCGTTTCATTTTCAAAGGTGAAAATGTTGGATTGATAATATTTCGTTGACGACGCCATTCATTACCAGTTGCACTAAATAAATGAACACCTTTTGTAGTTGAACGATCTTCTAATGGAAATTGTCGACGTGAATGGAAGTTTGAAAAAGTTTTTATAAATATTCTCTCTAATAGATCAGGCTCTGATATAACTATAACAGGTGTATGTCCTTCGAAATAACCATAGATACGACCAAATTGTTTTGACCAATTATGAATTGATACTGATATACGTTTTGTTAACGCAAAATCAGCTACATTACCCAAGAAATATGTTGGACTTGGTCCATCAATACCCAAACGTTTGAAAAACGAATAACATTGTTTGACATAAATCAAATATATGATCACAATGATTGACACTAAAAGCACCGTCACAAACATGGATTAATTTTTTTTTCGTGTTTTCGAAAAATTTCAAAATATAATGTAAGAGTGTTTCTTCTATTATATATATATATATAAGAAAAAAGGTCAGGTCGGAGGAACAAATACAAAAGACCGATTAATATGTTTGGTTTCCTGGTAATTGAGTCTGACAGCTGACTCAAATATTTCACAATTGAATGGCAACGATTGAATATTTCGGAGGTTGTCTGGTCTTGTAGGCAGATGTCTTTTGCTGTGTTTTGGCGCAAAAATAATAAAACTATTCTTTATAAGATTAATTTTTCATACATGAAAAAAAAAACAAGTCATACGCTTATTGGCGTCTTTACTTTTTTCGATCCTGTTTGACCTTATTTATTACTTGGAGAAAAGAATATACCTTGAGTGGGAAAAAACCTACGAAAAAAGGATCCAGTCAACCATACTTCCGTTTTGCGTCATATCTGACTATACCAATAGAATGTAATACTATTGAAATTACTAAGAAATTACCATGATATTATAATTCAGTACTTTTTATTTAATTTTTAATATTGCATATAATCAATAATTTATTTTAATTGATTATTTTAAGTGACACGCGTACAATGCAATATAAATGATTATTTTTCATGCATTCTTCTCATCTTTCTTTTTTTCTCTCGTCTATATTATAAATAGATTATATCAGCTTTATTTAATTAATATATCATGGAATCTATTTTTCAAAAAAAAAAAGATGATGGTAATTAAATTTCAAAATAATGATATTAATTATATTCTTTTCACGATAAAAAATGTCTTTTTCATGGGAGACATATGATAAGTCTATTGAGTCTAATTTATCGGCATCAGATGTATTTTTTGTTCTATAGAATACAATTGAAATATGTGTCTTATATTTTTTCTATATCAATTAAACTGAAAAACATCTAAATGATTTCTTCGTCTTCAGAGAACATTTGCAGTTAATTTGTTCTTGTTTTTATGTCTAATGTTCTGTCATAGGTTATATTGACATAAATAATTGGATTTTGCACTTTCGTCTGTATTTCTTTTTTTTTCTGTCATGCATTTTCAATTCATTTTGACTAGTTAAGTGTTTGATATTTGGATTTATTAAGAAATAGAATCAACATATGTGTAATGTAAAAGAATACGACGCATATATACACGTATCAAATAACCGTTAATATTCCGCGAAAAAGAAAGAAACGATTACATCACGCGACAATGTTTGCCATGCTGTTGAAGCCGTCGTCGAGCTTGTTGTGCAGCTTGTTTAGCAACAGTATCTTCAGCTGTTTCTAACATATGACAAACTTCTTTAAATAATAAAACTAAATGCCAATGATATTTAGCTGAACATAAAATCGTATTTGCTTTAAAATTTTTTTTAACATACTGTTGTATATCACGTGAATTATTTAATGTTAAATTTGAAAATCGTAAATCTGTTGAAATTAAATCAATTTTATTTGCAACAACAATTACAGGTATATGTATATTTGACTGTTCATCATCATCATTAATTATATCAGATGAACTATTGGTTTGTTGTTGAGAATAATAATTATTATAATTTAATCTAACACGAATTATGTCACGATAAATATTTTTTATATAAGTAAATGTTTCTTCACGAGTTGTATCAAATACTAATAGAAATAAATGTGCACGACGAAAGCAATACATTCGTACCCATTCTTGTTGTGGATCAGTATTATTTGATTCATCAAAACGTGGTGTATCAATTATACGTATATGAAATAAACGTTGACCATTAAATAATGATGTAAAATGATACGTTGCTAAACGTGTTGCTGAATATGTTGAAGAATAATCATTGTACAACCATTGACGAACTATAGATGTTTTTCCAACAGCTTTATCACCTATAACAGCTATTTGTATAGGTTGATCGCACATCCGCCGTTTTTTTTTTATTTGTCTGAAAAGAGTGTCACTTATTCAACTCATCTTATAATAAGTGTTCATGCCTGTAAGGCATATGAAGAAAAAGAAGATATTATCGATTATTTTCATCATACGATATAACAAGAAGGGAAAAAAGAAATGTTCAACTAAAAAAAAAAAAAAGGCTATTTCTATTTTTTCCTCGTTCTTTTTTTTTCTCCTTTTTTTCATCTCAGTTTCCGGGAGTTTGTAAATGTTCTCGTCTGAGTAAGCACTACCATTCATTCATTCATTCATTCATGCACCGCAAGAAGTATTCATAAGCAAAAAATACTATTAGATTGATACAAAATCATGAATACAGAACGACGAAAACAGAATGTTGATAAATAATGGAGTCAGTCATCTTCTCGATTCTCCGTTATTGTTTTGCCATTGGGCATGTATGTTGTTTTTTATGATTTTAGGATAAAAAAATCATTGTCTTCTATCCTATCAACATATCTATAATAGAGAGTATAATGATTCTCGAGTTGAATGATTCGTTTTGATCATATTCTAATGTGACTACGTCGTTTTTTACATCAAATGAGAGTTCCGTTCCTTTTTCTCCCTCGGGAGATGGAAATATATATATATATATATATATATAAAATGAAACGTCCAACTGTAATTACGGGCTTTACTTCATTTTACAGGAGAAAAAGGAAATTTCTATTTCCTTTGTATAGACTTCTAGAACTATGAGATGTTGGAATTGATTATTGTCAAAAAAGATTAATGAATATTCCTATGCTTTTTATAACAAGATAAAGGTGAAAGGATGAAAGAAATAAAAATTGAAAGAACCAACTATATATATATATTACTAATAGTATTACGATTAGATTAAAGATAAAAAGATTGATGTAAAACAAACAAAAATGAAATCAATAGTACATCATCTTAAGAAATGGATCAATCGACTGTTTCACAGGGTAGATAAAATCGATTTTACTTAATATATGTATTTAAAAAGAAAATCTATTCACTTAGATTCTAGTGCATCATTAAAATTTTTAATTGGTTTTGGTATTATAGGATTGATTTCAATGATATGCTTAATCATTTGTTGTTGTAGAACAAAAAATAAAGGTTTTCTTCTTCTTATTATTATTGTTCTAAAAGAGAATTGATATCAACTTTTTCTATAATAATATAGATCATAATGATCATCAATCAAATACCAAACCAACTGAATCCTTTCAACAATTATATTTTACTAAAAAAACATCTAATCAAGTAAAAAATATCGTACAACCTACTATAGAACGATGGTCATCAATTACTCAACCTTCAATGACATTCTATCGGTACAAAGACTTTTTTTTTCTAGCAAAAAAAAATTTAATTTATTAATGTATTTTATAAATAGTGTTTACATGCAAGATACTTATGATAATTATTATCAACCTGTCAACGAAGAACGTTTACGTTCATCTATTGAACAATCAAAAGCAATGGAATATGCTGGCCTTGAAATAATATTTTTTTAAATTCTTGTTTTCTTTTTTATTATTTTAATATGAATACAAAGAAGAAGAATAATGAATGAAGAAAGTTCTGTTTAGTAATTGATGTAAATGTTTATGTAGCAGTTCGTACTGGCACCACTCGATAACCTTCACCTAAAAGTCGAATAACAGCAGCTAATGCAATACAACTAATAACAGCTAAACAACTAGCTACAATTGTTATAAAACCTTGTTGTTGAATACGTTGAAATTTTTCTCCAACAATTATAGTATAACATCCACCTGTATTATATCGATTTAATGGATTTGTAGTATTTCCAGATACATCAAGGCATAAATTATTTTCATTTGAACGATATTTTTCATTACAACAACTGATTGGTAATAGAACGGATGATGCATAATGGGATGGATTTTTTTGAGAATTTGTTGTTCTTCCTTTTGTATTTCCTCCGTTTGAAGATGATGATGATGATGATGATGATCCAAAAATAGACGGTTGTCGACTTCGATAATCTTCAATTGGATCAACAAGGCCACAACATTGATGTTGTTTTTCTAAGTTTGCCATTTTAAGTGTATTATCAACAATAATGTTATTACCAACAACGACATTATATTGTGTTTGATCTATTTCTTTAACTAAAGTATTATTTATTGATTTTGGCAATTGTCCACTTGAAATAGTAATAAATGACCAAATACTAAATATAATAAGACTAAGTGAACAGATTATTAATAAACCAGCAGCTACGATAGCATAAGTTCGATTAACTTTAATTAATCCAATTGTTAAAATAATAAATGTTAATAATGAAAGAAAACCAAAAACAAGTATAAATGATGATGTTATATGAAGTGGATGTTGACCAATATCAATAAAATATCGAAGATGACCAAGAGCTAATCCACCATGTAAAAATAATATTGTACTAACAATAACTGAACCAACCATAGCAATACATAATGCTACACGAAATAAAGTTCGTTTAGCTATTGTTGATGGTTCAGTAGGAGTTGTTATTGTTACTAGATGAGTTACCATTTTGATGTGTAATAACACAAATGAAATGAAATAAATGATTTGTACAAGTATCTTCTTCTTTTTTTTTTCATTTTGTTCAACCTTAATTAGATGAATAAGATTGATCGAACGAATTGTTTCTTTCTAATGAGCAACAGAATTTATTCATCTCAAATTACAGAATGATAATCGATGATGCATCATAGAAGAACATACGAAAGTAAAATATATTGTAACAAAAAAAAGTAGATATTACATCATTCCAAAGTTTTTTTTTATTGTGTTATAACTTTAATGAACTACTAGACAGGGTGTGGGTGTGGGTGTTTGTGTTATATTCATCGCATACTCAGACCCACATCTATCGATGAACATAAGTATTTATTACAGCGCTAATAAAATAGCAACCATAGTATTCGAAAAGTAAATGTAGATATCAGCAAAAGAAATATTTATAATATAAAGTGGAACAGTGACTAAACGTTGATCTTTTACTTATCTTTTAGTTTCTTAGAATATACTGCTGAAAACAAAGAAACAATAAATTGCGGGAGAACTGCTTCAATATATGAATTGATTACAATTTAAGTAATAATTAGATATTTTATTTTATTTTATTTTTGAATATAAATATGATTCCCGTGTCCCGAAGGAAACGGGAGTGGACCAAACTCAA